CGCGATCGTGTTGTATCTTCTCTTTATAAATACTCTATAAATATTGTATATTGTACTATAAAATAAAAGATTAAGAAATCAAAGAAAACAAAGAGAGAGAGAGACTAGAGATTACTAGCATATAAAAATCTCTGAATAATTAATGTCTCAAAGAGAAAGTTGTCTTTATGAATGATCGATAGCACTTCGTGACATGTAAAAATTGTTCTCTTTTTTATGCTTCTAAATATGCCTGAAACAAAAAATATTATAGAATCGTAAATCTTTTAATCTGACAATAAGCGGCGCTTTGATAAGAATTAAGAATGATTAAGTATCAGAAAAAAAATGAAATATTTATACATGAGAGAATGTATGTATCTAGACTATGTACGGGATCTTATCTAAAAACTCTATTGATCTTAGTAGAGATATTTTTTAAATATTATTTTTGAAAATGTTTAAACAACAGAGAGAGAGAGAGAGAGAAAGAGAGAGAGATGCGTGCGATAGTCATCTGTACGGAATTCCAAAAATGTGAAGTGAGTTGTGTTGAAAATCGAGCAACAATCGGAAAACAAATATTTTCTCTCGAAAAAAACACTTAACAAAATATGTACATGTATCATGTTAAAAGGACGTTTTATTATTTCGCGAGATTAGCAAATTTATCTTATCGCGCGCGGTTTAGAACGAAATAGAGCACAATATCTCTGATGCGGGAAAAAGTGTTGAAAAACGAGCGTTTTATAACACATGGACCGTAACAACGACGAATAAGCGATATGTGATAATCACGAGAAACGGAGCGACGGTTGTGCAAGATGTGTGGAGCGAGCGCGAGATGTGCGCGCGCTTATTCCTACATGGCGATGAGCGGAGAATCGCGCAAGGTTACCGGGGAAAGTTCACCTCGTACATCACCCACACATACGGGTTTCGCGCGCATTCCGATTCTCAAAGTGAAAGACCGAAGCCGACATTAAAAAAACCGTTCATACATATGGATATAGTGGCGTGCATAAAAAGCGCCGCGGCGCGCGATACGATGATTGCGCGCTCGCGTAGTCGTCTCATCTAGTTTGCAATACGCGCGAATCGCACGCATGCTGCGAAAACGCGTGGAAAGCCGGTTGTGACTCCGCTGCGAGAAACTTCGTCAGAATAACAAAGTGGGAAAAAGAAGGCGAGAAATTCTGGCGGCAACGTTTTAGCGCAACGAACTCTCCAACGAACGCGTACGTACAGTACGAACAGTATAAAAACTAAATGTCGCGCACTCTCTCTTCGTAATTTCGCGAATCCGTAAAAAATCCACGCATCAAATTCCGAACGTCACCCAATGACAAAATAATGAAAAAAAAAAAAAAAAAAAAAAAAAAAAACGATCCGAGACCTACCGCCGAGAATAAAGATTTCTTCTGCGCTTCTGACCTCGCGATTTCTACAACGATAAAAAAAATGGTTCGCAAGTTAACGCAACGGTGCGACGTATTAGCGGTGCGATGTAAAGAAACATATATACATAGTTAGAGTCCCTGTACGTAAGTGTGCAGCAGCAGCAGCACCACAGTTCTTGTTGTTGAAACACGGGCTTGGCTACGGAATGGCGCAAAGGGTACCTCCCTCGCGTACCTACCGCGATCGAATCTGGGAATATGTAAGAGGATCAAATACAGTCCGGTCTAGTAAGAGGAGGTGTGGTTTATACCTCGTCGGAGCTGGTCGACCTCGTTTAGGACTGGTAAAAGCATAACACGAATATACGCCGTTCACGTTGCTCGACGAAAAACAAAAACAAAAAAAACAAAAAAAAAAACAAAAATCAAGTGTAAAATCGATTTCTTACGTTTTGTCTGTTCGACACGTCACTCATAGTGTGTCCGGCAAAAAACCGCTCGCTAATAATGTAACAATTTCCACAACGAGAGGTTTTTACTGTTAGACAGAGAGATCACTCGGATCGGGGTATTACCGGGCATTTTCGCAGCTGCGGCCAACGTGTGCTCGCTTTTTATTACAAGAGTGGAATGTTAAGAAAATGCCCGGGGAAAAATGTCCTTTACACGTGAATGAAAAAAAATTCTCTTTTCACGTGTAAAGATAAAGATCTTTTTTTTTTTTTTTTACGGTTACGCGTCGATTTATTCAATTACGACGATTTTTTTTTTTTGTAGCAACAATGTCTCGATGTGAAGTGATGTAATTTAAGTCGCTAGTGTGCGACGAATAACTAGTAGTTACGAGTAGTCATTACCTCGCTCTTGACCCGTTAAAGTTTTTTGTCTGCTCTCGTACGACACATGATCTCGAACGGTTCGTCTCCTTTCCCTCTCTCCTTCTCTTTTTTCAGGTTATTCTTTCATGCTACATCGAAATTCCTGAAACGCCTTATGGTTGGGGTTTAATGCCCGCAATCAAGCAACGGGTTGTTGGTAATTGCTGCAGTATCGCAAAAAAAAAAAACAGCAATTTGCGTCGTAGCGGAATCCGCTTATGAATCTTTTAATTCAATGATCACGTGGGAGAGCTCTTTTTCTTGTTACTCTCTTCTCTCTCTCTCTCTCTTTCTTTCTCTTTTATACTGAGATTTAATGCAGGTACCTAATTTGTGGCTAAGAGAATATACACACTCGGATGATAATTTCGTTCGTTTCTCTTACGTGCTATTGGGGGTGTTCGTTGCTCGTGGGAAGCACCGTGAGATAAATCCGCCGGTATTTATTTCGCGACACACTAAGCGTTTTTCTTTGTACAGAACGACTCGAGAGTCTTGCTTTGTGACGTGCCGCGGTGTCGCGCGCCGTGAAAATAAAGCCCACAAAGAAATCAAATTCAACTTTATTAATTTATGAAAAGAAGATTATTTATAATAGAAATAATTTTTTTTTTTTGCGACAAAGACACAAAGCAAATTCTCGAGTTATTTTCTGTACAAAAGAAAAAAAACACTTGGAGCGTCGCGAAAAAATTCAATTTGTTTGTCTTGTTTAAATTTTATGAGACAAGAAAAATGTTGCATAAATAAGTAGTCATCGCTTTCTGTCATCACTTGGTTGAGGATTTATTTTGAAATTAAAAGGGAATATTGCAATAAGAATCACCGAGACGCCATCGGCCTCGCCTTCTTTTTCGCTTCCCATGCGCCTCGGCGCGCGCCAAGTCGCGCGTCATCTCAAAGGAATGAGACAAGGTCTGCCTCAACGAGTGTGGGGTACGCTTTGAAGAAAGAAATATTTTCTGTAGCGTCGCGGACGATCTGCTTTGTGTGTGGAGTCAATCTTTTTGGATGCGGGAGATAACGCAGTTATGCAGACGCGATTTACAATAATCTCGACCGAGTGACCCAAGTAAACCATATAATAATTATTGTACAGTTACACGCGGCAACGGTTAATTTAAAGAATAATTGCAAAGTGCGATTGCTAGATGTATGCAATTACCCGAAACCGTCGTGAGAGATTAACGTGGTTCGAGCTAACGCTCGATTTTCCGGGTTTTCTTGAGTACCTAAAACAAAGACTAGAGCGCTTTAGGCGCGTCTCAAATCTTGAGATACGCGCAAGAAGAAAAAACAATATTACAAAAATTAATATTTTTCACGACCGGAAGAACGAAGGACTAATGTCGAAAATTTCGGAGGTTTGCGTCAAATTTCGGAAATAAATGGCATTTTTACAAAAAAAAAAAATTCGAAGTGTCGAACAATTTCGAAGCTGTTTCGCCATCTCTGTTGCTCGGAGACCGGAATATAGTTTCTTTGAGAAACTGGCGCAAAAATCTGACTGCAACAAAAATCCTTCTTTATTGTGTGTGCGTTGAAAATTCAACGTCCATTCATCGAAGCACGTTTTCGATATCAATCCGGATTTTTTACGCACCGGCTTTTCTCGCGTGAGTAAATTTGCGCCAAGGCGCAAGACGGGAAGAACGCGAGAAACGTAACGGATCAACGAGAGATTGGCAACGGTACTTCGCTGCCTGGTCTCATCGAGTATATTCGCGAGTCCTGCATGTTAATGGACGTCACCGCGCACGTCCGTTGTCTCTTTCGTCCTCGATGCGCGCGATATAATCCTTTGTTTCGACGTGTGTTGCGCGCGATTTGCTCGCAATTGATATTCCAATCGGAGATTAGAGATCCTCGCGATAAACATTGGATTATTTATCAACAGTACGAAGATGGACGAAAAAAAGAGAGACACTTCCTTTCGAACGGCCTTCGAAAAGAATAATAGCATTGCGCGCTTTATTCATACCCGTTTTTTTTTTTTTATGAAAAGAAAATTCGCGGTAGCGTAATATCCTTACGTATCATTTGCTAAATGACGAGTACACAACCCAGACAATGTTGCAGTTGCAAATAAACGCATACCGGAAGTGAGGCAATTACTCAGCCGCGCCGGGCAGCACCCGTCAATTGTCCTGATTGTATTCGCCTGTTCGCCATTGCCGATGTTGTAGACAGGAAAATGTACTCACTCGTTTCGCTTCGATATATCAGCGAGTATAATCGCTTGTTTGATAGTCACGCTTCATCATTAAGCCTATTTTAGAAAATACAAACATATCACATCGCGACATTGTTATTTTCAAATTGATTGTAAAAACATTTCAACAGTTTTACACTTGTTGTACAAGAATTTTTCCGATCATCTTTACTTCTAAGTTTAGAAAATAAATTAACACGGTGCTATAAAATCATATTATAAAATGTTATGAAACGTTCAACACGCGCTAGCAAAATTTGATATGAAGAAACTTGTTATATTTCCGCGTTTTCGCTCCGTATAAAAAATCTCAAGTTATTTTATTTGAAACGTTTTTTTTCGAACATCTCACTCTCCTATTGACAACAAAATAATTTTTCACGCGCTATATCACGTTCTTTAGCCGCACAATACACTGTCGTCGTTTTAATTCGTCGCGCTAGAAAGAGAGAGAGAGAGAGAAAGAGAGAGAGAAAGAGAGAGAGAGAGAGGGAATCGCGACCGATTACTATTTCACCTCTTTCCTTTCAGAGTGATGATGTAACGGGACTTTCGCTGTCGCTGCGGTGAGGCAACAATGTCCACACAATGCAATCGGTTCGTGCAAAATGCCTGGAAGAAGGAGCTCTGTTCCAACTGCTTCAAACCGAAAGAGGAACATGTGACGGCCGACGATGTTTTGCGACTAAACGTCGAAAAAGCCTCCACGAATCTGAAGATCAATCGTCTTCAACTTCAGGTACTTCGATCCTCAACTAAAACTGTGTTTTCTGATATTTGAACTTAGATTGGCGTCTTGGCAAAAACTCGGATCGAATTAAATCGGTGAAAACTTAAAATATTTAATAACGAAACAGAGTTTCACATCGGCGAAAAGAAAATCTGTTGAAACACATTTTTTGACTTTATCAAACCGCTCTCTTTCCTCAAAAAACGTCGTGTCCGTTAACGATTGCGAAACGATTTTTGCAGAGTATCCTTCGCGGTAAGGCGATTTGCCGAAAGGATCAGCGGAAGAAGAACGTCGGATTTCCGGAATCTCTTACGGAAATAATTGGTTACGGCGGCGAGGACTTTTCCGATGGCGAGGAGGACAAGGACGGATCGACCGACTCTTCGATGAAGCCGGAAGACTTGGTGCCTGACAGCGAGGAAGAACGCGCGTTGTTCGATCTAACTCGCGCTAACACGAATTTCAACACGATCACCGCGAATTTGACAGAACTCGAGAGCAACGGGAACACGACAGATTCGACCAAGTCGTCGACGACGACAACAGCTAAGTCCTTCGCCTCCCTGATGCTAGGTAAGATACAAAAAGACGCCGATGGTAGGAAAACGACTCTTTTAGTGTCCGTAACGCCTTTCGGCGGAGACGAATCTGTGCCAACCGCCAAAAGACCCGTCGATCGAAAGATCAACGCCGTTAACTCGCAACCAAGTCCGTTCAGACTCAAATCCGACGAGGGATCATCATCGGATCACATCGACGTAAGTAAAACAAAATTCTCGAAACGTTATTTTCTTGTCTTACTTGATTTTTTCTTTAGCACGTAAGTTTTTGTTTTCGAATGTTGAAGGTGAAGAAACTCAACGGAACGGAGAGAAAAAAGATCAGCGAGCAAGAGCAAAAGTCTTCTTCTTCGGAATTGGGAAAGATCGTGGATATGCCATTGATTCCTTCCGCAAATATGATCGCGGTTATACGTAAGGAAAGCTCGACGCCCAATTCTGTCATTACGAGCGCGGAGAAAAAACTAGAGATGACAACGCACAAGTACTCGCTCAATTGCGACGGCAATAAGAAAAACCCCGTTCCCGTTAACGGTGTTTTAACGACGAGAAAGACCGAAGTCGAAATGTCAAGGATACCCGCGCGGTCCGGATCGAATAATAACGACGTGGGGGAAAGCGATTGTGCAAACAGAACGGTCACGTCGAAGAACGGCGAATGTTTCTCACAAAATGACAAGACGGACGAAGGTATTGAACTCACTTTGACGTCTCTGAAGAACGAGAAAACGTTCGAGAGCAACGATCGTTCGGTGAACACTGGCGAGAAGAACGCAGCAAAACCCGTCGACAATAGCAAGAACATTACGTCGCCGCGACAAATCGAATGCACAGAGATCATAGAGGAGAAGAAATTCTGTTTCGAGATCAGTCGGGAGCTCGCTGGCGAACCGGATGGAAAAGCGGACGAAGCGGAAATTACCGAACCGCCGGCGTTACCGAACAGTCCACCGCCGGTTGTGACCACGGAACCGAGGCCATCTTTTCTACACGGTAACGTTAACAACGATCCGAAAGCGAAACCCGCTGTGCCGCAGAAGCCTGTGATCTTGTCGGCAACCAAGACAATATCGAACCCCAAGACGAGTCCGGTCGTTGTCGAAAGAATTTCTGATTACGTGCCACCACCGCCGTCGGTTCAGAATGTCGCCGGCAGATCCGTTCAGAATTCAGGTTAGTCGCATTCCAAAAAGTGGCATTTCGCAAACAATCGTGAGAAATATTACTTTTCACTTTTGTTTGTAAAAATAAATAATACGTATGCAAAAATTAGTTCGAATATAATTTAAATATTTTTATTAGATTTTATATTTTACTTGGATTGTTTGTTTTCATTTCGTCTCAGATATTTTTCGTAAATTTTCTTCGCGTTCAATATACGATTTCATTCCAGTCGCGAAAGAAGCAGAATCTCGACAACATTCGACGGAAACAAACGTCTCGAACGAGGCTCCGTTGGAAGCCGATCAAACCTTTCCAACTCAAAACGTGGAATCGGAAAATCAAAGAAAAATGTTAGCAAGATCCAGTTTTTTACCGTTGTCCGCGTCCTTGAGCGCGACGCTGGTTCCGACGAGAGATCGCTCAACGGAAAATGGAGAAATAGACGAAGACGTTTCGCCGGACGAAGAGTTTCCAGAAATTGCTCCCGTTTCGGTATCCACGATGGAGCTCGTACGCTCGCCGAACAAGAGAAGAATGGCTCCGCGACCACCGGAGGAAGATCTACCGGTCTCGTCTTTGTTCGCTCGTAATCCAGGAGCATCAAATCTGAAATCTGACTCGCCGGTTGTGCGCGAGAAAGAAAAGAGAGAGAGATCGTCCTCGTGCAGTCCGAAGTTTCGGAAAGCGGTCAGCGACGTGCCGGATCCAACGAATTCAACAAACAAGCAACCCGTCGAATCAACTGCGAGAAGAACGATATCCCTGTCGCAGGACAGTCTGACGACCGAGAAAGAAGTGCGGGGAGAGAAAAAGAGAAGCAGAAATCGAAAGGGTTTCTCTTTGAAGAGATTTCTAAGAATGGGTTCGAGAAAGGACATGGACATGATGACCGGTCAGACGTCGGGTGCGAAGACTGACGAAATACCATCGACGCCTCAACCGAAACCACGACTGGAGATCATTCATCCGCTGGAATTGGACGGTGCCGCGGTTGAGGTGGTGGGAAGCGATCGGATTACCGCAAAAGTCGGCGATGACCAGACGGATTCCGGTGCCAAGAATGACGGATCGAAAATGACACGATTTCCTTCATCATCCACGAGTAAGTTCGTTCCGCAATAATGTTGTTTCGTTAATTAATGAAATATTCGAGACGAGAAACTTTGAAAAAATCAAAATTTTTGTTCCAAAAATTACGATTGTTATTATTACACAGCGAGGCCTGGAAAACCACCTCCGCCGCCGAGAAACCAGTCCCTGGAAGATTGGTCCAAGACGGATTCGGCGAATAAACCGGTCAGACCGCCGCCGCCGCGCGCCGAGCTCAACAAGCTGAACGTCGCTTCCTCCAGAAGCGACAAAATGTCGTCGAAAACCACCTGGAGACCGACGACCGCGACGACCTCGGACTCGATTTATGCGAATCTGGGTAAGTTCAGACCCATACAGTGCAACTGAGCAAACCACGTCGCGATCATTCTCGATGTTAACAGCCATACTCACACAAACCCTCGCGCGCCAGCCGCTTCTTAAAAAAAAAATAAAAAAAAAGAAACGAGAGAGAGACGTCACTCCGCTTGAGCGGAGATCGCACCAGCGATCGAGCCACGTGACACCGGATACGTATAATTTTCTTTGCTTTTTTTTTTTTCATAAAAAATCACTCATTTGTTTGATTAAACGTTTTTTTGCGCGTGGCGGAATCAAATGAAACTATAATCGAGTGTGAATTTAATTTATATATAGAGACGAGTTCCTATTCCGATCGCGTATATATATATATACACACATACACATGTTCACAAATACGCGATGCAAACGCGAATTGCACTCACACATTACTGAGTAAGAAAATCTGGTTTTTGTCTCAGATTTATGCCATTGGAAAAAAAGAAAATTCGTCCGGATTAGAAAAAAGTCCTTCAAGTTCCGAAGAAACGCTTAAGGAAAAAATTCACTCTTAAAAAAAAAAAAAGTCACATATTCTGTGATAAATGTTCTCATTGAAAGAAGAAGTTTTCACATTTCTATTCTTTCGAACGAGATTCGACTGTTTTTTTATTTTTTCTCTCATTGTTTCATTATATATAACAATAAGTACGTAACGTAGTTATTAAGATGACGTTCATTCAAAGTGGTATGGTGTTTATTTATTTTTAATTTTTTTTTTTTTTTTTTTAATTTTTTTCCATTTCTTCTCTCTCCCAATCGCGATCGCGCGCATTTTGTTTTCCTCTCGCGTTAATAAGTTTTTTTTGCAACAAAGAAGTTTGAGAATGGCTGGTTAAGCAAAACGAATTTTGTTTGTTATACTTCACCACAACGAATCTGTTTGTGCTCTTTGTAATGGTGCAAAATAAAAAAAAAATGCGAGAATATTATATTCTGTAATGTCTGAACACATCTGATAAATAAACGTATATTGTCGAAAAAAAAAAACAAACAAATCGGCGTCTTGTTCTTTCGATCGTTCTCTCTCTCTCTCTTGCACGCGGAACATGCATGCCGTGTAAAAAAAAAAAAAAACTATGGAACGAATTCTTCCGATGCTGTGTGGCTTGTTCGGTGCACCTCCGCATCCATCCATTCCCCATCATTAACGCGAACAACGGTCACGTTTATCGCGCTGACATAAGCGCGGTTCTAGTCAAGCGTTACCGTTGCGCATACCGCCGTTCACGTCTCTCTCCGTTTTTTTTTCCTCTTTTTTTTCTTTCTCTCTCTCTCTCTCTCTCTCTCTCTTTCTTTCCTTTTACGGTAGTTATGTAACGGTGCGTGTGCCGCGTGCCACAAGCGCGACGTCTGTTGATTCCTCTAACCGACGCTGAGAGTGCCAACTAACCGCCGCATGCATTTTACGCACTGTGATTGCGCGCAATAAACTGGCCGTCATATTTGGCCGTCACACAAATTTTTGGAACTCAAAAAAACGTTATTTGAAAAACGACGTAAAAGCTTCGATTATTCTCATGTCTAATTGGTTTCGCTTATCTTTAGCGCTGTCGTTGAACAGTTTGGTCGCGACCAGCGATATCTTCCCTTAACTTAATCTACATTAATTATAGTGTTGTCGAAAACACTCAAAATTACATCACAAATATTTACCGAATTCACCGAGATACAATAGAATATAAAACCAATGTACACACATTCCTGTATGTAAATTCCTGTAGAATATACGGAGACACACTGCGTCACGTCAATGTCAATTAACATACATTAGCTATTTAATCTGTGAAAATGTTTCTCGAAAAGATCGTTGCAAAATAACTTAGGTGTATTATAGATATATCATTAATTAATATTAATAACGGCTCGATGAAACGAATTATATAAAACAAAGAAAAAAATCGTCCGGAATACACCGCGCGTTTTATGTCGCATTTCACACGTTCACCTTCGACCTGAATCATCAGGCTCTTTGGTTTTTTTTTCTTTGTTTTATAGATATAATTAACTTATTTTTTAACAGCACGGTAACGATTGTTATTCGTATACTTAGACCTGAGCCAGATAGAAAAAAAAAAAAACAAAAGAACATTGTTATGTGCGTGGGACGCATGATGGGTGAACTAACGTTCGTTACATAGTCACTTGGAATCTCATTTTGTGTGTAGAATGTGTGTGTGTGTGTGTGTGTGTGTGTGTGTGTGTGTGTGGCGAGGGGGTCTTCTAGCACCCTAGTTGCGCCGGGCGAACTAGTGTCTAGATTAGCTAGCTCGTTTCGTGAATATGCCTTGTGTCTTGTGATACTAACCCGTGGCGCTTGACGATGGCTGACGTGCCTGCAGCAGCGGAGGATGTTACAGGTGAGGTGCGCAGCGCTCTAGCACCTTCGAAACCCCAACGTACCGCTAGTATGAGAGACCGAGCTGTTTTTCAACCTGTACCGAAACGGACGCATTCGGCAACGTCAGAAAATCAGTATCAAGATTACGACGCAACCGTACGACGAACTTCCGACTCGCCGGTAAACAGACTATCCGTTCAGATTTCGAGTTTCCGTTATTCCAAAAGCTCAGACGATGTGCGATATAGCGATCGTATAACTAATGTTTCGAAAAAATCGACTTTTGATCATCGTCATTCAATTAATCCTGCTATTTACAAATATTGCTATCATTGCTAAAATTTTGTTATATATTTATACGCGTCTCGCGTGCAACGTTCGCGCATGTAGCGCGTCGTCTGTGAATTCGACTTCGTGTCATAATAAATATGATACGACTCCAGCAACAAAATAAATGCAATTCCAACAGACATCCAATGACAGTCACGTGTACGAGTGTCTCTCAAGTTCGCCCGAATGCGATTCCAATATCGAGTTGCGACACGGAGGCGGAGGTAGATTTCGCACCGCTTGCAAAAGGAAGTCCGACAGTAGCGCAATGGGCGGAGACGGAGGAGAGAAACATCATCATCATCATCATCATCATCATCAGCATTCGTTCGTGAGATCGATCTCGTTGCCGTACTGCGGCAGCGAGACCGAGAGCGAACTTTACGCGTCTTACAGTTTTTACACCGGCGACGAGGTACGTCAAAATCAAGAAATTTGTTTGTTTATTCGTTTCACGTTGAATTCGTGTGTTGTTGTTTTTTTTTTTTTTTTGAAATACGCGCGATTATAAAAACTTCAGGGTGCCGAGGAGGATCAAGATTGGAAAAATCGCGACGACGAGCCGAAAATGGGCCGCTTGAGGCAACGAAGAGGACGCACGGTTGTTCATCGTAGTCTCGAGGATAATTACGGAGCGGTGGTTGTGGCGAATCACGAGGCGCTCGCCCAATTTGTCGAGCAGGTATGTTTTTTCCGGTCTGCAATAATACAATGGGGTAAAATGTTGTGCGTTGTGTGTGTTGAAATAAATGTTTAATTGATGAACTTGGGAAAATCAGACCATCCAGTTGCCGTCAGGTTTGCGCGGTCTCAAGAACACGAATCCGCAGTTGAAGCACTTCAACATCGATGCTTCAGCGTCGATTTCCGTAGGCAGAAGATTGTTTTGTCCAGCGACGTGGAACGATCAAAACGTCACTCTGTGCATAGCGTTCGACATAGCCGTGCCGATGCCGCAGAGAGATTTTTATCTGACACCTGTGATAGAGTTCGTGGACACGGTGCCAAAGAAGATAATCGAAAAGGTTCGACCGTCGAGGAACGAAAACGCCGAAGGTGATACACGCTGTAGTTTATTTTTTTTTTTTAGCTACGAAAATAAAAAAAACCCTAAATCGCGCTATAACGACGACAATTGTTGTTTTTTCAGCGACAATTTCGGTTCTCACGTGTTCGCACGTGACTACGATACAATTGTTCGGAGATATGTTGAAAAATATAAACAACGAGAGCGCAAATAAGGAAGCGTCATTCGTGCTTCTTCAATTGGTCAACGCACTGAAGAGTCTTCAAGCGCGCGGAATCGAATACGCCAGCAAATCTTTAAATGACGTTGTCCTGTGCAGAGAAGACGTTTATTATCGGTTGTACCTTCTGCAAGGGTTAGTTTAACTACATGTAATAATTCGATTGCGTGTTGGTAAATACGCGCGCCTTGTTTATTCAGATTTTTCTGTTTTTTTTTTTTTTTACAGAAGATTAAACATAGACCCGAGTGATGAACCCAGTGAGGAACGGGTGTCCCTTTGCGAGTGCGCTCTATTAGCACTGCAGCAAATGCACCTCGCGAATGAATTCCCTCTTATACGAGATCTACTGATACGCGAAAAGGCGGTTACACTCTCGCAGGTAAACACACATTTGTTTATTATATTCTATTTTGCATACGTATGAGAGTCTAGAAAAAAGTCTAGAAATTTTTCACGTTAGAGAGTATTTATTTTCCTGCAATTTTTATTGCGATCGTTTTTGTCTCGGCTTGTTACAATTTCATCGAATTGCGACTTGTTTGGGTCCGCATAAAATTAATACTTGATTGAATCTCTTGATGATTAGGTGAAATCTGTGTTGGAATTTGTTCTGTGGGGTCCGGCGGACGTGCCTCTCGGCGGTCCACGGGAGAGAGAAGTGGCGCTTCAAAGATGGCTTGATTTGGAAAGAGCAAACGTACTTCACGCTCTTGTCAAAACAAAGGTAGCTTTGACCGTAATAGACGAATATCAGTTGTTGTTCTTGGTACGGACCACTGGAAAAATTATGAGCGAAGCGTCGATGCTTCTGGACGAACACCGCAATCGCTCGGCTCATAAATACTGATGTACGCGTGTGATCATCATTACATAATTAATAAATAACATGTTGCATTCCGGGGAAAAAAGTCCTTCATACGCATTCAAATTCTATGTGATTGTGTTATATAATTAAATATAATCATATATGAGACTGAGAGACGATCTTATATATATATATATATATATGTATACGATGATATTTAATCACACTAATGTAATATTTGTTCACATATGTACGAAGAAGGAATTTTTTTCCCCAAAAAGCACACAAGTACCGGAATTAAGAGAAATTTAACATTTATTGACAGTCACTCGCAAATTAACTTTTGACAAACATATAGCGAAGCTCTTTTCTGTATCTATTATATCGACATTTTTTTTTTTAAATAAGCGTTGTTTCAAAAGAGAGAGTCGAACAAATGTATTTATAATCTATACGTGCTAACACGAAATTAAACGTAATATGTTTTACCGGTGAGATAACTGTAAATATATATATGTTTTATACTCGCGCAGAATATCTCGGTATAAAGTGCACATCTTTATGAATAATTTTTTCACACCCGTTCAAACTTTTGGGATTTCTCTTCGACGTAGAAACGTGCCAATTGCTCAATCGAAGTGTGTGATTTTACGTGTACGTATATATGCTCGATGTTCTAAAGATACGTCTCTATTTTCTTAGAACGTATGTCTTTAGAGAATATTATTTGTATTTTACATCGTTATCTCTATCTCAAGCAAAATGTAACACTTATTTTTATAAATATTTATAAACATTCTACACTGTATAGAAATAAACAAACACACATTAATCGCATAAAATAGTTTTTTTATTTCGAAAAATCTACGCTCACAAAGTTTTGTTAAATTAAGATAATACAAAAAGATAATACAAAATATATATATATATATATATATATATATATATATATATATATATAATATTTAAATACATACGTGTATATATATATATTTTTTTTTGTTAATTATATTTAGTTTATTACGTTGTTTGTTGATCGTGATTTTCGGAAATATTGCTCAATTCGGATTCGCGAATGTCGCTCGTTACTTCACCTCTTTTATCGTTCTCCTCAATTTCCGATATCACCGTTTGTTCGCTCAATTGCGAATCCCATGAACAACCGACGAAATTATCTGGCCTGATTCTGCAACAACAATTTATTTTGCATTATTCGAAATATAATCGATAAGAAATATTTTTTACTGCAATCCTTTCATCTTGTTAGCGATTTTAAAAAAATGTCACATACGTTTTGCTGAAAATTGTATCGTTTAATTTCGAATTATCTTCTCGTTCGTTTTGTTTCTCTTCGTTACAACGAGACGTCTGATTGTGACGTAACGACTTCCCATCGTTCGCCAACTGTTTCCTCTCTATCGCATCGCTACCCGAGCTTTCCGTCTGTACGTTATTTTTTTCAGCAACTTCCGAATTTCGAGATATTCCTGTTTTGGTTTGCGGCAACGCCGGTAGGATCTTTTTCCATCTCGACAACGGAGTGTCCGTCACGTTCTGTCGTTTGCCTGCTATTCTAAATAATTTGCGACGTTCTTCCGTACGTTCGTGACGCAGTTGCATCTGAAACGCAATGTAACACATTTCGTCACTGTTTTTATTCGCATATAAACAACAAAAAAAACTTGATCTATAGAAAACAACAGTCAAATTTGACGAAAATATTGCACACTTCGGTGCTCCGCACCGTTTATTGTACCTTTAAGTCGTTATTCGCTTCTCGCAAAGATCCAGCGAGAGAGGCCATGTAATAAATAATTAACGCCATCAAAACTATCAGCGGTATTATTATACCGGGCGATGCGACATAATCGAGACATCTAAGAAATCACATTAAATTGTTATAAAAAAAAACAATGTTGCACACGTATATGATATAAAAAATGTTTACCGTTGAATCGGTTTCGGGAGCGTGCTTATCAAACTTTGCGTCGCTAAGTTATAAATCTTGGGATATCCGGAGAACGGGCCGCAATGCGACGAAGGTTCGACCCAGACGATAGCGTAGCCAACCGGTAACACGCACAAAAACAGCATAGTCAACAAAAGCGCGAAGTAAAAATTGTTAGATCTGCAAAGATGTGCAATTTAGTTATTTGAGGCGTGTTGGGGCGTGAAGATAAACATATACATATATATAAATAGCGTATTATAAAAAGTCATAATTTTAGAAACAAACCTGGAGGCTCTGAACACCACCTCGTGCGGTACGTTACACGTAAGAACGGCCCAGGAACGTAGATACATCAGAATGCCAAGTTTGACGAGATTTAACACCGTTAGACCTGGACTGAAAAACATTCCCATCCAAACCATGCCTTGATTGTTCACCAGGTGTAAAATATTCTCGGCGATCTTGAAGTCACCGTATTGCGGAAATTGTTTCTCCAGATCCCAACACCAACAGTTGTTCATAAAACGCACGAGAACGGCGCGAAAGAAATCCATGATGAGGGTGGCCAGTATAGTGAGTATCTGACGAAATAGTTGCACGACGAAAATATAAAATTATATTATTTATAATTTCTATTTAAAGAAAAAAAAAATAGAATTATAAAACTCGGAACCGTCTCTCTCTTTTGTCTTACTTTTTTATTTTTTTTGCATCTTACCAAGTCCATGACGGTGAGCTTGGCGAGTTCTTGACCAAACATAGTTTCCCAGCATAATCGACGTAATTTTTTACGAGTCTTCGGATCCAACTGATCTAAGGACTTGGCTAAGATAAGGCGTATAAGAACGCATTTTATCAATCTCGCCAAAAACTCCATTAAACACACAATGTGACTAATATAAAGTGAATTAATTAATTGACAAATATTTACCTAAATTCGTTTGCGCGGTGGTGCATATTTTTTCGAGACATATTATCACGCGCTCTTCTTCCGAAGGCGAATTTGCGTCTTCGTTCGATCGTAAAGTAGAAACGCTACTTTCCGAGATGTACGTTGTAATCGTTGTAGCTGCGTCGCTAACTTTTCTACCGGATATCTTATTGTCTGACGGTAGCGAAATTGTTGGCGATTTGCTAAAGACATCGACGTCAGTGATTTCCGATGATTCTGTTATGAGAAAATTTTTATTTTTTTATTTTTTTTTGTTTCTCATCAACGTAATCATACAATCATAACGTACTTGTGTAATAACCGTTGTGAAATTTATTTATCTGACACAAAAAGATAACAAACAACACAAACCTTCCGTCGCATTCTGCTCGATTATTGTCGATGGCGCGGTTTCGCTCTGGGACGAGGTAATAGAACTCGTATACAAATTTTCGGCAGTTGTTGAGTTAGTTAAAAACTTGGCAACTACAGTTGAGCTTGCGTCATAATGCGTCAGATTGCTATCCGTAGTTGGAATATCTTTGTAAGAAAATGCGGTGTACAATTCGTCGCCATTGTCCGAAGTTCCGTAATCATAATTCGTAATATCGTAATAAGTGTCGGGATAATCGTAAGTGTCGTTGAAATCGTCGTACAGCGCGTCGACGGTAAACAAAGGATTGAGGAAAACTTGCTGTCCGACATATGGCAGAGCTAAATGAAGAAGATCGGTAACGATACAATTTTTGTCGGAGAATTTCGAAACTAAATACATAAATTTTTTTTTAACGCGTCGAACACAAACAAGACGCGAGATTGAAATACGCGTTAATGTCTCGCTAATGGCAATATTCGAGGTAAACGGGTCAAGTCGTACTTGATTCTGAGATTTCCCTTTTAGCGTGAAAGTGGGTGACGTTGCTCGCCAAAAGACTCAAAGATGCCATTTTCGCGATCCGTTGCGTTAGCTTGTTACCGCACGGGATGTTTTTATACGTGCAATTTTTGCTTGTTGGTTTTAAATAGCCGTAAAGATCGTGTTTCTGTAAAGAGAGAGACAAGGTTTTTTTCGTACTTCACGTAAAAATTTATGTATAGTCCTTTTTTTTTTTTTTTTTTACGTCTGTGTCAGAGCTGAAAATAAAAACGTACCATGGTGCCTATTTTATGGAACAACGCGAATATCAGCGAGTAGAGATTCAGCAAGTTCAAGACCATTATTCTGAAACGAAAAAGCACAGCGCCCGGGTACATCGCTTTTGTTGCGATCGGATTTTCTGTTGCGATTAAATAGCGGATGTGCGTTAAATTGATAAATTATTGTCTTTACCGTGCCAGTTGTATTCGAAGCTGCTTTCTCGGATGATAACTTTCAAGAAAACCGAGAATCTCGAACAATATCGGAAATAGATACGTGATCAGCGACATCACAATCGTGATCTCATTTTGTCGCCACCAGTTGCGCGAGTCGATGATACTTCGCTCGACAACTTTGATCACGGCGTATGCCGACAAAGCGAGTAACGACAACACCGCCACGTTCACGAATATTCTCATGGATATGATTTTCCAACTGTACAAACAAAATGCCGATAAATTCTGAAAAAAAATAAAAATGACACTCGTACGTAATCACGTCCAGAGAGATTTGTTTCGGCTTACTTTCTTTTGTCTTTCTGTTTCTCCGCTTCCTCCAGCAGAGCCTCTTTGAAACCGACCACGATGCTGGCCGTACGATTGTGCGAAGTTTCCGGATTGCCGATCATAAAATCCCATCCTGTGAAAAGTTTCCACGAAAATATATATTCCTCTTCCTTCTCGGTCAATTTGCTCAATCGCGAATTTTCCGCCATTCTGAAACAGAGAGATATAAAAATAAACACAGTTGGAGAAGAAATTCGGAAAATCTGAGAAGTTTTTGCTTCTTCTTTCAGAAAAAAAAAAAGATGTAGGTACAAATCGATTCTCTGTCTCTCTCTCTCTCATTTTCATTTAAAAAGTTAATATCAAACACTTTCAAGAGACTTTACTTTAATGAGACACGATGTTAATTCATTAGAAGAAGAAGAAGCTGTGTTCAGAAGCAAAACAAAAACAGAGTTTTCAGTCGGTACTTGCGCAGGATCGCGACGAAGCTGTACGTGTAGACAACTAGGTTCGTAACGAAATACGCCAATGGTAGTCTGTAATTTCTGTTCGAATCCTGATTGGTGTACCATCCGTAAAAGAACGCGGAGTACTTTAGCACTCCCTCAAATTCCCACAAAGTTAACAAGTGCTTCGATTTAATCGCTTCCTCCTCCGGCACGTGTTTTCTCTCGCCGGCTAGCGTCGCGTTTGCGGTCAATATCTGTTGGGAAGAGAAGTAAACTCGTTTTCAAACAAATGTATTAACAAACAAGATTAATTAATTAATTCGCTTTCTCGTTCGGAAAAAAAAACTTCGGAACGCGAAGACATCTCACTTCGGGTATTGTCACGAACGTCGCAAGCGTGGCCGCGATAACGAAGTTGATCCAGAAAAGCCAACGGAGAAAAATGAAGTAGGACGCAACGGCGGATCCGAAGTGAGATTCTATTTCCATAATACGAATCTCCCAGGGAATTAGCCACGTCCGTAGATTGATCAGCTCGCGTCGGAAGTACTGCCATTTCTAAAATAGACACACGTATATATATATATATATTCATGCGTTGCCATTATTAGATGTGTGTAACGCGTTACTCTTCAATTGTTTTTTTTCGCAACAATCACACCGCATTTACTTTCGTCGCGAAGATCGTGACGCGCGCTATGACGTCTTTGGTGCTGTGACTCTGAGCGAGTCTTTCCTGCAATGCGCCCTCGTGTCGTCTAACGTAAGACTTGGCCTGGCGCACGAGCTTCATCTTACGCCGAAGAGACCAGGGTTGTTGCTTCACGCCGCTCAGAACCTCCTTGTGCAATTTGAGATTCTCGAAAATCTGCTCCTGATTGCCGCTCTCCTCCATCGAAATTATCGTGCTGTTGAATGTTAATTAAACCGAGACAATTCGATACAATCCCAACGTATCTTTCTAATTTTGTTTTTGCAACGAACGGGACAAGTCATCGTTAGGTGACAGAAAGAGAAAATTACATTAAAAAATATATTTATTTCGGAAAAGAATTATATAGTTTTTTCTTGCTAAAAACTAAAACTATAAGAAAGGAGAAATGGCGCTTTCAGATATCGACTCGTCACTGTCTACTAACTCTCCCGAGCTCGTGGTGTAGGCCGAAGATCGACGGCGAACCGCATTGTCGACGTCGACGTTAAACGGCGACGACGGGCGTCGCTTTCGTCGGCTTTGCCGTCGTATCGTATTCCGTCGTTGCATAATCGCACAAACCGACGCCGAATAATCATCCTCGCTGCCGTTTCCTTCGCCGTCCGCCGAAGTCGTTTTTTCCGTCGACACCGCAGCTGGATCCATTCGCTTGGATATCGCTGATCGTACACACGTGTTCATTAAACATCGAAAAATTAAGTTATTTAAAACAATAAATAAAAATGTGAAAAAAATGAAATTATGAAAAACAAAAAACTACTAATTGTCCTAATTGCTTTGACTGTAACAGCTGTATACGCAATGTGTCACCCGAACTCGGGTAACACGGCAGTCAAAGTGCGTTAATTCAAAAGAATATAGTTTGCAAATAATTTTGTCGAAAAGAATTATCACACGTTTCTTTAAATTCACACGGATGAAAAAAAAAACTTCAATATTTCGCGTGAAAATATTTAATTTAATGTACTGACGCCGTCGCACTAACCGGCAACAGAAATGCGATGCATGTCGTTGCGAGATCTCGCGAGTTCGGTTCCGACAGTTTGCAATTCGAACTTTTTCTCGGAGTCTTCGTTGCGTGAACTTTCAACAATAGCAAACGTAACCGACTGTCGACCAGCCGATGGCTGCGGCTGCGATGAGGACGACGACGGACCCACCTAAAAGGGTGAAAAATGCCAATTACTGTCTTCGAACAACGATCATATAGATCTCTTTCAGTCACGCGAGTAATGAAGAGCTCAGCGACCCTGAGAGACCTATTTTACGCTCGAAACGAAATCGGGAGAATCTTTGTTTTTTTTTTTTTTTTTTATATTAATTCTCGGTAAGACATTATCGATGAGAATTCTGAGATAAGAAAACACTCTGCAAGTAATTAATCTTTTTTTTTTTTTTATTTCAAAAACTCGCAATCATATACACGCGCGACTTCGATTTGTTTCTTCTCTTTGTGACATTTGTTATTCGGCATTGTTTTTCTGCACGTACGGAGAACTACTTCTCTCGTATCTCTTCGTTCACGTGCTTAAGGGTAATTCTAATTTCCGAGGTCGCACGTGACACGACACGCCTTTTCAAATGTTTTATATACACCGTCTAGATCGGATCAATGTGCTTAAATTGATCGCGCGCACATAAATTTTCTTTTAATATTTACATTTTTGAAAATCTGACGTCTGCAATCTTGCACGCGTTCACAAATACTTACATATTTATATATATATATTCAATACACTTTATTTTTTTAAAATTGATTGTCTCAGTATAGAAGTTTGATTTTGTTATTTCTTCACGCGTAAAATTTAAATTACAAACAAGAAAACAACAATATATTGCGTACTGTCAAAATGCGATGCAATTTTTTTGGTAAAAAAATCACTTTTAGGGAAAAATTGTAATAAACGACAAGAAAAACCGAAAGTATGAGTCATCATTAATAACCATCGTTATACATTTCTTGTTTCTTTTGTGCGACTCCACACCCTTCGCGAGTAATCACTCTCGTCAGAGGGTGAGAGGAACGATTACTATCGCGTATCACGTGCTACACGCGATATCCACGAAAATCATTCCCCTTGACGCGCATATCATTCGATGTAATTTTTATTAATGCTTGCGAGATATTCACAGCGATTAGGTACGTACAAATTAATCTCTTTGAGACTTTAAACTTGTAAATTTTGTTTTTTTTTTTTTAATACAAAAATTGTGTAAGATACGAAAAGTAAAGTCACGAACGGATTTATCTGTAATCGATCGCCGAGAAGACTGCAGATATTAATAAAAATTAATAACGCGCACTAATTTAATTCTAATTTTTTGTATATTAAAAAAAAATCTCAGTTTTAATTGTTAAAAATTAGCGCTGCGCAGAAGATTCGCTTGGAGCTGGCGCGACTCCGAGTGTCATCAGGCGGTTGTGACTACGTGTGTTTCTAGATATTCATATTTATATATGAAAAAAAGCTTAACAACAGTTAAAATACAGACAGTACATTCTAATTGAATATACAAAATTGAAAGAAAATATATACAAGAAAAACTAAACGCTTTTTGTTAGTATTGTAATTTTTTGTACTATAACAATTTTTACTCTATTATAATTTTTTTTTTTTTTTTAATAAATACTTACAAGAGCCAATGACGAAGATGTTGCTTTAAAAGAGCGTGACATCTTGTCTGGTTTCAAAATACCAGAAGTTTTTGTTCGATTCAACGATGAAATGGATTGCGAGTCACTTGCGTAGTGTGTCATAGATACGCGCGTCCACAATCACGTGTTTGTAATATCAATTGATTGCTTGAGAAATATGTGAATATAATTTATTGTGTAATATATCTTATCTCCACTCTGTCTGCATCTTCACCTTAAAAAAACTCGATTGGTTTTCTGTTTGATGCAAGTAATTATCCGTTTGAACAATTATTAAGAATTAATAACTCGAATATTCATTGAAAATAATCCGACCCGACACTTGTGACGATCTCCAGGTATACTGTCGCGTCTACAAACAATACCATTGGCATAATGACTATTGCCATTAACGAATGCACGCTAAAAGCCCCGCCAACCCGTTTTTTTTTTTCATTGCATTAACAAACATTTGTATTCATTTGCACGCAAATTTGACGTGCGTTAAAATTATTTGTTCTCAAGAAATATTAGATTATACCACGAATGTGCTATTTACGAAATTAAAGGCAAGCTCGCTAAAAGTAGAAAACTTGTAGATCTCAAAAATAGAATTCCGCAAATTAGAAAATGTTACTCTGGGTAGCTATTATGAAACCTCTTGGAATCGATTTCACTCTGAACTGTGGATTCCGACTTTTGTCGTCCTTCCTTTCAAACGAAAAGAAAAATCGACAATCGTATCGAAATTATTCCGATCGGAATCTCGATCCCGAATAGTTTCAAAATAGTTTCATAATAAATTTCCAAAATTGTTATATTTTTTCATGTATACGTACAGAGTGTCTCGCAACTATTTTCTTTTAATCGATTTCTGAGACAAACATTCTACCACCAAAACGTCGATGGTGTAATATTTTGTGAGCGTTCAAATAAGATAACAAATCAGAATCGTCCGACATTCAAGTCTGAAATTTGCGTGGTCGGGTGCGGTAACAATTAAAAACGCAAACAGTGTCGCCCCTTTTGTCGCAATAAAGATTGCGTGTGCTAAAATAATATAACTGAGATTTTTCGTCAGCTACAATTTGCGCGTTGTATATGCGGATAAATATAAAAAATAAACAAATGCAGACGTATACAAAAAGAAGAATTGAAAATAGAAAAAATACATATATACATATACATATATTTATCACTCTTTGTGATTAAATGTATTTTTATTTACATTACTTAAAAATATAAATGAAAATAAACTCTTTGGATAAATGGTATTTTTTTGGCACAAGTCCATCAAGTCCATCAGCTTTCGATAGATAGAAGAGTATCGCGATAATTGTACAAATTACATATTGCAATTCATTTCTTCGCAAACGCGCAATTATTGTTCCAATTGAGTATGATACAAACATTCCATTGATGGTATCCGCAAGATGAAGCCAAAATACAAAAGCGATTTGGTGACTTTTATATTTTTCACACGAGTCTTATTGCATCTACCACTGATTTATTAATTCTATAACGAAGAGTCCTAGAAATTTTCTGATAAAAGCGTGTTGTAAAAAAATATTTTCAAACTTTCTTTATTGGCAACGAATTTGTTTTTTTGGCGATTTGTTCGATCGGCGGTTTGTTAGAAGAGATCCGGTTTCAAGTGTAAATGAGAAGGAGAGAGCTTACATTATTTTACACCATTAAAAATTGACATTTAGAGTTGAGCGATCGAGAAGGAAATGCAAACCCTGTTATCCGTTTATAAATTATAAAAGTTCTTCAAATCACGCCAATTGTTGTCTCTCGTATAATTTATAACTACTAGAATATATTTGGAAACTCTAAATCTTCCACTCGACTTCAAATCAAATTTTATCTACATATAGCGGCAAGACCGTTGCAACGCATATACATGCATTGTTAGATCCAGTCATTTGGTTGTGTGACGAGCCCAGGTGGTTCGTTGCATTTCGCTCATCACATCGTTACGAGATGGTAATCGAGCGCTAGTTGTGCGAGAAGGCGGTGGACCGGAAGTTCGCAAAATGGTGGCCAAAGTTTTCGGATTTTGTATATTGTTCTTATTGTTCTGCGTGTTCACATTTGAATTTCTTTTCGGATTTGATTTCTTCATTTCGTTATCACTGCGTTTACCCTGAGGCGGAGGATCTAGAATTATTGGCGGTATGTCGCAAGATCCATCTTGCGGATTAAAAAGTTCTTGCTTGACTTTAACGTCGGTTGCTGTCGAATGAATTACGTTTCTGTCGTTACACGGCAAAGGTCTTATGAAAGCAGGTTGCTGCGCGTCCAAATTATCTGTCACGTAGTTGTCGAGTTTATGAGCCATGACTGGCGATGAAGTAAAGCTGTTCGGCTGAGAGATTCGTAGAGAAGCAGAATTTGGAGATAGTTGGGCTGAATTCTATAAAATTGAAAAATTCCCGAAAATTAACAAAATAAAACAGTTTTTTTTTTTTTGCGCGAGAACGTTGCGGATTAATATCTGTTTACCGCATTAAACTATAATACAAAACAAATTTTCTTTCTATTTTGAAATACTTTAAACTTGAAATAAAAATAATTAAAATAAAAATATTTATAGTTTAGCTCGGTATATACTTACTGAGAGAAAAAAGGATTACTTACTGTTGGTCCACCGCAGGGAGGTAGAAGCAAACTCGGACCCATCGCATACGGCGACGGTGTGTTATAAGGTGATCTCTGAGGCTGAAACGGACTCAGGTTGTGCAGCCTTTCCAGCAGTTGCGTTTGAAATTGTAATTGATCCGCGGTGGCGTTATTGCCCTGGATTCCCATAGCGCCAAGAGTGCCCGGATAGAGCGATTCCGGTGGATACGAATATGGAAAAGTCGACGAATCCAATTCCCATGGCGAATTTTGTCCACCGGTCCTTTGGCACTACTCGAGAAGACGTAGTTTGGGAAACAAGATCTTTGAAACTCGCGATATAAAGTCGTCTTTTTTCTTATATTAAATTCTCTCATCGAGTTTTAAATTTCAACTTGTTCTTTTTTGAACTTTTTTATTGTGTATCAAGAAAGAGAGAGAGAGAGAGAGAGAGAGAGAGAGAGAAAATAGAGAGCGTAAATATCACGCCAAGTTATCGTCACGTTTTCGCGTTCTAAATATATGTAAAAAGCTGTTATATAATCTCTAATTGAAATAAAATATTTGATAATACGTTAATTAAAAACATACATACGTAGTTACGTATTTCTATAATTCTCCTTACCTTCTTGACATAATTTTTAGATATTGTAAAAAATTGTAAACTTGAATATCTTTCGATCGGTCCAATTATGATCGTTTCTACTGTCAACAAAATTTAATAATAAGTGAAAACATTACCTAGCCTAGCACTTGTTGGCAGCACGTACTCCAAAATCCCGTGAAAAGACCTGTTAGACAACACCGTCATACTGGTGCTTAGTAGTTAGTGGATTAGTCATATCTTAGCACGAAATCCATTTTTTGCTATCAGATATCTCAATACGTGTCAGTAATTAAAAAAAAAAAAAAAATATATATATATATATATATGTATGCAACGCACTGCGTCAAATCACTCGCAATGTACAAAACTGTTTCGCTCCCCCCCTCCCCTGTTACTTTTATCGGTGTTAGTGTAAGTTTCAATCGGCAATCTTTCAGACTTGAAACTTTTGCGCCGTTTCGAGGGTCGAAGCGCAAATATTCGCGCAAAAAATGCAAATAGTTGAGGCCACGGCAGTTTTCGCCGTTGACGTCTTATCAGCACCAAACGAAAACGCCTAAAACATAGTGCGTGCATCGCTAAGTCATCAGAGCGTAACGGAGGAATATGTTTTTTTTTTATTCAAGGGATAAACACAATCGCCGGTGTAGTGTAGTGAGTGCAAAACAGAAAATGTGTATAAAACGGTTTTTATTATAAAGTTAAAAAAAGGGAAAAATCAGTACAAAAGACGTTAAAAAAGTACAAGATGCATTTTGTTAAACGTTAATTGAGATGCAACGACGTTTCGATCAGTCTGTGCTTCTGTTCCAAACTCCACCAGAACATTCGTGTCATGGAATTCGGTAGAGCGTTACCTGGCCGAGATTTGATAAGTCAGAAACCGGTGCACTTTGTTGCATGGACGCAGACGTCGGTATTTGTGACTGCGAGGTGACGTGGCTGCCAGAAACACGTTCTTGCTCCCTCAGATGACTCACTAACGCACTGATATGTTCTAGCAATTCCTTATTTTGCACTAGAAGTTGGTGTGTCCTCGCCTAAACATTCGTATACATTCATAGATATATAATAAAGTAAAATTTTTATTTTTTACTGATAGAATTATTTACAAATAAATATGATTTTAAAAAATAGAAAAAGCGTTTCTATCATTAGAAGCTTTTAACAGAGAATTGTTTGTGTTAAATACATATGTACATATATATGTACACATGTGTACGTATACGTATATAAAATATATATCCATATATATCCATATATACGTGTGAACGTTTCACTATTGTGATAGACATAAGTTAAGTTTTTATCATCACTAAATGATGATAAATCGTGAACGGACAAGTGTTAGCGAAATATTTACGTGCGTCGAGTAATTGATTCACTTATTTATACCTGAGCTTCGACGCGTGCTGCCGTTTCCGCCGCCAGCTGGTCCTGAAGAAGTCGCGCATGGGCAACGGCAGCTCTGGTTTGTTGACTCTGCTGCTCCAAACGTTCACGTAGAAGCTGTATTTCATGTTTCAGGGCTGTTAATTCGCCTCCCGCCAATAAACCTCCACACTCGGAGGTCACCGTGCCCTATAGAAACAAAAAATAAACTAAATCAATACCTTCTTATGTGAAGACATAAAAAGAGAGAGAGAATATAAAGAGAGATACGAAAACAAATTACGTAGTGAATTATTGCTGCAAAATAGAGTGTTTCAAATTGTAGATCAACAACACTTTTGAAAAGTCGTAAGTAATGCCGTGTAAGAAACACTTCTCTATTTAAAAATAGCATAATTTATTTATGTTATATTCGCAATTATGCAATTTACCGATGGCGACTGTCTAACTGGTGAGGTAGAGGTCGTTGTCGCCGGTCCATCGTGTGATCGAAGCAGACAGGTGACGGATGTTTGCTCGGGAACCAAATCTTCAGTATCTCCTAACAATGATATGTCTGCAACAACAAGACGATGTGTGATCATTTTCTTCTACTCTTTCTTCCGATGAAATAAACGCTTCGATTATTTAAAAATCTTATATATTCACCTTTATGTACTGGTGACGGAGAAGGTTGTTGCTGCTCATTAGGAATTTCATCTTGGTCCTCGTAAACATCACCGTAATTCTCGCCATGATTCTCCCCCCCGTCTTTGTCTCCTCGATCACGATCTTCCGTAGTGTTGTTTATACTTAATTTATGGCACACTTCGAAAGCTTGGCCAACTGTTCTGACCACTCTCATTGCTTGACTCTAATTAAATATTTACGACATACATTCACAAATACATATGTGTAAATAATAAATATAAACGTTACAATACAATTTTAGACTATACATCTATATGAGATTATATCTACACATTATATATCAGCGAGCTTCCTACATTCGGACATTGTTAAATAATTTTAAAATTCAAGAGATAAGGCGGTGTAGTTTTTAAAATAAAATACATTTTACACAAACAGGCAACGCGAGTGATTTTTACCTCGAGCTCGTCGAGATTCTCGTTTTCCTCCTCGAATGGATTTTCGTCAAAGCTGAGATCGAAGCTATTTTGCGCGTGTATCAATCTCGGTCGTGTCAACGACTTGCGCATTTTCCAACTGAAAGTCTCCGGCATTTTGAACGAGAGTTTCTTGCGCGGTCTTGATGTTGTTTCGAAACCCAGAGGACTTCCAGGACCAGGACTCGATGGTATCGGACACTCGGTCGAAGCCATTGCCGACTTGGGCGAGTTTTTCAGCATCGCTCAATATTTTCTAACGTGTCTGCTTCCAAGATATTACGCGCAGCGTAAGATTCACAGTAGCGGATGTTGTCATCCATCGCGAGATCTCTACATTTTTTTTTTTTAATATTTTTTTATTTAGATGATTCGTCAGTTCGTTACGGCCATAACATCAAAACGTTTACTTTGAGAATCTCTTTGAACTTATTTCAGCTTGTCGAGGCCATAAAAAACACATGTGAGATATTTATATGCCGTACGATTCCGTAGCTAAAGTGTACGAACATGTACTACGTGAAGTGTTAAAAAAGATATTAGATTTTTTTTTTTAATCTGAATCTGTGAAATGAGATCTTTGACACTAAAGAAATCAATTACTTGTAAGCTAACGAATCAACAATGATAAATTTCTCTCGACACTTATGAGAGAACCACTGACGTAAATTCTCATTATTTTAAAATACGTCTGTGTTTTTTACGAGAGAGAAAACGTCATCGTCTCTCCGCGTGTGTCCGCTTTTCTCGAGTGCATTTATTTAATTTGCCCGAGCATACGCCCGAGATTACAATTTTACCCGGTACATTTTACCAGGTAGGTTCAAAGAATTGATATTGACATCTAGTGTTTCTCGCGCGACGTTTTCAATTATAAATAGTCACCCGTAATTTTGATCTGGCAAATTCCCTGCTAAATTGTGCGTAATTTGGAAACTATTATGAGAAGCTCGTAATAGTTCTCGTCAAGATTTGCGCATACGATCGAAATTTTTCGCATGTAACAATTAATTCGATACAAGAAATATTTATCATCAAATATCAAATTATCACAAGTAAATTAAAATAAATAAAGTTTCTGGTATCGTGAAAAAAATGTTGAATAAGTTATTTTAAATTGTTTTCTTTTTTTTTCTCTTTTTTTTATAATACAGAATGTTCCGAGCGCGAGTTACACTTCTCTTTACTAATTACATAAAAAATGTATTAAGATATATAAACATGTGTGGTAATTATCACATATTTTTTTTACGTATCACTACTTGGTCAATAGAATCACTGTTTTTTTTTTTTTTTTCTTTATTGCGCGTATCGTTTTATTACGTGTCGCCGCGAACAAATCTCTTACCAAGCGCTGTCATGTTACAGAGATCATATCCCGTAATCAAACGATCCTATTTCCACTCGCTTGTCACTCGGTGCACGTCTCGGTTTTCGCTCGACCGTTTCGATCAACCGCAACGCGGAGTGTTTAATCTCCGGATAGAGAAAAGCCACGTTGCTCGCACAGAATCACTACTTCATCGCGAACTAGGCGCTGTTCTGACAAATACCGACGAGATCGTCCCATGTTTTTACGCATCGTTGCGCCTGCAGACTCATATTATATATGTCCGTTCGAGAAGAGGAACGTGTGAGAAAACGCGGAAACCACGGGGAGCAACAAAACGAGAGAAAGGAAGACGACGACGACGACGACGACGATATCGCGCCGGTTTGTATATAAAAGCTTCGTCAAACGCGGAGAGCGCGAGAGCCGAAGTTAACCGTACGGCATCCTACCGTGGTTTCTTGGCCGGTAACGTACAGAAACGCGCATGCTGTGCTCTACGCGCTTCGCGCTGGATTTTTCCTTCTGGTTTATTTATAAGTGCATTAATATTCTCGCATTCGGTCCGCTCAATGGCACTTTTCCATCTCTCTCATCTCTCTCTCTCTCTCTCTTTCTTTTTCTCTCTCCCTCTCTCTTTCTTTTCTTCCGCATAATTTATTACACATCCAAATTTGACCCCGAGTACGAGCGAAAAGAGTCTATACTTGTAACAAGAATGAAGCGGAAAAAAACACATTGCAACTCTAAATTTATCCGGAATGCATAAAATTTCCGTGATACATCAATGATGCAACAAATCACGAAACGATCGATTTGCTTCGAGAGACCTAGATAGTCCTTAGACCGGACGTGTTATGCGTGTGTGAAAGAAAGTGTTTCTCTGTGATACAATTCGTGCATTATCTTATACAGTTCTCAAGTATTACGCATCGATCAAAAAATGTATATTGCGAACTTTGTTTGTAAAAATCCTTTGAATATCTGCGGGTAATATAAATCCGACGGAATACGCAAAAGTATTGTATTAATCGAATGCGCAAACTATATAAAGCAGAGCGTGAAATAAGTGGGTATAGGTATAAGCTGCCGGTACAAGGGGGTGATCAATAACAAGAATATGTGATTTTACACACACGGAGATATATATATATATATATATATATATCTCCTTAGGCTATATATATATATATATATATATATATATATATATATAGCCTAAGAAGCAAAATTTACGTGGAACTTCAATTTAAATTGGAACCCACGTTTTTTTCTCTTTCACGAGTGAACAAAAAATTCTAATTCGTTGGAGGTGAGAACACGCGTGGCTGTATTTGTTCTCGGAAAGCTGAAAGTGTAATAGTTGAAACTTTTTGAAAAACGGCGAACACACAATTGGGATAATATGTTAACAGTAAATAACTAATAAAACCCCTTTTTTGAAACTGTCGCTCGATAACGCGAGTTTTAAATTTCGGTCAGAGAGCAGATATTTTTGCGATATCCTAGATATATCGTCTCCTAGTGATCGCCTAGTTATTTCTGGATTCACCCAGATTTCGAAAGAGACCGGAATCCCTAATGATCAAAAAGAAGACGAACGAAAAACTCCATCTTTAATTATTAAACCAATGTTTAAAAAAATGTTATCACAACGGTAAAACGGTATGCGAGAAAACTCGGAATGCAGGAAAGTAAAATTTGTTTTTTTATTTTATTTTATTTTTTATTTTTATTTATCATGATAAAAATATGTGGAAATTTTATTCTCGTAACGATATTAATACAAAATAAAAATGCCATGTATAAATTGCAGAAGGAAAAGAAATTTGTTTTGTTTTATATATCTACTGTGTAATAAATTACTAAAGATAAGCATTTTATACTCGCACATATTATAAAGAGTATGTGTGTGTGTGTGTGTGTGCGTGCATGCTGAGTTTTCTTTGTTGCGAAATATTAAACAAGTTTCTCGATATTTAAGAGCTGCCGTTAGACGCCAATAGCCGATTTCGTGAAAGATCATGTCTATACTATTTTAATAATCGGTGCCAAACAGCGCATCGGGCCACTACTGCAAATACACGACAAAACTGTACACGTCCTCCACACCCCGTGCTTCTTCACCGTCGTGACTTCATCGGGCCATCCCTCCGCCCACGTAAAAGCGAAAATATCTTCTTACTTCGACAGGGATGCAGCAGCGTGCCCGACCCTACCCTCGGCAAACGTCTTCGCAACAGGGAAAAGATCAGCGAGAGATGCGTGCGGGGAAAATGCGTCAAGAAGACGGTACGTTTATTTATAGATTTACAATAACGTAAGTTGATAAAGCGCCAGGCGACAGACGACGCGGGGCTGCGTAAATTGTCGTGAACTCGTATGTACGCACGTGTGCGACGTAATTTTACGCCGGCTGCTATCGCGCATGCGGAACGAACACCGCAGAAATAGAAAAATAGGAGTGTGTGTGTTGTTTAGCCGAAATTCTCGCGTTTTTTGCTCTCTCGGTTGCGTCACTTGTGTAAACGACTTTGACAATTTTTTGTTTACGTACATAAATAACACAAAACTGTATGCAACAATAATAAAACAAATTTACAAAATCAAAGTTTGTAAAAATAAAAGAACAGCAAGTGTCTATAGTAATTCTTTTTCTTCCACTTCTTTGTAACTTAGTACGCGAAATGAGGTCCGATATGTAGAAAACTCGATGATATCGACAATTGATCGAATTGTCACTATACAAGTCTGAAATTTGTAAACGCTTACCTTTTTGCTAGATTTGAAGACATTACATTTAAAAGTATTGCTACTTCCGTCGCGAGCAATGTAACTAAATATTTTTAAGTCATGGCTATCGTGCGAGACGTAGAATATCCTGAAAAGCAGATTTATTTTCTGATTTAATTAAACAAAAATTGTGTGTGCGTCACGTGAAATTTAGAAAAATTATCTATTGTTTCGCTCTATTTCTCTCCCTCCCTTCCGTTTAAATTGTATTAAAAAAATGCAAATTGATCTTACCTGTAAATTGGATGGTGCATCAGATAAATTTTATTCTCATCCATCCACTGCTGTTGCTTCTTCTGCGAAAACAAATGGTGATAAACACAGTCATTACTTCGAGAATAACGTTAACCACTATTGGCTATTACTTCTATGTCGGTGTGTATAAGTATAGTATCGAGAATATACAATCCGTGTGCATCAGTATGAATACAATGTGGCGCTTGTCCAAAATCATTTCTCGTTATAAATTGCAACCGTTACGAAATGCTCATCACCGAATGAACACAATGATTTTTCCCGTAACATTCGTAAAAAGCAAACAATATATATTTGACATTGATGTTGTATATTGACAATTTTTTCTGTAATATTCTCCGAAAAAAAATTACCTTCTTTTTTCGTAAGGTCACTTTTAATCCGTCTACTGAGATTTCCAGCGTTACTTTCTTCTTCTTGACCCCTTTGGCCTTAAACTCATACTGGTGGGTAACACGAATCCAAATTAATCAAAACGACACACGAAGATGTCACATGTGCTAATTAGCTGTTACGGATATTATATACTTACGCGGATACTCCGCATCGCCGCCACGATCTCCACTCGGCTAGTCGGTCGTGGAACCTCCATTGAACCAATGAACTGAAACAGAAGTATGGTAGAATTTGTTAAAAAAATCTCACGAATCACTTTAACATCTTGGTCTATAAAGACTTTCAACTTGTGAACAGAAAAATATGAATATAATAAATTATTGTTTAATTTAAAAGACATTATCTTGTAAAAATGTAGAAAGTAAAAATTAAATATTTGTGATCTCTATCTCTCTCTCTTACACACACACACGCACACATAACCATTTCCAGGACAAGAATTAGAATAGTAAGATTTTGAGAGAAAGGAACGTCACGTGGAACGAAACCTTTCCGTGTGTATACACGCAGAACGCATGCAGTTAAGTTACGTTGCCATAATCATATACAATGGTGGAGCACTATGGTCGAGATCTGTATTTAGAATTCCCCCATTGAAGTGATGGTCTTAGCCACGTGTTAGGGTAATTCAACGCACACGTGGTGCTCTCCCACGCACGTTCAGCACGCACGGTAAGGAACGGTTTCTTCGTGAATTTGCAATCGATAACCGTAATTGAATTATTTTATGTACATATATACGTAACTAAAAAATCTCATCACGCCTTAGTTCATCGTATCTTAGATAAGAAATCGATCATTTACACATAATTCTTGATTATGCGAAAACACTTGTTATAAATCAACGTAGCTAAATAGAAATAATTCTATTGTCTAGTCTGTGTGTGTTTCATTTGACAATTCTGTGACAAATGCGTATGGTGCTTTGCATGTGTATGCAATATTAATGGCTAAACTTTCCATGACATATTGATCTGCATTTATTCTACTGACTACCAAGAGCTTGTGCGTGTACGCGCGCGCGCGCGCGCGCATGTGTGAATATTCACTTTTCAAACTGCGAGAACATACATAGAAAGTTACTGATGATGTATTATAAAAAAAATATATATTTTTCGCTGCATCTTTGTACACCGAAATTAAGTATTAAAATTATATTGTGCTTTTGTCTCTTTACATCCTTTCAGGAACATGTTTTAGCTGCCATGAATTTCCGCGCAAATGGCAACAACGACAACGACGACGATGCAAACCAAATGCACAATTTCGTATTGTGCGATTTTGCCGTGGTGTAAAATTTACCAACAAAACCGCCGCGTCCCACACGCAAAAACTTTAACCTTTCTCAGAAGAAGTATTCACTGAAATAAACACGTGCACGATATGATGACGTCACACCGAACATTGGTGTGGCCGGCGTCATCCAAAAATAAGTCGCCGGTATCGCGCTGTCGTCGCAATTGTTGCACCATCGACGACGTCCAAATATTATTATTCCGGATTGCTCACGAGCCGGCGTATTGAGTTCCTCGAATCAATTTCGTCACGCGCAGAAAAAGTGAGATAAACCTATTCTTGCGAAGACGGAATGTTCTTTTTTTTTGTTTTTTTTTCAGATTAATCAGTTAACATTCCCGGTGTAAGAGCGGTAGTTTACATCCGTCCGTAAGCTATTTATTTCCGTAGCGAAAAGATCACTGACTAGGTCGTTATTGCCTATTGTTAGAAATGGTTGTGTCCCACTTCTCTCTTTCTCCATTTGCCACATTATTTTCACAATTTGTTAGAAATATCGAAGCCGCGGGCTATTTAAAGACATCTCACAGTGTGCCTATATTTGCTTCCTTTGTCTGCCAGATCGATGTGCACACCGCAATATTGAAATGTGTCAAGTACATCAAAATGGTATATATATGATAAAAAAAAAGTGCAAAATTCATTCTCCGCGAGTCAAAGCAGATGCGTTTTTTTTTTTCTCATTGCCGTTAGAAGAAACCAAACGTTTATATAGTCGACATACATTTTCCTTTAACGTGAGAGAAAACAGAGAGAAAAAGAGAGAGAAATGGTCTATCGACCGTTAGAGAGCTACATTCCCTAAAAAAGTGTGCAATATACAAGAATGATTTTGCAATTAGAAATTTATAGTACATTCTAATTGCGTTACAAAATAGCTCTTTTTAATAGAGCACAACAATATATTATCGATAAAATTTTACATGAGTTTGAGCAAGACCTTCCTGCAAGATGTTCGAGATGTGCCTTAATAACAACCAGAAGATATCCGTAGTGGACTGAAGTGGATAAGAAATCACTCCAGATTACCTTGGCGTGGAACACGATGCCACGGTGGAACGCCTCCTCGCTGTGAAGCGGTATTCGCGTGTCGTACTCGTCATTATGTACGAGGTTGTATTGCTTCTTAGAGGGCATGCTGAGCCCAGCTGCATTCGACTATGATCGTCCAGCCTGGCTGCAATTATAATAAATGATCCATTAGCATTCTCGTACGCGGACAAATAACTTTCTGTATAACTGTCATTAAAACTTGTATTAACCGAATTAATCTTGTGCTATATCCTATTTTTTTAATCAACCCTTCGCCGACAGACATGGGTTTTTCAGACCCGTTCAAAACTTGCGCATCGGCATTTCTCTCTCAAAATTAGTTTAAACGCTTGTATCATCGGAACTACTAGAGATTTTTAAATTGTTTTTTTTTTTTTATCGACACAGAATCAAACTTCGAATTTAAAAAAAAAAAAAACGAAATTGAAAAAAACAATACTGATTTTTCGCGAAGATATTCGATTTTAAATTCGAGTCTCAATTCAGACCCAGTCTGTCCGACTCGTAGGTCATTTTTGAGGTCTGTCCATCAAGGGTTAATATCCCCGTTAGTCACTCATTAGCGTTTAGTGTTAAGTTATATATTACGCCGCTACTAACGAAAAACTTTTCTGGACTTTTATAAGTCTACAAAAAAACAGGCCGACGCGAAGTCATCCCAGGAATTACAATATTGCAATATTCATGTATAAATGCCATTAATTCAGGCGACAATTAAGCAAACATTTAATTTTAAATACCTATTTAAAAAAATATTACATGTACGCGCTAAGGTATAACAAATCGCGTAGCGCGTGCAAAGTTATTGCGACTCAGGTGTACGCTGCAAAATTCTTTAAAAAAAAATCTTATTATCTTCGGAGAATACACAAAGAATCGCGATACAAGAAGGAGACACGTTTCCGTTGCGGCAAGTTGCAACCGCGAGATGCATCATCGAGAAGGATGCTTCTTTGTGCACGCACACCTGACCTAAGCGACGTTCACATCGGCGTGAATGACTGAACAAAGAAAATTTTACACTCGCACTCGCTATTAGAGATGCAGCAAATGATGCGAGAAGCGCGCAGCACAAAACACGTGTAGCGCATACATATAGACTCGGATCTCACACACATACACATAGACGTTGTCTGTTTACAATTTAAAAAAATAAATGTGCAACGTCACGTAATTCAAAATTTCCGACAAGAATCATACAAATGTCATATACACACACATTATTAAAAAACATTCCATAACATTTAATTATACATCTTATAAAATTATCTCACAAAATAATCATTTGTACAAAATTTAGAATTTAGAATTTTTATTAAAAAAAAAACAAATACACACGCTGTGTGACGATGTCATAAAGTTGCATATACGCGCTTTGTTTAGCATCTATTTCTTATTACAAATCGCGCAAATATTGCGACCGGAAAATTTTGACATATCGCTTTGTATTAATGTCATTTTCATTGAGTACACTCGCTTATCGATGAGACAACTTACCTAAAAGCTGAGTGGACGAACGGCCAACGTTGGTTTTCATTAACCGTGATAATGCAACTCTCGGCGTGCAACGACCGGATAATGACAATCCTTCCGCGAAAATCAATTTCACGTGTGAACGCAGCTTTACGATGGCGGTAGGCCGGTCAAACGAGAGGGGCGCGCATGTATTCGGGTTTCACTGTAATAAAGGCGGCGAGGAACCACCGACGACGAGCCATACCACATACACACACATGTGCACACCACAGTCGGATCCCTCGCTTAGTTCGCTCACTCGTGTGCGGATATAGTCCCTTCTTTCTCTCTCTCTCACTCTCCCCCCTTTTCCTGGAACCAGATGACAGAGCGGACTCGGATCACCGCGACTCAATTGGACCGATTGGACGCGTTTCGCATCCTGCAAGAGTTCACACAGAATGCTCCCAATGTATTCTAAGGTTTTCGCAATTATTGCGATATTGCTATGTAGTCACTCGTTGAAAAACGCACCGAACTCAACGAGAAACGCACGGAATTAACGCTCGCGTCGCGACCAGCAACGAAGCAACAAGGGGTTTGACTGTTGATCGAGGAAGAGAGAGAGAGAGAGAGAGAAAATTTGCGAGGATAATATTTATACTGGCATAGCACCGGCGTCACGAGCAAAAAGCATCGCACAGCAGCGTACCTCGCGCGCGCACTCTCCAGTTTATTCCCGCTCGATTCCGAGGAGTCGACAGACTACGACAGCAATGCGCGCGCTATACCCTCTCCTCCTCCTTATGTTTCCATGTAGCGCCATCGGACCCCGGGAAAAAAAGAGAGAAAAAGAGATAGTGCGGTAAACTACGGGCGCGTAGAGCTCGCGTGCAAAATGGAAAACGTGCTTATATACGGGGGCGCGCGTTTCGATCCGTAACATTTGCACGCGCCGTGCGCGAGCGTCGTCGAGCACTCGAAATTCAACTCTCTTGCGGACGCGAGAAAAGAGCAGCTCCGCCATACAAACGGCACCGGCATCGCACTGTGAAAACCGAGCTTGTGTGTTATATAGTTAACTCGCACTGTGTAATGCTGCTGCGCACACCGCTCGGGACAGGGTGGATCGGGATGGATGCCGAGTACGTCCGAGAGAGCGTTCGTTGGCCGAGGCCATTGGTCCGCACTCGCAGTGTGAGGTCGCCGCGGCGCGCTTGTGGTCGGCGCGCGCTTCTCTCTTCGAGGAGAACATCTTTTTATTCTCATATACCTACCTGAATAACGTCGGACGCGGGAAGAAAACATTCGCGTGTGTATACGCGCGCTCGGCTCGTAATACACGCAACGATGATTTTCTCATTGCGTTCGATTTTTTACAAATCGACGACGTCGATTTGTTATTTCGTCTCGAAAAATGTTTCACATCTTTCCTCCGCACGCACCGCTCGTCTCTCATCCGCGTCAACATTTTTAGAACAATCGAGCTCTTTTGGACGGGGCCGAAAGCTCGAGCTCTAGGTGATGAATTTTACGCGCGAACGTTTAAATTTGTAAAAACTATAGCAAGCGAAGTCTCTTTTGTGTATGTATTTCTGGTCGCAACTTTTGTGTAATGCACGAAGCGTAAGACGTAAAAGAATCAACCAATTAAAGCTTTTTAAAACGAGAAGTGGAGGTTGGATTTTAGTGGATTCTTTTATATTTTATGCAAAAGTTCGGCTTTATTATTATGCGGACAATTTGGTTTACGCGAGTATACGCAACATTGGTCGCGATGAATTGTTGAATAAATTATCGTTTTATTGACGACGTTGATTTTGGTGGCACTGAAGATAATAGCAAATCACGTTTGATTGCCACAAAGCAGCCTGTTGTTCTCTACTGAGCGCAATCATTGGGCGCGTTCAGACAACTCAACGGTTGAGAGATCATCACTTATGATAGGACTATTCTTCAAAATCTGATGCGGTTCCAAAAGTATGATCCAATCAGAAGTGATTATCTCTCAACCGTTGTGCAACTGTTGAGTTGTCTGAACGCACCCATTGGTTCACAAAACATGCGGTACATGTGAATGCACCCTAAGATGAGAAACAAAGTGAGAACCAATCGTTCAGCTGGACATTTTGTTTGGCGCGCAACGCCATCTGTTGGCCCGCTTTTTTCCCTATAGAATTTTCTTCTCTCTGTTTCAATCCGGTGTTGAAGAGAAATCACCTTCCTTTTTCCGCTAGCGTCTGCCTGTATAGGGTGATACGACGTTAGGTAATCTCTCGTAAAATCCATACTAATCTGTCGATATGCCAAATGCGATAAATTTGTCTTTATATAATTTAAACATTATCTTTTTTTATATTTGCACGTTGTAGTATTATTTTACAGTGAAACGTTCAAAACTGAAAAATAACCTCTGTTCACGTAGCTGTCAAAGACTTGGTTCTAAATTTGTTTATATATTTGAAGTAGGCGAATATAATTTGTGTATTTGAGAAATGTAATTTATGAGTTTGCGAATACACATTTGTACTTTAATTTTTGATAAATTCTGGACTATGTAAATATAATGGTCTAAGTAGAATTATCATAACCTATAAATTTAAATCGTAACATGTGTGTGCTAAGGTTTTATTATGAAGAAATGTTAAAGAATGTTTATATAAAAGAATAATAAAAGAAACATTGCACATTTTCTATTTTGTTATTACAATACGAGTGATTTGATAGTTTATTTACACATGTATACGTACTGTGATTATTACACATTCACTTTATATTTGTGTGCTGCTATATTTATTTCAGAATGAAACAGATTGTAACAAATCAAACTGTCAAAATCCCAGAGGGATTGACTGTCAAAGTCAAGTCCCGTTTGGTGACTGTAAAAGGACCAAGAGGAATCCTAAAACGATCATTCAAACATCTTGCACTTGATATTCGTGTAAGTAAAATGTTCTGTTATGTAAAAAATACTTGTAAAATATTTATATGACATTATAGAATATATATTTTTTTTTATGTAAATGCTATTTGATAACAATATAAGTATGCTAAACTTTATGATGATATGTGGATTCCCCTTCATTTTTCATAAATGATAACATCCATATCTGAGAAATATTGATGAATTGTTCATGTTAAACATACATATAATTAATGTGTATTTTTTTTATTAATATACTTTTTGATTATGTTAACATATCTTTTAACTTAATTTTAGATGATCAGTCCCAGATTATTGAAAGTAGAAAAATGGTTTGGCACAAAGAAGGAATTGGCTGCTGTTCGAACTGTGTGTTCTCATATTGAGAACATGTTAAAGGGTGTAACAAAAGGTTACCAATACAAAATGCGAGCAGTATATGCTCACTTCCCTATCAACTGTGTCACTACCGAGAACAACACAGTTATAGAAATTCGTAACTTCTTGGGAGAAAAATATATACGTCGTGTTAAAATGGCACCTGGTGTGACTGTTACGAATTCCGCCAAACAAAAGGATGAATTGATTATAGAAGGAAATTCCTTAGAAGATGTGTCACGCTCAGGTAAATTGTTCATATAAATTTATTTTAAAAAGTTTGTGGATACTTGTTAAGACATTCAAATACAATTATATTCATATGAATTTTATCATGCAATTTATATTGAAATAAGATAATTTTTATATATGCTATCATTAATGTATACACATATATATTTGAAAGCATAAAGCGATACGAATTGTCGAGAATTTAAATTGAGTAATTGCATGATAAAAATAGTTTATAGCAATAGTTGCAACGTCAGCATTCTTGAGCAGAATGAAGAAGTCAACTTCATTTTGTATTTAAACTATTATATATTGTTTTGTTTTAGCTGCTCTTATTCAACAATCAACAACAGTAAAGAATAAGGATATCAGAAAATTCTTAGATGGTTTATATGTATCCGAAAAAACCACTGTTGTACAAGATGATGAATAAATTTCTTGACTTATGTGAATTTTATTAATGTGTGTGTGTGTTGTTTTTACTCATATTGTGTCAATATAGTTTTATTATTATTACCATCATTATTAATAAAAAAGAAAAATTTAAATGTAGTTTCTTCTTGCACTATTATTATTAACTATTATTGCTATTATTATTATTTTTCATATTGGAACTAAGATTTTTAATTTAGATTCCGAAATCGATTTTCCGATTCTAAATCTCAAAACCGCGCCAAGTATTCAAACAAGTCGGACATTGAAAAATGTTAAAAAAATATTTTTTTAAATTCAAATCTTGAAAATACAATACATAAAACTATAATAGACCCAAAGTTAGTATATTGTTCACTAAATATTTATTGTTAGTTTAATTGGAATTGTGTCATTAATGTGTTCTTAATTAAAACTATGAAATATGTCATTCTTCATTATTATAATGTAACGCATGCAAGTGCGTCGATATAGTTGAAAGCGGGAGATCGGGTCAACGGTCGTTCGAAAGTATATATACATTATGATAATAATAATCGAACATATATTGTAACAGCAGCAACGCATTATTTCTTTTTGGTGTACGGAAACGGAACATTGTGACAACACACAAAATACTAAACAAACATTGAGATAAATATATTGTTGCTCTGTCAAAATATACGATAAAAATAATTGTTATTGCTGCAGATATACAAAATTGTTCCTCAGCAAAAGTTCTGCGTATATTGATAAATTCGACATCTCGATATAAATAATTTTATATATAATTTATGTATGAGATTGTGAGACGATCTTACACATGATTGTATATGAAATTTTTCCAATACATAAAAGATACTTATTTTCGACTTATAAATCCGATTTTTTTTCACCTACTTCTAAGCAGACTGACGTATAGCTGAATGATCGAAGTCCACGAACCACAAAAAAGTCACTTGTAAATTAAGGTATACGACGTAATCAAATAACCATATTGTTTTTGCCATTCTGTTTATGTGTGTATTTGCACCGATTTTATCGAAATAGTGATCTGAGTTTTTATTATTTTTCTCCGTCTTGATTATTTTTCCGGTTCACATTAAATTAAAAATAAAACATGCAAAATAGACTGAAATGATTAGACGATAAATATGTTTGACAGAAATGGTAATTTATTGCTTTTTAAAAGCGAACGCTGCGACAAAAAGTATAGGTTTTTAAATAGTTTTTGAATAGTAATAAAATACTTCTAATGCAGTGAAAAGAGTGCCGCGTTAACCTTGAAACTAAAAAAAATAGTAATACAGTAAATTATCACGATTGTGTTAAGATGTTTAAATATTTACACACATAAAACTTTTTTAAAATATATAGTTCTGGAAAGTTAAAGTTGAAGCTAATAATATGAATGTGTACTTGTATACAAATTCTTTGCATCTTTGCACATGTGCAATAATAAAGTACGCGGAAATGTAATAATCTAATTTTTCTGAGTGCTTACATCCTTTTGTCTTTTTTTTTTTGCGATTATCAAACAGAATAAAATTTATATAGAATCATATAGAATAAAATTAATTATCGAAGGGAAAATAGTCACCTTAATTTATGTCAAAATAAAGCGGATTTTGTGTATGAAAATTAAAATATCGCAAATGATAATAAAAATACATAAAGTTATCACAAATGAATGTTATCCGGAAAAAAAAGTTCCCGTGCGTTGTTAATGAACTTCTAGATATAATTACCTGCCGACTACAATCAGTATAAGAAATATACAACAAAAAGTTAATCTCTTTTCTTATGACCAAGGTTTTTTTTATAACGTTCGATATTATACGTGTGATATTACAATTATGTACTTGTGAAAAACATTTATTTTTTTTTAGATGATTTAGTTCAGAATTTCAGAATTTTTGTGTTTCGGTGGGAAATAGTTTCCGTAGTTGTGCTCGTTAATTTTTACTTTAATTGAGAAGAGAGATCCGGTTAATAAAAGTACATGACAACTTAAGTCACACTAAACAAAAATAGAATATTATGTCAAATAATAAAATAACAGACGAAGTAACAAACACTGAAAAATGTTAATCTGTGCGGATATAAAAAGTTAATAGTGTATAATTGCATGTAAATATCTAAAAAATAGAATTTTCCACACAGTACAAAAACTTCATTAGACGTTTTTTAAACGTCGACAGCTTCATGAAACATCTGATAAATGTCTAATGGATGTCTGGATAAATGGATGTCTGTGTGGATTAATTAATCAACTGTTTCTTATCCATGTACGCGGATGATGAATTAAATTTAATTTATATATTGAACTTATATATTTATTATACACAACATAACATTTGGAATTCTTTGCAAAACTTGCAAAACAAATCGAATGAAAAATGAGTGTTCTCGCTACTCTCCTAATTTAATTTTGAAACATAATTCGTTAAATTTTGGTATTTAAAGAAAATAATGTTGGTAATATGGTAAATCATAGATGAAAAAAAGAAAACTGACAATTAATTTATGATTAATATTCCAAGTGCTCTTTGTTAGTGAATATCAATGATTACAAAGAGAAGGGATATTGATGCAACTTATACATAGTGGGGATTGAAGTAAAAAGAGAGAGAGAGAGAGAGAGAAGGGGAAAGGAGAAGGGAGGGAGAAGAAAGCGTGGACCTGTTCTTTGAGTGGACTCTATCGTCAATCATAACTGGTTGTCGTCATTTGCTTGTCTCGTCTCTTCAGCGTCGCACAAAGAGAGGAAGATTTTGGTCTAGGAAGTATCAGTCTCTGAGTAAGTACACCATGTTTAACCTCAACGATCTGTCACGCGAAACACGATCGGCGCAACATGTATTACTGCTAAATATACAAATGTTCAAACTTTCACATTCCGATCGCTCGTACATTAACCCAGTTGTTACTTGCGCGTCATGTGAATATAGCTCTCAGCTGTGTATTATCTCCTATATGAAAATAAGAGTGCCAAGTGTCAAAAGTTATAAGTCAAGTTAACACTAGCTTATCACGTTTCCGACCACGTGCGATTGAACTGCTTCTGGATTGATGAACATCAAATTTCTACATTTTCAAATCACAAATTTATCTCACTTATTTGAACGTGACATTTAGCTGTTTTTAAGTGTTGCATTGAAGAAACACAGAATAAATTTTTTTTTTGTAACAGATATACTATGATCAAAAAATTCTTGTTATTGAAAACTCGTGCTGCTCCGCTGCGTAGAAAATTTTCGAGTGTATCTCAAAGGCCGTGAAGAAAGCAAAATAACAATATCTCACACACATCGTTTGTTACAATAAACACGTATAACATATATTATCGATTTCCGAGTCATTACAGATATGTTCGCTGATGTTAGAAACTAGAACATTCTTTTATTGATTTAAATAAATAAATAAATAAATAAAAATTGCCTGTATTTGGATGTGGATGTGTAACTTTTTTTTAATAAAGCGAAACATTTATTTTTCATATAGTTTGTAATCATCGTGCCATAATCATCTATTTTTGTAGAAGACATTTTGCAGGATATGGTTAAATATAACAGATTTTAATATTAGCGGCTTTAGATGCGCTTCGTTATCTATTAAGTTTGTAATGTTTTTAGTTTGCTATTTCCTGTTTGATTAATGAAGTTTTCTCAAAGTGTGCCGAACACCGCGCGCGAGTTTGTCAGATAATCTTTTAATTACTTAATATTTGTAAAACGGAAATCTGCCCACACAACTGTGAGCTTAGACAAAGGATCGTTTCACTCAGAACAATATAATGTGATACATGCTTTTGCAAATTACATGCCTTTTCTCGTAATGTAACAAAAAAGATTAACTTTTTTTTTAATTAAAAATAAGATAAAACGAATAAAAATCAAATGAGGCCAACGTTGCTGAATTGGCGCAAATATTTATTTTATTTTTTCTTCAATTTCAAGTATGACAAAAGAATATCTGCTTATTGATTTTATAACTTAAGTTCTCTTCGGTGATGAAAACCACTGAGAAATCTAGACAAAAATATTTCAAATCGAACGAATCTGAGCGCAAATTGATAAATGCAAAACAATGATAAAACAATTAACACAAAGGAAAAATCAATAATTAATAAAAATCAATATTTAATAAAAATTAAACGTTAAACTTAGGAAAGATGTTATTTTTCTTTAACACAATAACTGATAATGATTCACTTTGATTCTCTCGATAAAAGTCCAACCTGAAACGTCATATATTGTGCGAATCTCTTGGACTTTGTGCCACTCACTTCGCATATAGCTAAAATTATTCGTGAAGAATGCTGTTATATTAGTGTAAAAGAAAATAATTTGCATAAGACCTTGTTTTTGTTTAGTAAACTTTCGCGAAATGTCACTATTGTTCTTTAAAAAACGTTCTCTTTCTCGATCGTGCAAAATCATAAAATAGATGTTTTTCGCGATTTAATTCTTTTGAAATCCGCTTTGATTTGTGCCAATTTTATCTTTTGTAACAATCCAACAAATCGTTCAAGTGTCGTAATCTGTCGAACAGTTTCGTATGTTCAGCGTAAGGTGTGCTACTTTCAATGTTTTTCAGTTCTTGCATTTTTTGAAAGAAATTTATGTGTAAAAAAACTGACACATGTAAAAGTGTAATCACCAAATAAGTCGGGCACTGCTTTTTGAATTCTCTTTATCAATTTTCGATCAAAATATGTACATATATATACTATTTGTTATTCATATATTTATTTATTACTATATAACATATATATGTAGTTATATTAAAATTGTTAATGTTGACTACATATAATTATTAGCGCAACAATTAAACAAGTGTTGATTATATAGATTTACATAAATTTTTTTATTGCTCTAATGTTAGTTTCTATTACTTTAGTTGTTTTTTTTTGAAAACAAATTACTTGACAACTTAGTGATTATATAAGAACATGTGTAGATAGATTACTGATTGCGTTCAATATTTGTATTATAATTGTTCCTTTGTTTTACTTCGCGGTTGCTAGATAGTGTACAAAATCGTTTATAACTGTTGTAAAACGTACATTTTTTATTGCTTTTTAATATTCACAATTTGTTATTGTAAAAAATCTTATTGTATTCAATGGGTTTTTTGTTAAAAAATAAAGAATCACGGATGATTGAGGAAAGTAGTAAAATAAAATAAAAAAATGTTTGCTTGAATTAAGTTAAATTTTCAAACAAAGATTTTTTAAAATGATTATTGTATTTGTTCACGTCAAAGCAAACAATGTGTTTTTTCGTGAGATCGCGAAACACTTTCAAAATACGACACTTTCAAATTAAGTAATTTTAGAAAGTATATCTTAATACAAAAAGTTAATCACATCATGCCTTTAAAATGAAAAGTAAAAAACTGATCGCCTTTTATTCGAACGTGCGTATATGTATAGGTATTTAGAAAAAGTTCTTCATTTTTAGATGAATATTATATATTATATATATATATATATATATATATAATATTGTTTTTTATATTGTATATTATATATTACATATAATTGTACATACTCATATATGAAAAGATGATTTTATTTATGATTTATTTAATTATACATTAAATATACCAAATATATATATAATTTGTTCATACAAGAAGAACTTCATTTTTCCGAATAAATAAAAGGAAGATTATTTAAACTTGTTTTTAAGTGTTTGAAACACAAGCAGACATGACACGTAAAAAAGAACAAAACAGGAAAAACGTGATTATTTAGATTAGAATTAGAACGAACTCTAAGAACGTTATTTTACGTTCTTAGTAAATAATAATAAGAACTTATATTTTTTCACCAATTATTGCATGTAACGATTTTTATTCCAAAGAATAACTTTTTTACGCGAAATTGTCGCGATTGTTGACGTCATAACCTACAAATAAATATAAAAAATATATTGACTATTATATTTCTTGCACGCGCTTGTCATAGTTTATACGCACAAACCGGTTGACTACATTGTGTAAAAAATTGTCTGTATGTTTTTTTTGATAACAGCTTTAATAACAGTAAGCTGTCACTTAAGTTCGTAATATATATATGCATATATACATGTGTATTTACATCTTTGACGTAATTCTCTTTAGCATTTAAGAATTTGTTTTTTTTATTGCTTCACTGAATAATCGTCACTGTGAGAGTTTCTTGCGATGAAAACAAACATGAGCTCTGTTCGTTTGAAATCGAATAAAAGTCAATAATATTCTCGGTATGCAAGTTTATTTGCGATTAGATAAGATTTGCGATTTTGTAGTCAATAAAATTATTAAAATTCCTAATACTTTTGGTACGCATTTACGTAAATTGACACAAAGTGTTGCAAACCGATCATTAGTCTTTGATCAAGGCCATTTGCGCGTTTATTATTTAATTTGCGCGTTTAATTTACAAGGAGACATGTGAAAAAAATTTTTTCTATATATATTCACATAAACTTCATAATTCAATGTTCATCATCTCGTTTTTTATGATACAATCTTATGTTAAATATAAATTAATTGTTAAAGAAAAAAGAGAAAAAGAATGAGAGAGAAAGACAGAGAGAGTGTACGAAGATTTTTTTTATAAAGTAAATACGCATACGCGTATTATGTGAGAATAGTCTCCTTTCAAGTTCGTAGAATCTTAATGAGATAGACGCGGTGATATTTCTTGAAGTTTACAAATTGCAAAACTCTTACTCCGTTACCAGTGTCATTCAAAGACATTTCTATTATGTACATTACGCGAATAAAACAAAAGTAGTCGAAATAATACTCTGATACTTTATTAATTTTTTTTATCAATAAATGTGTATCAATTAATTTATACTTGGAAAAATATTTCATATATCCAGCGCTTGATTCTTCGAAGTTGTATCGTTCTTCTTAGGTAAGAACCGTATTAGTGTGAGAATATTCTAGTTAGAAAACGATGAGAGGAAGGTTGTTTTCATAAATTAAATCTAAGATAAAAATGTCGAATAAATAATCATCAGTTTCTGTACGGGATACGTACGTTATCTATTAGACTTGGAACGCTAATGAATCATCCGTAGTCGAACAAAGAATTATCTTATAAAAGTAAAGCTACCTTTGCCCCTGTACAAAGCGTGTACACGTTAATCGCGTCTGTACATATCGTAGCAAACCGCAATATCTTGTGTGACACACGTAATGTGTAAATCGTTATCTATCATTTATACTATATATTTATACATTATAAACAGCAATGTATTATCTCAACAAAATTTTTTCAATGATATTTTGCGTCAAACAACAGAGTGATGCGTAGCGACATATATAAGCTTGTTCTCTTCACATTCAAAGTATGCGACTCTGTTCGTTCTTTGTTTCAGATTACGCATACGAAAAGCAACAGATGAACACACGAGCATAATAATTCCTATCGCTTATCAGGTTCGCACAAAGCATCGCGTAACACGATGGAAGTATTGATGCATGAAGCGAGTAGTCAGAGACAGGAAGAAGAGACAACAAATGCGCCGGTTCGTGCCGTCGATTCCAAATGCGCGTTCAAAGAAGAAGCACAAGAAAACGTTGTATGTAACGAGGTTAAGGAATCGATCGATATTATCTTCGAGGATGTTACGTACACCGTGAGGCTCGGTTGTAGAAAAAGTAAATTTTTTATCATCAACAAGTTACGTGTCACGGTCTGTAAAACAGGCTGTACGCTTGTCATCGTTTTGAAATAAGCGCGTTAAAGGAATTATTTTAATTCACAAATCTGATATCTATAATTATTTATAATCCGATGACTATAGTTTTAACGTAATTAAATCCTTTTGACTTCAGAAGAAAAAGAAATCTTGCATAAAATCAACGGGAGGCTTCCCAGTAAACAATTGATTGCCTTGATGGGACCGTCCGGTGCTGGAAAGTCGACGTTGCTTAATGTCTTGTCTGGATTTCGCGAGACCGGAGTAAATGGCTCCATACTTATTAATGGCCGTAATCGATGTCTTAATAACTTTCGGAAGTAAGCAAAAAAAAATCTTTTTGTTAAAAAGATTTTGAAATCACCACCGTGTGTGTGTACATGCGATTTTTTTTGGATATGCGTGTCTCGTACTTTATTGTAACGTTAATCAGTCATTCTGTTGGGACAGATGTAGCGCGTACATTACACAAGACGATCGACTCGAATCCTTGCTTACTGTGATCGAAAGTATGAGAATCGCCACGGATTTAAAACTGCCATCGAACACGCCGCCACACGAAAAAGAAATGATCGTATGTTAAAAGATTTATAAATGCAAAATCATTGTTGATACATATGAGAGATATGTTTATTACTGACAGATGCACATTGCATTGATTATTATAAAATCATTTTACAAATTTATAAAATTATTATCAAATATAAATATATCTGCCCAAATGTGTACGGAAGTATTTCTGTAGAAAATAAATATTTGTTATTTTAAACTATTTTCCGCGTCTGTGTTAAATTCAATTGTTCTTGTGAGAAAAAATAAACATGATTGTCTCATTAGCTTGTTAGATATTTTAACTGGAATTGCACAATATTTCAGATAGAAAATATTCTTTCGACACTCGGCTTGTACGAACACATGCACACACGATCCGGCAAATTAAGTGGCGGTCAAAAAAAAAGATTGTCTATCGCATTGGAATTAGTTAATAATCCTACGGTGATGTTTCTTGACGAGCCTACCACGTAAATATATAATTCTAAATTCTTTTTTTTTATCTTATCGATGTGTTGTCGGAAATGTTATTTCGTTGGTCTGTATCATTAATGGGATTATTTTATTTTGTTTGGCCTACAAATTCGAAAAACTAAATTTACGGATTGTTCAATTCAAGCAACGCGCAAATATGGAGTCTTTTAAATTTTGAGCGTATTTTTCGCGAAACTAAATTTTTTCCATTTGAAAGAGAAAGAAAGAGAGAGAAACAAAAATTCATAAAAAAAGACATAATTTTTCTATGACATAATCTCATGAACTAAAATGATATCTGCACAATAGTTGTTGCAAACAAATAGTAAAATTTTCACAACACATCGCGTGTATAACATTAGTATATAAAATTAGTTTTGTGTTATCACACATGATTACTTATGTTTATAGCGGACTGGATAGTTCATCTTGTATGCAAGTCGTAAAATTGCTAAAACTATTGGCGCGACAAGGGAGAACCATAATTTGTACTATACATCAGCCTAGCGCGACCTTGTTTCAACAATTTGACGAGGTGAGTGAAGCTATTATGGCAAAAATAATCTAAATATTATTATTTTAAATGTATATGTTGCAATTTTATAATTATGTAAATGGTTGTTACACATTTAACATTTTGCAGGTATACGTCTTAGCAAACGGAGAATGTCTGTATCAAGGAGCAACAAGTAAATTATTACCATATTTGGAAACCTTGAAAATACCGTGTCCCATGTATCATAATCCCGCAGATTACATAATTGAACTTGCTTGTGGAGAGTATGGCGAAGATAAAGTCAACATGTTGATAAATGGATCGCAAAACGGAAGAAATTTACGGTGGTTCGAAAATCCAGAAACTCTGATGGATGCAAAAAGTTTAAGAGGTATAGAGATAAAAAATAAAATGTGTCAATTTAGTAACAGATAATATTATTTCTATCCGTATTGTACAACAAATGCTCAAATAACTTATCTCTGATAGTTTTTATGCACGTAGGTACGCAATGTAATCATTGATATTTGATCGGTTCTTTCAGCGGCGAACCCTTTAAAGAAGACGGATAGTTTACAAAATAACAGTGACTTACATGCAATAAATCTCGCTTATCAAATTAAAATTCTGTTGAGAAGAAACTATATAATAGCCAAACGAGATACGGTATGGATACATGTGTATATATATATATATATATATATATATTTTTTTTTTTTTAATTACGCGTTAATATAGTATGTTTTTGTGTTATATTAGAGTGTGTGTATATTTTGTTGCTTTTTAGACCATGACACATTTGCGCATCGCAGTTAACATATCCGTTGCTTTTTTGCTCGGACTTGTTTTTCAAAACTCTGGCGTTGATGGGTCGCGCGTATTGGACAACTACAATCTTCTTTTCTCTATCCTCATACATCATATGATGTCGTCAATGATGCTCACTATTGTGACTTGTAAGAGAACTCATTTGTTTCTTCGTATTTTGATCGCATAAATGTAACGTTTTATTTAAATAATTAAGTTTAATGCTTCTCCGAATGTTCTTTTTTTTTTTCAACAATTGCAAAACAGTTGCAAATTTATCTACATCAAAATGTCATTTCTTATTTGCAGTTCCAACACAAATGTCGATCCTTCTGAAGGAAAATTTCAATAGGTGGTACAGCTTGAAAGCATTCTATATAGCGATAACCGTGATCGACATACCAATCTCCATAGTATGCTGCGTGCTGTTTTCCTTAATTGTTTATTTCATGTCGGGGCAACCATTAGAGATTGCGCGATTCTCAATGTTTTTATCAATTAGCATGTTAACTATATTATTAGGGCAAGGTACTGGTCTCACGATTGGTGCTATATGTAATGTTGTAGTAAGTATAAAATAAAAATCATATATATAAATTCATAGTATTTCTTTCTAATTTTATATAATAATTATTATAATTAAAAAAATTATAAATTAATTATAATAAAATTTATGAATAGAAATATTTTCATTATAAATTATTATTAAGATGAACAGAGAGATTATATACGGCTGCTCGTTAAAGAGCATTTATTAAATTTGTTTCACGATTTCTTTTTTTTATTCTATCTTAGAATTATGCGTTATGTGTCATTTTAATATATTAACACTGCAGATATAACTCTTGATGTATTTATTCTTACAGTATAAGATTTGTTTGACAGAAAGTATTTTGACTTTCAGAATGGCACCTTTTCGGGACCAACTGTGGCAATACCTTTAATGATGTTCGCTGGATTTGGTGTCTCCTTACGCGATCTTCCAAGTTACTTAAAATGGGGTACCTATGTCAGCTACTTACGGTATGGTTTAGAAGGTTACATCGGAGCCATTTATGGACTAGACAGGCCTGTTCTAGATTGTAAGGAGAAGACCGAGCTATACTGCCATTATAGATATCCATCTAAATTTTTGTCAGACATTGCCATGCAGGGGGATCAATTCTGGAATGACATTATTGCGCTCGCTGTGATTCTAATCATTATACGATGTGGTGCGTATATATGTTTACGGTGGAAGATTATGTCATATCGATAAAACACGAGATAAATAAAACTTCGTGTCTACACATACATGTTTAAGTAAATGGGCTTTTGATGTTGAAGTTACTTACTTTAGTTTTCTATAAGGCACTTTTTATAAGGAGCTTAATATAATATATATATATATATATATATATATATATATATATATATATCTTTTTTTACGATTTTGAATAAATTTTCTTGATGTCATGGTAGTCACACGAATAAGACTATGTATGAATGTGACGGGTGTGTATAGATATTATATATATCCTTATTTATATATTGAAGAATGTCAGAAGAATACATATACAAATCAGCGTTATTAATGAACATGCGATATGATTGTATTTAATTTTTATGCGCTACATATATATAAAGAAAGAATTCAATTAGTAACGTAATAACGTTACGTAATATCAATGCAATAAAAATAGATATATTTCATCAGACAAATTTCATCCTTAAATAGACTTACATATCCAATATAATTTGTGTCTTTCATAATCTGACTAATGATTTTAATTAATTCATTCATTTGTGATAGGACTTAAATATGTCAAAGGAAGCGATATGAAATGCGTCAGAAAGCGATATAAATTGTGATTAAAGTTATCTGTGCTATATCAGTAAGCGTTACGTCAATAACATGACATACATAATAAATTATGTTTCAAGAATATTTTTCATTAATAACGATAACAATAAATTATTACACATTTTGTCTCTAAAATTTGTTTTAGAGCTTTTAAATTATATTGACAAAAGTTTATAGATATGAATAATATATTAAGACAAAAATTTATAGATATAAATAATATATTAAGTATTAGATATATTATAAAATAAACACATATGTATATTTATTACACTTTTTTAATAAAAAGTGAATTAAAATTATTCTGTTATGTTTGTAATGGGATTAGGATTATCGCCCTTACGAAAAAGAACTACTGCCGATTACATATAAATAAAGTCAGTAATATAAATATTACTGACAATTACATAAGAATATTATTCGGTATTACAGGAATCACTGAGAATATTACTGGCAATTACACAGAATGCCAGTCATTTTTTCGTACCACTGCCGCAATATATTATTGCCAGTAGTTCTTTTTCGTAAGGGCGACTTCTTATTTTTATCATCATATTATTAGCATATCTTATTACTATATTATTATTATGTTATTTATAGAAAATCGAATAGCTTTATATTCACATAAGATGTGTAATTTTGATTATTAATTCTAAGGTTTAATTTTAATTTGGTTTTTCTATCGAGTCTTTATGATTGACTTATGTGATTAATCATATTATTTGTAAATCATGGATACTGTTTTCGCATATATTGTTATACTATGTACAATTTGTTTTTATATAAATTAGCTAATTGGAAGATGATCTAAATAAAGATCGAAACGTCCCACTTAACTTTGATGTTCACATGCAATGATGTTTACCTAACTCATTGCCATCGTTGGATCCGACCTTAAAAGGTCAAATTTATCTTTAATATTCCTATTAGTCTACTAATTGGTAAAAAAAAAATAAAAGGTATTATATATTTATTATCATTTTATATTTTAGTCAATTTTATTGTATAAATTCACGTTCTTATTCTTTGCATTCTTTTAAACGTTTCTTATAACATTTTGCCTACTACACCGAAGAAATTAAATACTTTTGTATTGTAATAACATGTAAAATTAGATATTTAAAGTAATATTTTCTTGTTACATAATTATTTCTTGGCATAATAAATTTTCCAACACAATATTGCATAGATAATTAAATGTAAACAGAATATCCATGAGACAAGTATCATCACAACTGTGTGAAACGATACTGTTGGTATATCCATCATCGAAAGAATTGTACTTGGAGACTGTAAGTAACAATATATTTCTACGCACGTCAAATTCGATCGGTCGATGTAAATCGCCTGTATCAATCCTTCAAACGCATATCTGCGAGAGAATAAGTATTTGTACAAATATGCTATAAAATATGTTAAAAGATATCTTATTTTACGAGAGAGAGAGAGAAAGAGATATATATACACTATATATATAAAAATTCTTATATACCTGAAAAAACTGACAGTGCCTAAAGGTTGCAGATACACCGACATTTCTCCTAATTTCACGAAAAATCCAGCAAACAGCAATAATGGTATACTTAATGCCGGTATTAAGAAAGTACCTATCTGAAAAAAATTTATAAAATTTGTTACACGCGCCCATACTTTTGCTTTCTTATTATATTAATTAATATATTTAATATAATATAATATAATATAATATAATTATTTTAATTAATACAATTGACAATATTTATAATATATAAAAACATAAATAATACAAATAAATTAATAATCGATTAAAGTAAAATTTGAAAATACCTCGGTATTGAAAGCTGCGCCTGTAAGAATACCAACTGTTTGTCCGAGAATTGTGATTAATACGCAAATGCTCCACGCTTGTAAAACTCTGTTACATTCCATTGACTGTCCTGTCACGTAATATGATATAAGCAAAAAGAATGACGAACAAAGTATCTGAAAGTTCAATTATTCTGTGTCTGATAATCTTGAAAACACATGATATTTATACACACAAGACTTAATAATTCTAAATAAATAATAATGAGAATAAGAAATATAAAACATTTTTTATCACATCAAAATACGTACTTGCATCGGAAGATCTGTTAATATTTTAACAATGTAATAGGATTTTAAGTCGTACCAATTATTTAAATGTTCTTGGATAAAAACCGCCGCTTCCACAGGAACTACAATCGTAATATGTATATTTTATAACTTTGTTTAATAATTATTGTTTTGCTTGTATTTGGGAATTTTTTGCTTACACCTACTGTACATATACTATAAATATATATATATATAAAATAAAACTTAATTGATAGAACTCAGAACTGTAAAAAAAAGATAGTGCTCACAAAAATTACTCTTATTTATTTCTTTAACTATTTAATTGTAAATCTTGAAAAACTTCAAAATTAATCGATATTACTTACACATTTGCACGGCTGGCATGGAATTTGCGAAAAATAAGAATAATAAAAAGAAAAATAAGCAAGCTATATTACTCTGTGCTTTTTGTGCGTCATCTCCAAAGTCATAAAAAACTACTCCTAATAATATTGCTACTACGACATGTGCCGCAAATCTCAATTTTGTCATGGTCTGTAAACAAAAAAAAAAAAAAAAAGACAAATAATGATAGCATTCAAATATTCTAAGTAAATTGCAATTATATTGTCATTATAAAAAATTTTTACTTACACTATCTCTCTTAATGCAAATTAAAGATCTTAAAAATAATATCTTTTGTTGTTGCCATGTTGATAATTTTGGTTTCACGCTAAATGTATCGTCTCTTTCGACAGTATGCGTAAAAGTCGACGAATTTGTTCCTACAAGATCCAATGTCATTAATCGTACTAAATTTCAATCACACATTTATGTAAATTAAATATTTTTATTTATAAAATATATATATCGGTAAACATAAAATATACTTACAATTTGCGCTTAATCGCAAAGCGTATAATAAAGAGAATCATTATTAGTATAGTACTAAGATCATTGTTAAATTTTAAGTATAAAATACACGTGTGGTAACAAAATATTTACCATTTTTGGTATCTTTATTGTGAGATTGAAACTTATCATGGCAAATCTTGTATAGATTTTCTAAATCTCCGCCTCTTTGTTCAGTTATCACTTCGAGTACTGCAATTGAAAAAAATCGTTAACTTAATCAAAATATAAAGAAGACTCGTTTGCAAAGTACACGCATAACATTTACATACAACTGTAAACTTTATTAAATAAACAAACTTCAACGTAAAAAAAATAGTAATATCGACATTACCAAATTCGGCAATATTGTAGAAATCAGGACATGTAAATCCAGCGTCGCTGAAAGTAGCTAAGATTTCACTCTTTGGGCCACAATATATGCATATTCCTTGACTAAGCACCATAATATCATCGAACTGCGAGATCATCTGGCTGCTGGGTTGATGAACCGCACAGACCACAGTGCAATTTGCTCTTGTCATATCGTGTAGCACGTTAATAAGCTGTTTAATATATACATTGGCCTCATCATTTGATTTGCATTACCGTGTAAAATTAAATGCGTAATGTTTTGATCAAACAGTTTTTGTTATTCAAACAGTTGTTTTATTCTCTTTTTGTATATATTTTGTGATAGTATATATATTATATTATATCGTACTTGATTTGATGCCGCACTATCGAGACCACTTGTTGGCTCGTCTAAAAATAGAACTGACGGTTTGGTGATCATCTCCACACCAATTGATAATCTTTTTCTTTCGCCACCGCTTAACTTGTTTGCCAAAGTGTTTAAACAGTTTGACAGATTTAAATTTTCTGCAATTTCATTCACCTGAAAAACAAAAGAAACGATTCTAGTGTGAACGATACATTTTATTATATATTTTCATAAAAGTGATCTCGATACAATATAAATATCTATCCGTTAAATAACAACTCAATCAAAGACAAAACGTTTCTAATAAAATAGTCTATCTTTATACGTATAAAATATCCCGCACAGCGCCTTTCATTGCAAACACATATTAGATACGTAACAATATTGCATTTACATTGCGTTTCATTTTATATCAAATATAATATATTTAATACGTAATTAACGCAATAGGTTTGAAATATCTAAGAAATTTATTTTTTAACAAAGGCTGCGTTCAGCAGAAACTTTGCGATTATTGCTTGTCATCAATATATATTTTTATATTTGCAATAAAAACGAGTTAATTACAGATAATAAACGCTTAGCTCACGCGCTGAGTTCTGCTGGAAGCAGCCACAGATATGTCATAAGCATTAACGTAAAAATTACCTGAGCACCACTAACTTCAAAACATCAGACAGTTTTTGAGGCCACCGGCCCGCAGTGGTCTCGCAGTTTAAAAAGAATGTGTGAGTAATATTGGTAAGAAAGAAGTGTGTTCGCAAACGTAATATATAATTGTTGAAAAATACTATCATGTGTCAGTGCACTTGTTCGAACTTTTTATTTTATTTAGTTTTGGAAACAAATAAAATATAAAGTTTAAGTAATAAAAATGCTTTATATCACACTAAAATATATCTAAATGCTAACACTTTTACCATTTAGAAAATATATTTAGTATGACAACATTTTTATTACTTTAAACTTTACAATATATATATATAGTACATTTTATTTGCAATATTGTAGATACGTATGAAATATATAAATTTACGCACGTAACACGTGTCGAATAAACATATTTTTATATAATGTATCTGCTATGTAACGTAAGTTACATATAGCGCGGACATTCATTGGTATTAAACATATATCAGGTACACATGATTTATACGTGTTATTACGTATTCGCTATAGCAACATTTTACATTTTATGTATCTGTTATATATATAGGTATCTGAAATATAAAATGCTGTGCGAGATAATACGTTTGAAAAATAGGAAAGATATCATCCATGTATATATTAATCATTCTTACAATCGAAGAAATCTGTTCCTTGCTCTGGTTACCGTCGAAGTTTAAACAAGCCGCAATGTAAAGCGTTTCCTTCGTTGTCAGAAACGGCAGTAAAGAAAATTGTTGCGGCACGTAACACATTTGTTTGCGGAACGTTCCACTATCATGTTCAACGCCGTTTATGGTGATGGTGCCCTTAACGTTGACTAATCGTTCGCCCGACAAGATTTTTAGCAATGTCGTTTTACCCGCACCGGATGGACCAATTATGACCGTTAACTTACTCGGTTTAAAGTGTCCTGTTACATTGCTCAAGATCGTTTTCTTCGTACCTGATGTAAATATGTTTTATATTAAAACTCTCGACAGGAAAAAGTGCACGCTATTTATAACTTAAGATAACACACGTATAAATAAGAGTCTGGATATTTCTGTAATATTCTCATTATAATATCTATGAGAATATAAAAAGTGTTCGAAGCAAAGACTGAAATATTAATACTGACGTGTCGTAAGAAACTTGCAGGTATGCTGCCGGAGTTTGATCAAAGAAGAAAATAAAGTGAAGAGAGACGAGAAGAAAAAGAAAAAGAAGAAGACCTTGACAATGTAAATTGGTCAATATATTTTTTACGTAGTGCGCATAAAAAAATCGTTAGCATAAAGATTAATAAGTTTCTCCTTGATTTAATATTATGCATACAGAAAACGAGATATAACAATATAAAATGCAAATTGAACAAATATATGATTAATTGAACAAAAATATATGACTGACAATGTTGTTATATTTGTACGGAACAAAACTTCGATTACACATCTATTATATTAGATATTGCATGAAGCTGTCGACGTCTAATGAAGTTTTTGTTCCGTGTGTGTCCTATGCGAGACATTGAAATATGTGTGATAACTTGCGGGATCAATTTTATTATTTTCTTTGGGAAATACTGAAAAAATTCATTAATACTTAAATAAATATATAAAAAACAATAAGATTCTCATTTTTAAAATAAGTATACACATGAGAGAGAAAGAAAGAGAGAACATATATCTATCTATCTATATATTCCTGTTAAAAAAAAAAATTAGCAGATAAATGCGCAGAATCGTGTTAGTTAAACCGAATCATGGCAATGATGATAAAATTGGAAGGAATTCATATACAGCGCGAGTGGCGCATTTGGTGTTGACGGTGTAGAATCGAGGCGAGTAGATGCCATGTGGTGATACGATTTGAGCAAACTGTGTGTGTTCATCGAGAATTCAGTCGTCACTCGTGAGAGTCTAGAATCGACAGTACATAGAGGAGAAGCGGTTTCTAAGTTATTTTACTGTGTATTACGTTACCAGAGTACTTGGCGCACAATTGTTCCGTTTACTACTTTTATGTTAATCATAAACACAATGCGAAGCCGAATTCCCACATGTGTAATCTCAATAGATGAAACATATATAAGTAACAAAGAGTAAGTGATGTTTCTCACCATCCTGAAAACCAAAAGCTTGTGAAAGTAACTTGACAAGTCGCGTCGCACAAAAGCAAAATCAGTTAGTCTTTTTTTTATGCTCCGTTTTGTAATGCTAATACGGTACACACCCAGATAGCCAACTGAAACATGATATCACATAATTGCAATATTATTCTACAAGCGATTATTAACCGAGCAATAAAAGCTTAAAAAGAACGGTGTAAGAAAATATTCATTCTCTTTTAAGTGCTGCGACATGCACAATTCATTCGCAGACAACAGATTACACACATGTACGACACCAGTCTGCCGAGAGTCCGTACTTGTGACGTTAAAGGAAAAATCTGTTCAAACACAATTGAAGGCATGATAAAAAGCAAAAAAAAAAGCACAAGACGTGATACGCGTGTACACACGCGCAGTACTTCGCAATTAAAAATAGATACTACATATCATATCATATCACTGGGTAGTTATCTCTCAACCAAAACCGACAAACTTGGTGAAGTACACAAACAAGTGTCGCGATATATTGATAACGTATAGAAAATTCGTAACCGGAATGAAAATATAATAATAAAAAAAAAAAAAAAGATATAAACTTGCCTTTGCCATCGTGACATGTTGCAGAGTAGCAGAGATTGTTGAATTCGATATAAAGTTGCGGATTCTGTGATTTCGTCTTATCAATCAGTTCCTCTGTTTCTTGCAGTTGGATCTTACAGCTTTCGTCGATCATTTTAGCAGTCATCGAAATGTTCTTGCGCGTATCGTTAACGTCCAACATATTTTAACAGATACGTACATCAGATATTTTTAACAAAATGTCGTTTGCTATCAATTATTAAATGTCACAACGTTTTAACTTTTGTATCAACGATAAACAAAGATTATTTATGCGCGTGTGATTTTGTTCAATGATTATCTCGCGTTGCGCAAGATAAACTTCGTACACATATACATATTCTTTTATACTTTCACTGAAACAAATTACACGCGCGTTCACGAACCGCTCCGCGAGGTTTCTCGGTCACGACTGTCTATCGCTCTCTCGACGCTCTCCCTGTTTATTTGCTCTATCCAATGACGCGTTCTTTTCTAACAAGTATCACGCTTACCGCATGTACGCAATTAATCATGTACATGACTTAGTCAAGATTATCTTATATACAAATACATCTCTCGTAGTGAGATGAAGTGATTTATATTGTTAAATCGAAAAGAAAGTATTTTTATACGATCGCTTTACAATAATTAACTTATAAAGATATGCGAATGCGCGTGCGTCTGCGTGAAGAGACAGCTCAGCGCGTTTCGCACGCTCACGGTTGCCAGACGACACAACGGAGGAGTATAGTTTTTACTTTAAAAAAGATAATAATAATAAAAGATAATAATTAATTAGTGAACAAATTAATTAGTGAACAAACAATCAAATCAGAATAAATAATTGTCATTTTATCAAAATAATTAAATTATAATTATAATTTTTAAAAATGTCCTTCTAATTCCAAAATGATTTTGGAAATAACAAATATTTTTGTTGATATATTCTTGAATAAAAACTTTTCATTACGTAACTATAACTTTCTTTTTTATCTTTATTTTAAATATTATTTTAAATATATAAATCAATAACTACATATAATATGCAAGATATAAATGTGTAATCTCACATGTAATGGGTCATAGAAGTCAGTCTTTACAAGTTGCAGTAAAAAAAATCTTATTTGCACGAATCTTTTATCATATGTATATATAATTGTAAAAAATTTATATCAATTTTTATTATTAATTCTCTAATTCTGTGCTAAATTCGTTTCTTCACTTTCATATCTAATATAGCATATGCTATAACATCTAAGGCAACACAGAGCGCTATCAATATTGTCATATTTAGCCAGTAATTCACATGCTTCATATCCATCTCTGCGAGAAGTTTTTCGGGGATAGCGAAATGGCAATAATCTGTCGAGCACTTCAATTTCTCCCGATCGTATCTGCGATTATAAATAATTGTAATTATATTTTATATTGTAGCAATAAAAGATGCTGTATGTAATTGTGTGGGATTCATTATATGTATATGTGACACAATAAAAACACTTACCCGTAAATCGCTATCATAACACCCTCAAAGCCGTATTTAAGAAACGACATGTGAAACAGCCAATGTAAATAAGGCTGCACATCTTTGAGACGCACAAAGAAACCACTAAATATCACAAATGGCATAATCACAAACGGTCCAAAAATAACGCTGTTCTGCAATAAAATAATTCTCTTGGTTTCGTCTATATCGTCAGAAAAAAAATCAAAAACTTGTCTTCTCTAGAGAAATAACTTTTTTACAGAAAAAACTAATGTAACTACTGTTTAAAAATTTTTTTTTTAAGCCGAATTGATTGGAACTAAAAAGAAGTTGATTGTGATCGTTGTTGAAATATGAAAATTTATTTTGAACTAGTTTCGCCATGAGTCACGATTGACTCTTTGTCGGTTTACTCGCACACTTCGGCACGCGTAAACTTAGCGTGAGGCACTAATCGTGCCTCTTTATAAATTGAGGCAAAAAGATACGTAATTCTAAATGTCAATACAAACCTGAACTTTCAGACCCGATCCTATAATGAGTCCAACCGCTTGCGCTACGAGGCTGATAATAAAACACATGAGCATGTACAAACCAAGCCTTTTACTTTCAGGAACTTGATCGGTCATATAGTACACTACGATCGTATAAATAAACGTGGCAGTAAGCTGGATTGGAAAATCGGCCAATTTGTTCGCTAAGTAGTACGATCGTAGTTCATACCAACGATTGAAATGCTCGCGCATAAGTATTGGTAACTCTGAGGGAACTAAGAGTGAAAACAAAAAAAAAGAACAATTAAATATATATATTAAATATAAACTTCGATGCGTGTTAAAACATAAAAACACGAAAGTGTGCAAACAATGTGTTCCCGCTAAGTTGTTGTGTCTACAATACGCTATATTTGAAATTTAAATTTCTCTGTAAAAGATTGCATCGAACTTACACGTGATCATTGTGGCGCTAAATGCACTGTACATGAGAAACATAACGCTAAAGAACAGCAGGTTAAAATTATCTAAAACATAAGTGGCGTCTTGGCCGATTTTGAAATATAAAACGCCGACCAGCAGTGCGATCGCGAAATGCATTGAGATCCGCGTGAGTGTTAACATCTGTGTGAATAAAATAAAAATTGAAAGATAAAAATAAATTTTGAATGCGTTTATTCTAAGATTCGACTCTCTCTCTCTCTCTTTCTGGCCATCATTTTTGTTTGATAAAATCCTTGTTTGTAAAAAGTTACATAACTACTCTGTTTTCGAACCTCTAGAAATAGTGCTTCTATTATTTTACACTTATACATGTGTGATATATCAGACTAATATCAGAGTTTTTCGCATATTTTACAAACTCTCAGATTACAAAGATATAATATTGAAAAAAAACCTAAAAAATAAAAAAACTATAAATTATAAGAAAATTGTTCAATTACGTTTCTCGCTTCTGATGTCGTCAAAACAAGAATGGAGATCAGAGAGAGCCAAGTCTTTTATATATATTGTATGTAGTAATTACCTTATCTCGAAATAATCTAATTGTATTTCTCTTGACGAGGACGCAAAGCTGCTTCCAAAAATTGGTGGCATAATGTGGAGTGTGTTTGAATTCGTTTTCGAAGGAATATAATCTTATCGGAGTATTCTGTTGTGAAATAAAAGTTTTTGCTGATCTCCATACGTCACTTTTGCCGTTTTTGATCGATTCTATCAGCTTGGGTATGTGAAGACCATAATCTCCGTTGCATATTTCCATCACTATATCAAAATCAAAGTTTTTAAACTATATGATTACTAACACACAAATAATTGTGACTACCGTAAATAGAAACGTTAACGTTGGTTTATTCATTGGTTATCTAATGATCAGTTTAACATCGTTTCAGACCGTGTATTTTAGAAAATAAAAACAGCCATTTGATTTAAAAGCGCGCATTGTTTTACGAGTGGCTGTTCTTCCGAAATGTTTACTAAAGTGCTGAAAAAAGATATGCTAAAGAACTCTTACAAAAAATGTTCAATTACCGTTCGATTCAATGAATTAAAAGACAAATCGCATATAGTCTGACGTATGAGGAGTACGACAAATTTTTAACTCGACGATTATTTCAGACACTTGTCTATAATTAAAAAACTATTTAATGTTTAGAAAATTGAAACTTACGAAATTCAATAGGATTGTAATGCGTTGGACAGTGCAATCCGTGACTACTTAGATACGATACTAAATTGTGAGTGGCGCCAGTGTACACGCAATTTCCATCGGCGACTACGTACAGATGATCTATCATATTGAAGAGCGTCGCATTTGGCTGATGAATTGTACAAATTATTGTTCGTCCTTCTTGCGCTAATTGCTTCAAAAGTTCTACGCACTGTTTTGAGGTAGCGCTATCTAGTCCGCTGAAAAGATGTTCAGATGATGTTTTTAATAAAAAGCGAAATAAGTGGGATCCCGTTATAGAACAATTTGGGAAAAACGCTGCTTGCGCTTATACGTAAATTGTCATCGTATCCGAGTTTTCTATCTTCCTTTTTGCACACTATAAGTTATAGCGACTGTATATAACGTGGAACAATAATAATGCTGTTGGTGAACGTAACAGGGGAAGTTTCTCTTCGTAAGGGTCATCCCACAATGGGACCCTACTGTAACGGGAATTCACATAAATAAATATTTGATGTATACCTGGTGGGTTCATCGAAGAACATAACAGGTGGATTATTGATCAGTTCGAGCGCGATGGCAAGTCTTTTTCTTTCACCTCCGCTCAGCTCGCCAGTAAGCGTGTGGCGAGACCCATTGAGACCCATTGATACTAATATTTTGTCGATCTATTAAATTAAAAAATTTCTACGTAATTGTTGAATCATAAGAAGAAATTGCTGTTATCACGAGAATGATAAATTTCTTTTACTACTTTTTCAATAACTTTCTTAATTTACTTAAATGCTTTTTGTATAATATATTAAACAGGACATCTACCTTTTGCAATTTTTGATAACGATTTAAGTTCAGTTTGAGATCGACAGCGACGAACATTGCTTCCTGCACTGTCAAAAGTGGTTGAAGATAGTCATTCTGCATTATATAAGCGGACAACTTACGAAATTCGGATATGTTTCTTTCCCGTCCGTTTATCATAATTTTACCGGTGACTGAAGTTATTCTAAAAAAAAGTAATAATAACAATAATGAGTAAAAATTTATAATTGTGAAAAAAATATGCATTACTCTTTATAATATTTTTCATATTTTATTGTAAAACAATGCGTACTTTGCAGTAAAATTTACATGTATACAAATCAGTATATATATATATATATATATATATATATATATATATATACACATGAAATATACTAATATATTTATATATGATAATATATTATCAGTAATTATTGGTAATACATATGTAGACGTTTATTTTAATCAACAATTATCTTATCGTAGTAATAATAGATGTTAGAGTCATAAAAAATCTTAAAGAAAGATAAAGATAAGATTCTGATATTAGAGAAAAAAAAGAACTTAAGAAAAAAAATTAATTAGATAAGAAAAGGTCTAACAAATAAGATTTACATACAATATTTTGAGTAGCAAAATCTGTCGGGAAAACAGATTGTCGAAAATAAAAGCAAGCAATTTGTGTGTAATTAATAACAACTTGCAGACAATCCGGCATTGCATATAATTATCAATTACTGTCAATTTGTCAAGATAATGTTTGCCGAATATCTTAATGAATCGTGATAATGTAATATTTAGGCATCTATCAAGAAGATATACACGTGCATGCAATCTACAATGATAAGCTAGTACACATGTACAACTTTTGAATTAGCTATGTATTGTAAACAACTAGTATAGACGCGATAAAACATATTTATTCTTTGTGAAGAGAGGTTTACTTCTAGTACAGATACGATCAATCGAATCAAGTAAGATTTAATACTCACATATGAGTTAATAATCTAAGCTAAAGAAGAATTTAACAATAAAAGATACGTACAATAATCGAATTGAAGACGTTTTTTTCAAGTGGTTTTCGGTTTTGTTACAAATTGAATGTGTGTAATATATACGCGCCGTTTCGCTTTTGAAATAATATTCAAGAATATTAACAAATACGTGTTTCAAATATATATTCAATAAAAAATTAATACAATTAAATTATAAAAAACATACATAAAAAAATAACCAATTGAGAAATTAAAAAATGGTTGCGGCGTAATATGAACAAATAAAATTTAAATTTTTACTACTTTAATTTTTTATCGACACACTTTAGTGTGTTATTAAAATACTTACATAATGATTATTAATAACAAGCTTGTAATTTTTTTGATATTACGATTATTGAAGAGAAATATATGCAAGTGTTTTAGTTTTTCGAGAAATTAAATTAATTTCCACATGCACGTCTATGTACATGTATATATATATAGTAAATATGAAGCGTTTACTAACGTAAAACCTGCTAGGATGTCCATTAAAGTAGATTTTCCAGCTCCTGAAAGACCCATAATAGCTGTAAGTTCACCCGGACGAAAGTCTCCATGAAGATCATTAATTAGCTTTTTTTCCTCTAAAATAAATCAATATACATATTTCTTTGTTTATTCAGATAAAAATTATGCTTGTATATATATATATATATATATATATATATATATATATATATATATATATGTACGCACATATACATTACATATATAAAGATTAGATTTTTATTACATAATATAAGATTTATACTAATATATAACTAATATATAATTAAAACGTAAATCTCTTTACCCTTTGTTAAAATTTTTGTTTGTACACTGTATGATATACTTTCGAAGAGCAGATAAAGCAACTTATTGTCCACACACACGGCAGTCGTATTTTCTGTATTACTTGTACCTTCTGAATCGCAATTATTTTTCACGAATGTCGAAGCATTCATCTTGCACTGGTAGTTGTGTTATTTTTTTCCTCGCAAGTTTTCGTTTGCAATGTTCTAGTTTACTATCTTCTTGATTGAATTTTCTTCTTCTTTTCTCTCTCTCCCTCTCTCTTTTGATTAAAAAATAAATTGCGAATTGAAAACAAAATTGATTACTCAGAAAATTAACTCGACGAGTTTCTTTAAATTCGCGCCGTAACACCGAAACACATATCCGAAAATCCTGAATTAGTTATAAGATTTTTCGATACACACGCTAATGTGCTCCTCCGATTAACGTGCAATTGTGCGTTTGTCGAGACGAGAGTCTCTTCTTCTTTTCTTGTCTGGTACAATTGTCTGGTAACGCAACTTAGCCCAAAGTCCGTATGAATCTCCGTTATCAAGACGCGCGTTCTTCGTTCGTCAAGATAAGATTTGCCATTGTCAAGAAACTTTGCGCTTGCGTCGTGCGTGATACCGTCTGTGTCTTTGTCTTTTTTTTTTTTTTTGTACAAATCACAAATAATATATATAATAAATCTTTAACAGGTTTAACTGTAGAGTTTTATACCTTTTGCTTTCGCACAGCTCTTGTGTTTGTTTCCTTATCATAATTAGAAACAACAATAATTACTACAATAAATAGTGCTAAAAATCACTTTTTATGCCAAGAACTTCACAAAATAACGTAAAAGTTTTCCTAAAAATATAAAAGTGCATTATGTACAAAGCAAATAAAATATAATTTAAAGAAAGAGATAATGTTATACACAAAAACATATATATACATACATAGTTTATACATGCACGTATGAACAAAATTTCAAATATAGTTCAACATCATCGCACCTTTTTGAATTTCTCGCGCATTTTGCGACAATCTTGTTTAAACATCCGAGAAAACGCGGAGATTCGTATTCCTGATTGTTTTCGGGTTAAAATCATGGCTATTATCATTGAAAAATAGTGGTACGTGACAAACGTCACAAAATTGAATTTGGCTCCTCTAACGTAGATGGCGTTAACGTCGCGATTCTGACCTGCAACACAGAACTCGAACGCCACCTTACTGTGGTTCGAGCAGCGGAACGCGACGCGTTCATCTGCATCAAGAAGTTTATCAAGTCGTGTTCATTCAATAATTGATAAAAGTTTTACATACGATGGTATTAATACAAGAGAGGTGATTTCGGACGTGATTGTCATGTAAGTGCACGCCCATCCAAATAGTTTTCTCAGACGATTTCTCCCGTTGAACGATTTCTCTTGCCCACGACGTGCCACAGGAGCTTTTTGCTTCACGCACGAGTGGTTTCGTGTTTGCTTGCATTTTTCTATTGAAATACATAACGAAACGAAAAAACGCGACGCGACACACGGAATTCGCGCGTACGGACGAGACGAAAGAATCCAGTCGAATCCGATCAGTTTGTTCGAGATGTCTTTTGGGGACGAGGAAGTCCTGTAACAATAGATAACTACACCATTTTGTTTATGAGCTCCCCTCTCCCCCGTATATATAGTTTGTCCCAAACCTCCGAATCTATAGCGCGCGCTGTGAGGCTATGTTTCTAATGTAAACCTTATTTGCAAATTTATGCGCATTCTCATTCTTTGTTTTTTTTTTTCTGATTCTATGCTATTATTTTTATGAAATTTATTCTATTTTTTAATTTTTCAATAACTCGCATCCATATTTAAACACACGTGATGCAAGGGGGTGCGCTGTTGCGGAGTGCAAGTGCATTGATAACTTTCGTGTAGTAGCACAATAAAAAGAGAAATTAATAAAAAACGTATGTCGTAGCACAATTTACAATTTTATTTATGTGTTGCGATATATATATATATACATATTTCAACCTCTTGTATGTAATATTTATTGATTGAAATAAATCCGTTTAATTGCAATTAGCACAAAGAGAAAGGGAGAGAGGAGAGATTTAAATGTAGATATTTTTCTTATTCTGCTATCGCAATTTGTTTTTTTTTTGGTTGCAGTGCTAAATATAAAATTTAGTTTACAAGTATTTTATTGACACATCGTACAAATATACAAATATATCATAATTAAAGACAAAAATTTCTGAGAAATTATGCACATATAAATATCTGAACTTTTTTACAAAAAACTTTTAAGTTGTTCAACTTTTGTAAAGGAACACTATTTCATTTAATTTTAGAAATTAAAACATCGGACTGCGAACAAAACAATTCATAATTTTATGCTCATTTAATAGTTGATGTTAAAAATATCACTTTATGAGCAAATTTAGTATGATAAAATTTATACGTACATGAATACACAAATATATGGATTATTTTTTAGATCCCATATACGTAAATTGGAAATTTTAATATTTAATTATATAAATGATAAATTAGAGATTATTCTGATTATTTAAAAATTTTTAGATGTTTTTATATATATTTCAGATATAAGAAAAAAAATCTGAAAAAAATTGTTCTCTTTCATTATAATTGATAGAAATTGATAATGTAATGTAACGTAATTTATTGATATATTACACACTAATTCGAAATATTTTTTATTTTAACATATTGTGTATAATTTTTTTATTTATTTATATATGTATTGTATGTAAGTTTTTTAATAATTGTAGACATTACTACATAAAATTAATATTTTATTCTACAGCTATAACACGTTAAGCAATGGTGAATAATAATTCAAAAGGGGGAGTACCCCGCATACAAGTATTTAGACCAACTTATGAGGAGTTCAAAAATTTTACAAAATATGTAGAATATATGGAAAGCCAGGGAGCTCATAAAGCCGGTTTGGCGAAAGTAATCCCACCGCCTGAATGGATTCCAAGAAAAAAAGGCTACAACCTAGATGATCTAGATCTTATTATTCCATCACCAATTTGTCAAGTTGTTACTGGAAAACAAGGCCTTTATCAACAAATCAATATTCAAAAGAAATCAATGACTGTTAAAGAATATAGTAAATTAGCCAATTCTGAACGTTTTGCTACACCTCGTCACTTTGATTATGAAGATCTAGAAAGAAAGTACTGGAAAAATATAACATATGTCTCACCTATATATGGCGCAGATGTATCCGGTACTTTAACCGATCCAGAAGTGAAAGAATGGAACATCAATCATTTAGGAACAATTTTAGATTATGTCAACAAAGATTATGGTATATCCATTGAGGGAGTCAATACAGCTTACTTGTATTTCGGAATGTGGAAAACTACATTTGCCTGGCATACAGAGGATATGGATCTTTATTCTATAAACTATTTACATTTTGGCGCGCCAAAAACTTGGTATGCTATACCACCGGAACATGGACGTAGATTGGAAAGACTAGCAAGTGGTTTTTTTCCATCAAGCCATCAGAGTTGTCAAGCTTTCTTGCGTCACAAAATGTCTCTAATATCTCCTCAAATATTACGCCAATATTCTATTCCATGTAATAAAGTAAGTCTAATTCCACTTACCCTATTACAAATTTTACATTACATCAACTGCCTTATATTTCTATATGTATATATATATATATATATGTATATATTATTTACAGATTACGCAAGAAGCTGGAGAAATAATGATTACATTTCCATATGGCTACCATGCCGGTTTCAACCATGGATTTAATTGTGCTGAATCTACAAATTTCGCGACAGTTAGGTGGATAGAATACGGAAAAAGAGTTTTACTTTGTACTTGCAGAAAGGACAACGTTAAAATATCGATGGATACATTTGTAAAACGTTTTCAGCCAGAAAGGTACATTTATCTGAATATTATATACGAAAAAGTTTTATGCTCTTGTAAAATATATGTTATAGAGTGTAAAATAATTGTTTTGTAATATTGATAATACAGATACGAACTGTGGCGACGTGGTGAAGATATTGGTTGTCATCCTGAAGACCCTAGACAAACTGTCGCGTCAATGCCATCGCATACAGATCTATTGTGCAACAGTAACATTGATCAAAGTGAGTTATCGATGCCAAAAAGTAAACGGAATGTTATTCACAAAAAGAAAAGCATGGGCGCGAATTCTGGAATCGATATGGAAGAGCTTGTTAACCGTGAGGATATCCCTGCGAATGTTAAAAAGGCTATAGAAGATATAGAATTGGAAGAAATGATGGAAGAACCGCCAGACGAGCAACAATTAGAGGTTCTAGAAGATATTTGGTTAAAAGCTGAAGAAATGGGTAAAACTTCGTACATTTTTATGTGTTATTCTAATTTGTATAATGCACCAATGTACGTTTTTAAGTACTGATCAAGTACTTTTATTTTTTTTAGATATTGAAGAAGCATCTGTGTACGATGATGGCTATAATCGCAAGAAGAATAAAAAAAGAAGGAAAAACCAACGTGTGGTTAAAGCGAAAAAATCAAAGGTAGAATCAAAATCTAAGAAGGAAGTCAATAAAGCTAACGTGCAGAACACAGACATAGTGGAGACCCAAATGGATATAGCTTTCGAAGACTTGTCTCAGCACAATAGCGATGAAATTCCCGTGCTTCAAGGAAGTTACAATGACAATATTATATTAGAAAGTGATCCTGCAGATGATCCTCTGAAGATAGAAGACTCCGAACTTGAAAAATCTAAAAAACCATTGAAACAAGGTAAAAAACAGTGAGACTTGAAAGTCAACATCATCGTCATTCTCGAATGGTTAACATTAAACTTTTTGAATGTTTCAGATGCTAATGTACAATGTGAAGATGTATTTTTAACTGGCATTAACGTGTTCGCTGAAAATATTGTTTCACAGGATAATAAGTTTAATACGTCAATAAACGAAGAGAAACCTACTGTAAATACAACCACTAGTGGTCAAATAACAAATTGTACTCATGGCAGTCATCCAAGCGCATTAAACAATATGTCAGAAAGAACCAACATGAACTCATCGATGAACATCAACAATGATTTTTCCAAAGGAATATCAGCAGTTAATACAAAAAAGAATTTAAATCATAACATCACGCAAAATACAAAGTTCGGAATATGTCCGAACGAAAGTACAATAGGTATTGCAACCAGTCATGTAAAACAACAATCCAAATGTTTAAATTACAAGAATCCAGTGGCTACAGCGAATTCAGAATGTCCATCAAAGGGAATACAAAAAAGTTCTATTGGTAAAAATTTGATAAAACAACCTCGACTTACTTTACCAGAAAATTATTATTCGCGAGGAATGTTGAACTTACTTTCTGTTAAAGATCAGAAGAATTTACAAACAACTAATATGTCAAAGATGTGGCCTCAGCAACTATGTACGTCTGCATCGACTCCGAGTACATGGGCGTTTCGCACATCTTTGTGTAACGAAGGGCAATATATCAGTAGTAATAATAATAGTGCAATCAAAAGTTCGCCACAAATGTCTGGAAATAGTTTTAGTTACCAGCTTCCACCTGGCACCACTATTACTCAGGCTGCTTCTCATACTTCTCATACCACCTCGGAAAGACACGTACCATCTCTTTACGGTTCCAATCAGTTTGCCTATAAAATACCTCAATTAGGTAAAATGAACAAACAAACATCATCAAACAGTGTTCTCGTATTTCCACTTTCCCACGTAACTTATAGTACAAATGCTAATGATACGATCAATCACGCTGCTAATATACTTCTCACAGATATTTTACCTGCGAATAATACGAAGCCAAACACATTGATACAAAGTAGAAAGCAAAATACATTAAAAACTACTAAAAAGGTGCCGCGTCAAAAGTCTCAAAAAGGGCCCACATCACGCAAGAAATCATCGACGACAAAGAACAATAAACCGAACGCTAACGCATCTCTAAATATATCCGGAAGTACCACCAAACTAACACAAGACAACTTAATTGACTTAACAAGCAGTTTATCTACCGTGGATAATATGTTATCACAAGATACAAACATACAGAGCAGTTATAAATTGGTAAATTTAAATACTCAATTTCCGGAGAATCTGACCGGTGATACAATGGAGCATGATGAGAGCAAATGTTCAAATACATTCGACACAATCGCAAAGTTTGCTAATATTGCACAACCGCAAGGTTTACAAAAACAAACAACAAGTTCTTTACGTTCGCCTACACATAAGATGAAACAAAGTAAGATACCTGTCAGAAGAAAGCCGAGAGAAAAGGTGAAAAAAACTCCGACTAGAAAAAAGCAACCAATGACTGTTGTCTCCGAGTTCGACACTGCAAAAGGTCAAGCAATGCCAGCTGAATCTATGGATGTTCCATCATGCAGTTCTCAGCCAATATCTCTAATACCGGAACATATTTCCGACATAATGTATCCGAGCGCACCGAACAGCGATTTGATCAAAGCGTTCAACAATTACTGGAGCTCTCAGATTTCTTATTGCGCCATATGCGTTCCTTTTGCTTCGTGTGGAAGTGGAAACAGCAGAGTAATGACATCCGACTGGAAGTATTGCGAATCAACCGTCTTACCTGATAGTACACCAATATGGGTAAAGATTAACACATTTTTATTAATAGTTTTGAAAATTGATTTTTTTTTCAAAATAAAAAAAAAACTGAAATACTAATAATCTATCAGGTATCACCTGACATCTTTGCGGCAAACTCCAAGGAACAAGCAGTTGAACAAAATAATACACTTTTGCGATGTAGAGACTGCCACGTTACCGTTCACGCTTCTTGTTATGGTATAAGTATTTTGCCTACCGATCTCCGGAGTTGGGCTTGCGATAAGTGCAAAGCTGGCAGATATGATGTGGTATGTATTTATAAAATAAACTTCTAATAAAATTAAGGCAAACAACACAAAATAAATTTGTTGTTAAGGAGGATATATCTAATATTGTTTTGTTATTTTAAATTAGATGTGTTGCTTGTGCCCAATGTTTGGTGGTCCTTTGAAACGAACCAGTGACAGTCAATGGGCGCATATATCCTGTTCGCTTATGACTGGAGCCACTTTCAAAGATGTTATTAATAAGGATCCTATTAATGTGTTCTCGATCTCAAATAACTTATGTCATAAAACATGTCACTATTGCGGACAGTCTAGAGGAGCATGCCTGACATGTAGTCAATGCACCAACATGTTTCATGTTTCGTGTGGCCTTATAGTGGGTGCCACATTTACCATACCGACGAACAATTCTGAACAACTTCAGGTATAACATTGTTTTAATTCTGAAGACACGACACGATCAGACAAATTTTATATATAAATAAATAAATATTTTGTTAATGTTTCATTACAGGTAACATGCAATGAGCATAACAAAGGCAAGGAAAAAATTCCGCAGATACGACAAGGAGAGATAGTTTGGGCGAAACATAAAAACACACGATATTATCAAGCTCGAGTAAAATCAATCCAAGATATTTTCTTTTATATGGTTACATTTAATCAGGATAAAAGTTTCAGCGATGATCTGTATCCCTCAGATATAATCGTAAGTTTCTATAAACTTTTATTTTTTTTATATACAATTGTTTTATTTAATATTGCATTCTTATACAACACACTGTTTTATATTATATTTATATAATTATATTTTTATAATTACTTTATTTTTAGAATTATGATACCCGAAACATACCTCCACTGGGAGCCGCGGTGACCGTAAGTTGGACAGACGGTAAAAAATATGACGGCATTTTCGAAGGTACAAATCATCGAATAATGTTCAATGTAAGTAATCGCTATTAAAATAAATTTAACTTTTTTTCGATTATATAATCATTAATTTATAAGTTTTATCATATACGGTTGTATCATTTGCTTGTCGTAGGTCGTGTTCGAAGATGGCTCTCAACTCGCTTTAAAACGTCACGAAATATACAGTTTACAAGAGGATATGCCAAAAAGAGTGCGTTCTCGTCTGGTGAGTCCAGTCAGAAAAATGATTTCATAATTTGCATCATAACATTTGTTGATGTCGTTTTTATTTACTATTTTTATTTTATTTTTTTGACAATTATTAGCTTTATATTTTTCTATGTTTGTTTCTCTATGTTTTTTTGTTGGTTTATTAAAGTCTGTTGCGACTGAAATGAAGCACCGATCTCATCTTTATGGCACTGAGGATTAAACAGAGGCGCAATGAAAAGTGAATCCAAAAGTTGCACTTGACCGAGATACAACTGTAAATAATTATTAGATAAAAGGATTCCTCTTGTTGATACCAAGTATATATTTTGTAATAACTTTTTTTTTTTCAACTATTTACTCAATATTTCGGTTCATATTTAATTTACAGTATTATGTCCGTATATTTATGCTATGTGTATATCGTACAAAAACTATTATTATTAATAACTAATTTTATATCGATGGAATAAAAACCAAATTTATATATACTTGTATATTTTGACAGCACCGGTAAAAACTATTGTGATGCATATCGTGCACTGGTTTTAGAATTCATGAAAATATTTTTCATTTAATGTTGATTAAACTGCATATACACAATACATTACAAATGTGTGTGTACACATACACACATGTAAAAACACATTTGGTATAAGAATAGTTTTATATCGCGTTTTGAGAATTAAAATCAAAATATTCTAAATTCTTAATTTTATTTTTTTAAGAATTCAACATAAACTCTTAAATTACAAAGGCATTTCTTAAAAAATATTGTATTTACAATACTTTTTATTGGTGCAATCAATTTATGTTGATAATGCGTTTCGAGTTTTAACCTGAAACATTCTACATTTTATATACTCAGTACTTTGTAAACGTCAGAGTATTATGTAAATCGAAAAAAACTTCAATACGGTAATCTATATATATACAAAGATATTAATAAGGAAAACATTAAACAACATAGTTTGTGTTCAGAAAAAAAATATATACATATGTAAATTCACTTTTTAGTGAATAATTAATATTTTAACAATTGAAGAAAGTGTGTGTGTGTGTGCGTGCGTGTGTGTGTGTGTTCGTGTGTAGGAGGGAGGGAGGAAAGGGAGTGTGTGTGCGCGCACTTTTGCACTAGTTTTATTTTTTGTGAATAGCTGTAAAAAGTGTGTTATGAATATATTAGAAATGTGTATTTGTCAAAATCAATTATTTATAGAGTTCCATCAAGAGGATATAATAATTATTTACAACAGTATCTTAAGATATTTTGAACTAATTAAATTTTCCACGACCAACTTTGAGTTTTATTGAAAACTTTTTTAACATTATTTGTAAAATATACGATCAACGCAACGTTTACTAAATTTTGACAGATAGAAAGTGACTTTTAATTTTTTTATCAGTAGAAAATATATCACTGAAAAAAAAAAAAATAAATAAATATCACCAAAAAAAAAAATAAATAACTTAGTATATACTATATATAAATATAGTGTCTGAAACTTCTTGACATAGTCGAAGTATGAACGTTGGATCAATCTGAACAGAAAAGTCATTTAAAACTTTACAAAAAAATTTGCAATAGATAGTAAAATTATTAAATTCTTTCGCTGCGGCGACGTCTAGAGAGCGCGCGTGACAAACGGCAGTCGTAACCGATGTTATAAACGGCAAAATTGTTTGCTGAACGCGTATTTTGTAAAAAATTATATGATGATGTGTTTGCTTAATGCCTGAAGACGCTTTTAGCGCCAACTGAGCGATATCCAGTTAAACGTCTGAAAGAGCGAGTAACTCATTGTCAGATAGACAAGACTTTTAACGAGAGAGACGTAGTAACACAACGAGCGACGTGTGACACGGCTTCTCGTTATTAGCTGATATTAAATTTATTGATTTGTCTGAAACTTAATATATGTTTTATACACGCCTACAGAGTCCGGACTATCGCTTTCCACGTGCTCATATTGGTTTGTATCAAGTAAATAACTTAATAAATATATTGCGAAGTTTGCAAAATGATAACATGACTTTTCTGTTCCAAATGATTCTATCTACTTTCGGCTGTCGAAAAGTATCCACATATACCCTGTATATACAAAAAACTTATGAAGGACAATTTTATATCATTTTATATCATTCACAATTTATTTTATTGAATTTAATTTTCAAGATATATAGATATACATATATATTCGCAATAATGTAAAATAAGATTCATTGTAACATAGATCGCATTATATCGACATGCAATTTCGTAATATCATACACAAACATAGGATTCCATAATACGATAAGTACACAATTATAAATTATTTTATTGTCACATAAATGATCACATCAATTTAAACAAATTGTATAGATTTTGTTGAGTCTTTCATTTTTCATTAAGTTTAATCTAGTCGCTACTTTTATTTTGTTTTATAATATACTTAAAGCTACATAAAAAGAAGACAACACTTTTAGTAAGAAATGCAGTATTAATAAAATGTAGAAATTGCTGTGATGGCAATATATCAGTTTTGCGTGCGGTATCTGTGTTTGTGATACGTGACAAAAATAACAACAAATAACTAAAAATTATCTTCAGAGAGCTTTCTTTATTCTGCAACTTGTATGTAACAGACAATTTCGTTAATGTATTGTAACGTGATTACTTTGTGATACATTTTAAAAGAACAAATCCTTCAGTCTATAACTTTGTAATCTATGCGTTATAATGTCGTTATTAACGTATTTTTGGGTATAAAAAATGTGTCATAAGATAGTCGCGCAATATGTTAAGGATATTAACGCAAGCGTAAAAAATTTTAAGAATAAACTCGCAGAGAAAAATGCTAATTATACAAATAACGAAAAAGACTGCGATTATTGTTATCACTGTTATTACTACAATATAGATGATTATCATTCTAGAAGATTTAATACCTTCAAGATCGATTTAGATTAAACATGTAAATTTGCTCGCAACATGAGACGTTGTTCTCGGCAAGTTTTATGACGTTTCGGTAGAACATAAATTTGTGTCTCCGATCTTAAAGGTGTTATTAAGCGTGTACTCTGGAAAAAATTATATATATATATATATACATACGTGTATGTATATATATATTTTTTTTTATATATCCTCTTGTAATTTTAATCTTGATTAAGTTCAATATAAATTATATATGTATATTTGCAGAATTCATAAGTTATATGGCAGCAGATTTATCATTTTATTCCAGTAATTGCTTCAATGCTGTTACTGAAGATAAATCTTATTGTAAAATTCTAAGAAAATATATATCGTATAAAAAGTAAACATTTTGAAATAAATTACAAATATGTTATTTCAAGCGACAATACTGTTATTTAGGCCACGCGTAATTATGGCATAAAACGTTTGTGTGATAGAGTGACACGGTATTGTCATTAATCAGAAAATAATCATTTTGATAGAAACACGATTAAGAGAGGAGAAACATTTTGGAGAAAAATCTGAACAAAAAAAAAGAAAATATAAATATTAAATCGTTAATCAAGAAACGATAACTTTTTATCGCAAATTGATCATGTAAAGATAGAAAAAAATTCACAGCGCAATTTTATTTACATACTGATAGTAAAAACCACATTACATTTATGTGTTTTTCATATAAAACATAACTATTTGTATATTGTTTAGCGGTTAACTGTCCATATTTCTCTTTGTTTTTTTTTATTTCATCTATACAATTTGATTTGCTTTTTTCAAGACTTTTAAGATTATTTTTTTCATAAAGATGTACAATGTGCGTAGAAACACAGATTTGTGCATATGTTTATTTAACAAAACCTTCATACGTGTACAGTTTTCATGAAATATTACATATTCAAAAGTAATAAAGAACTTAAATAATTTAAACTATCACTATATATAAGAGGGATATTATGTTTAACATGGATCTCTATTAAAATTTTAAATACACATACACATTCATCACACATATGTATCACGATATAAACTAAAGTTATATAAATTATAATACCTGCTCTCTCTTTCACACATACATAAACGTGTTATTCACCTTATCATGTCATTTAAATATATATTTATAAACACTCAGTGTTTTTATGCAATTTTTGTCGCTCGAATATTTTCGAATCCATGAATATGCTATATCTCTCTCGCTTCTGTGTATATGTAAACATTCAATAGTAATTAGAAAGTTGCTGGCGTGGGGGGGGGAAGGGGGTGAGGGTGTGACAAATAATTATGATTGATAGAAAAAAACCCCAACTAATATGCTAAGTATAAAATAATATCTCTCTTGCATCTAATATTTAAATACGCGATTTGGTAACACACATTTAGTCTTTTTTCCAACACATTTTTCCAATAGAAAACATTTTCTATAATGCTAAAGTTTGCACATAAATTGTACACACTATAACACGAGACGTTAAAGCAATGATAAAAGGCATATAAGAAATAATAGTTTGTTTTGTTTTTCCTGTGTCTCTTTACTTTATTTCAGCAGAAATCTCTCGATACGTAGATATGGAATGCCTTTCTTTTTTTGTTTTTATTTATTTATTTCTCTTATGAGAGCAACCGAAATTCGCGATGTCATAGAAATTTGTGCAAAACTACAATACTGTGTCTTGACAGAATAACATTTTCTTTATCTTCGATTAAGTTTACACCAAAGTGCGCTCGCGGTCAAAAGATGCATCAATACTCCAATGCCGAGGATCAGTATCAAATTGTTAATCACGGTAATGTCATCCGTATTAATGTCCATCTCTTTGAGAAACTGAGACGGTTTTTTGTAATGACAATAGAATTCATCGCAATTCAATTCCATTCTGTCGAATCCATACATGGTGTACAAGAGGCTGTGGAAACTTGCGCGGAAATACGATATGTGGAACATCCAGCGAAAGTAGTACGGGGTGTCGATGTAACGAGCGCAGAAGCCAAAGACAGACAACAGCACCGCGATTATAGGACCAACAAATACTGCGATCTGATATTTGAATTCATATTATACACAAAATATAAATATTGCCATAGAGAAAAGTATATAAATACAAAGTAATATAAGAAAAAGCGTCTTTATAATAATGTATAAGTACGTATCATGCATATACAAATATATATATATATATATATATATATATATATATATATATTTATTTATTTATTTTTTACAATCAAATAGAGACTTTTATAGACTTGCAAGTTCAATCTCTGTAAATGTCTGAATTTATGATCTAAATCAGATAGAATTCTAAAATTCATACGTATGATCCGATTATGTGAGTGCAATTCATATTTGACTCGAATACAACAAGAGACTTGCTCAAAAGAGAAAGCGCTCAAATATACAAAATTATAAACTTACTTTAACTGGTGTCGTAGCACCAATGAAGAAACCCCATGCTTGCGCTGTTAGACTGGCAGCTATGCAAATTACCATGAAGTACATTATACGATTTGTTTCCATAGGCTGACCGGTCAACCAGTAACTCACTGATATATACACTATCGCGCATGCCGCTTGAAATGGTATTTCCACGAGCAACATGCTAATATAATATGGAGCTAGTCGGTACCAGCGGTTGAAGTGCTCTCTCATGAGAATTTGTATTTCTAATGGAACTGAAACACAGAAGAATATATTAAAACGTATAAAAACATGTTCAGGTAAATGCGTATGTGAAACATAAAAATTTCGTTGATACACGATGATACCCGAAATAAGATTGATAGAACAAACTCAATAAATATTTGTTCATCTTTTTGTAATATTTATTGAGTCATTGTTTCTCATAAGAGATAATTATTATATTTAAATATTTAGCCATTTCTTCAAGTTTTATTATTTACATTAGAAAATCTTTGTGCACGTGTTTGTCGACGGTCACTTTTTTTTTTGTTTCTGTAAAAAACGAAATGCATTGGAGCAATAGCCGCGTCGCTTAGGTGAACGCTCTATGAAATTTAATCATGTAGAGAGATATAAAAGATATTCACAATTCCTTGACCCACATTTCGCGTAATGACTAACCAACACACGCGAAGCGTTCCTGATTATTATACGCTCTATGAAGCAACGGTAAAGATAATTACTGTTATGACGACAAATCAACATTATCTTGACATATAAGCGAAAGATTAGAAATATAACTTTCAAAACAGGTGTATTGTGACAGACATGTTTAATAATTAAATTGACAAATATTCTCCTCTGTATAAATATGCATATAATATAATATGTAACTCTGTGTGTGTGTGTGTGTGTGTGTATCTTTCTGTACGTAGATACAGACACACATACATATAAGCATATAACCGAGTTTTGACAGATAATAAGTCAGAAATAAAAACTAAAGAAAAAGATTTTGCAATGACACAAATCTTACGACAAAACAAGTAAACTTTGTTCTCTAGTTTTTATTATTTTTTAAATTAGCATAATTGATTTTGCAAAAGTAAAGTCCGCAACGATGCTTTTTTCGTGTTGAAGTGCATACATGACAATTTGACGCTTATTTGATTTTCAAATCACGATTGATTAATTCTGACGCTCGCATGCGATCTAACAAAAAACCAATAACATGTTTTTTTTGTTTTTTTTTGTTTTTAAGATTTAATTAATTAGTAGTTATAACGTGACAGATGTAATCTAATCTTATGAGTTTTTTTCTTTATTTAAATATTATTTCCACATTATTGTAATTATTAAATTACAGACTACGTGTGAATACTTGTATACGAGCCATCGTAAATGTGCAATTATTCACATGAAAACGTATTATGTAAACGGATAATTACATCTGGTATTATTTTTGTCACTAACGTTTAAATCAAGATTATGTTTAACATCTAAACTCAGATGAAAAGATCTGATAAAGATCTGAAAATCAGATTAAATAAAAATATCACTTCTGGTAATAGTCATATGAAATACTAGTCATGTGAAATGATTACAGTACAATGAGAAAATAATATACCATTTGTCATCACAGTGATTAAGCAAAGAATGATCGGTGACCAATTTATATTTAATAATTTTTTTTCTTTAAAATTCTTCCCATGTATGATTAAATAAATAAATCATTATCGATATTTTGACATTAAAAATATTTATTTTGATTAAAAAATGCAAAGGCCATGTTTTTGCATTTAATTCTTCGGAGGGGATTATATATATATATATATAAATTTATTAAGCTATTTAATATTGATTTAAGACTAGTTAAATACTTACAAGCGAGTGTGACTGCCATTTTTCCGGTATAAACAAGAAGGAGCAACGATCCATATAAGTATACATAATTTGCTAAAACACCATTAGCTCGATAACCACTTCCCATGTATAAATATCCAAAAATCACACCGATTAAAAGATGGCAAAGTAATCGTGCCATCAATAACGTATAATCTCTTTTTAAATATAACAATTGTCTTTTGTATAAAAGATAACATTGTGTCAGGAGACTAGCGGGTGGTGGTGGTTCTTGTACATTCTTTTCTAAAACAAAAAGCGTAAAATCTATATTGTTTATAATATCACCATTTAAGTAACAATTTGATTTTGAGCTCTCTCTCTTTCTCTCTCTTTTCTCTAAGAGGTAAAATAATTATACAATTAGTTATAAACAAATGTAAACGTTAATCTTATTATTGAAAACTTATATATAAGTGATAAAACGTTATCAATATAAAGAGAATTTTCTGAATATTTTATTTATTTGCAATCAAATTACAACGCAAACTGTTTTGGAGCAAAAACAGAAAGTGAGAAGAGTTTCTAGAGAATAATCTTACTTTCATTTTTAGGCTCTGTTGTAAGAGCGACAGACTTCTGATTACTTTGCAACGTTTCTGCTGCCGCTACTAACTTATCAAGTGAAATACCATATTCACCAATTGCTACTTCGAGGACTGAAATAAATTAACAAAAATGATTACTTATAAAATTGTGTAATTTATCATTCTTTATATGTTCGATAATAATTTTTGTATATTTATATATTCTAAATGCAATATTTCAGATTTAAAACGTATCTAACAAAAGTGACCTTGATTTATTTTGATTTTTGCATTGTGTTTTCCTTCACATATTTACAAACACAATTATAATGTATTAGTTCAAACTTAATAATTCAAACTTACGAAAGTCTGCTGGATTATGATAAGATGGACAATTCGCGCCGACGGAAGCCAAGTGTGGCAATAAAGAACTAACCGGACCTCTGTATATGCAATAACCATTAGCCACTACGTAGAGACTATTGAACATTTCAAGGATTAAGGCGCTCGGCTGATGAATCGTACAAATTACTGTGCGCTTTTCTAGTTCCGTCAGTCGCTTCATAAGAGCAACGCATTGGCTACACGAGGCAGCATCTAGACCTGAAAGATCAGATAATATAAATAATTTTGTTACAAAGTAAACAATTAACGTGCACAAGTGTTTCTTTTATTTATACCAGGAAAAACGCGTTATAAGAGAATATCTTGATACAATGGGAGGTTTATTTTGTTATTGCTTTGATAACATACACACCGAATACGATACCGCGTTTTTATCTCATGATGCAATGCGTCAGTAATGGGCTTAAATTTGTACGGATGCAACGCGTTGTTATTAAGCAAGCGCCGCAATGTATATAAGTAACTGAGACTGGAAATGGAATGAGGTAATCGGAAATGGACATCGCAAATTGCGAGACAGCTTATTGCGAGATCTTACGGCATCAACTATCGTGAAACGGTAGTCATTATAACGTCACGCAAATGTTTATACAGTGTAATCAGAGACACAAATGAGCACAACCTGTTTATTGTAGAGCATTAATTATTATCAACTACTTTATATATTTTTCTACTGTATATTATATTTTTTACCTACATGATTTTTATATATTTGTCTCTCAGAAAATAATAGTAGATAATGGTAATAAATAAAAAATTTTAGTCGATCACGATTTTTGATATTTATTGCTCATTATATTGTTTATAATCAAACACGATTTTGAAAGTATCCTTATTATTTGTTTGGTTTTATATTTTCTCTTCCGTAATCTCAGCTATATTTCGCTCATTTTTTATGTTTTTTTATTTTTCTTAACATTATGACACTTAACAACAATAACACTTAATAAAATACGATTCCGCGCATAGAGAGAACAAGAAAAAGAGAGGATAATATTATAATATATACTAGATCATTGTAATCAATCACTATTTACGTCCGGTGGATTTTCCTATCCGTTTTTTATCGCAATAATAATGTGCAGCAATAAAACAATTTCGTTATTACAGATTGATCACGGGTCAGAACGTAACACTATTAACGTCTTTCCATTTATTTAATGATATTATTTGAAGTTGTTTTTTTTTTTTTTTATAGACGTCTATTTTATTTGTTTTCACGTTTTACATATTTTTTAGACTTTTTCACGTCTTACGTATGTTGTTTCTATGAAATATATTATAAATAATTTATGTATTTTTATTGGCGCATTAGCCACGCAAAACAAATGTTCTAGAAAAACTACCATTAAGTGTTAAACGTCACGTGGAATTATGGACGATCCTAGATATTTAATAAACATTAGATGTTTTGTCTTTATACTCTCTTAGAAAATTAAATCATATAATTGTAATCAAAGATTGGTACTTAGTTTAGTTACTTACCAGTTGTTGGTTCGTCAAGAAATAATACTGAAGGATTGCTTAAAAGTTCCAAAGCAATATCGAGTCGTTTCTTTTGTCCGCCCGATAATTTTCCGCACAGTGTATCATAGCTATGGCTCAGTCCGAGCATTTCTAATAACTCCAGAACCTGCGCGTACATAGAAAATCAGAAATTAATTAAACATATCACGCAATTCTTTTCGCATAATTTAATCAATTTTCTTGAAACTGTGTTTTTCTCTTCCTCTTCATATATGTAAAATACATACGTACATATCTGAATAAGAGAACTAGAACACGCGCATGTCATCGATGAATCACCACAACATATATAACCACATCATCCCAAACTGCAGTTGCGATAAAAATAGCCGAAAATCAATCATTTTGTGTCACGGAAAAACAGGCAACAATATTTTCGAGATAAATTCGAGATATTCGACTGGGGGAAACGCTAGCAATGTTTTTTTCAATTCGCACACGTCGTTGCGGTTGTTTTAACAAATATATCAGACACATCACGCGCGTGCCAAATTCGAGATATTCGAGTTCAATATTAAAACACACTTTTCACTGGGAACCAATATAGTATACATATATGTATATATAGATGTTGTTTTAACAAGACACATAATTCTAATTACTTCGTAGACTAAAATAGATGGTACAGTCTATGATCACAAACCTGAGCGTGCTTATAAGTAGAATCGATCGTGCAACCGATCTTCAAATGAGCAGCTACAGTCATAGCTTCTCCGACGGTGATATGTCCTCTGAGAATAGAGTCTTGTTGTATATAACATGATGTTTTCTTCCATCGTTCGCTGTACGGACCTCGGAGCTTACCGTTAACCAAAACTTCTCCGCTTGAGCCTTTTACTCTGCACATAAAAATATATTCATTATGTTTAACTGAAACGTATTATACATTACTTGTCGAGTAAACTAGAAAAGAGAAGAATAGGCCAATATGATCAAGTTGGGTATTAAAAATATTCGATTTTCCTTTTTTTCTTTTGTTTATTCTTTTTCCTTTTTTTTTTTTTTATCCTTATCGAGACTTTTTTCGGTAAATAAAACATATGATAAATTTTGTTCCTACAAGTTGCTAACAAGCGGTAATATAGTTTCATAGTCAAGATGTTAAAATAAAAAAACTTCATCGCAATAAGAATAAATCATCGAGACGAATTTCACAACGTTCAACTCGTGACATCATGTGTAATAAAAAAATACTCAGAGTTTTGTAACTCGTCAGCGACTTGTAAGAGCGGAATTTAGTTGTATGATTTATTTACTAAGAAAAAACAGTAATATCTCCAGTGAAACAGAAAGATATTTTGAAGAAGAAGAATAAAATAAAGAGGAAATTATAAGAGGAAATAATATTAAAAATTATATTAGAGTGATAGTTTGAATGCTTGAATTGATGCGATTAAATTAACGAAATTAATGTGTACTTAATGTGTAGTTCCTGTGTGTACACACATGTACGAAAAGTAATATATTAAAAATTTTTTCATAAGTACGATTATTTTAAAAATTCATCAAGTGTGAGAATTAAAAAAATATCTAAGTATATGTACGTAAGATGAAAAAAAATTTAGAACATTGATGGTAAATTCTCCACATCACACGATTAAAAAAAATAAATAAATATTGTATGTAATGTGTAACTAATTAAATGTAAATATTTAAAAAATAAATTTTTTACATTTTCGTTATTATTCTCGTGATGTTATTTAAATGGTATAACGTAGCTGTTTTTTTAGAGTAAAATAACACATTAATGTAAATATAAAAGATAAAAGTCCCACTACAAAAACACGACATTTTTCATATAATTAACTAGTTATTGATAAAAATATCTAAACACGTGTTGTATAATGTAATTGCTTGAATGTAATTGCTCGAATGTAATTGTTCGATTAAGATCATTTACATAATAGTAGATTATCGTCAAGATTTCACTTTATAAATAAGAGTTAACTTTGTAAAGTCAATCTTTTCTGTTGAATACATGAGAAAATGATTTTAAAATATATATTTCATTTTATTTTATTTCTCGGTTAATCATATTTATTTCATCGCAAATCAAACGTAGAAAGTTTATTTAAACACGTATTTTGTAATTTTTATTATCAAATGCCATATCTTACACACTTTGCTCATGTTAATACAAACAAAAAAATTATTATATTTTATTGTACTGTATAAAAAAAAGTAATACATATGATCTCTTGTCTGTGTTAATGTAGTTGAAATACACTTGCTTGATTGTATTATAGAAATTCATTTCAGTATGGGTATATTAATCTCTCTCTCTCTCTCATTTCTATTTGTAATATATTTATATAAATACGGATAATCATAAAATCAGTTTTTTTTACTCTTATCCAAAGTGATGTTTCTCTGTGAGAAATACGCGGTATGAAAGGTAATATAAAAATTGTGCGTTGTTCACGTGCGCATTTCGCAATGTCAAGGATATCAGAGGAAATAAAAAAAAATGACTAATCGTGACCAAGTCGAGCACGTACGACCTACGTGAACATGCTTATTAAGCATCTAATTGCTTAGTATTCTACCTCAACAATAAGAGCTATCTCATCGTGCGATTTTTTTTCTATTAAGTATTTATACTTGATCGCGATATAGTACGTGTGTGAAAGAAGATTAAGTTCTGAAAAGATTCTACGGTTGCTCATTCACTTTGGAATCACTCTTATATAGTCCTCAAATCACAAAAATTCTTTTGCAGGATTTGATATTGGGTAATGCGGTAAATCGAAAAATAAAATTTTGATTATTATTCGATTCAAATAAATCAGATATGGAAAGTTTGTTTTTCAAATTAATAAAAAAAAAAAAAAAAAAACTTCGAACTGAAATAGAAAGAAAACCAGGAAAAAGCTCATGTAAGATAAAATGTGCACGAACTATACTCGTGTGTAATTGTAAATGTATGTAATCGCATCATCATTTTATAAGAATGTCAGATATCTTCCGTTACAAAGTATGAATAATGATAAATTTATTATTATTATTCGTTCAAACACGGAGCGCTAGCGATCCCGTTAGAACACACACATTTAATTTAAACATTTCTAATAGAAACATTTCTACAGCGGATCCGTTTAGACACGATTTCACGATTTTTTTTTCATTAGAAACGCGTTTGATTAATTCTGTCTAAACGGATGATATAAATTTATGTTTAAGATAGGTCAGGTTTTTTAAAAGAAATCAAGTAGATAAAAGACTTGATATCTTTTTTTTCTTATCTTTGTACAAGTTTTTTTCACTAAGTTGCTTATCTTTTATCATGTATATATATGAATCTTATCTTTTATCTTTTTTTTTTCTTATTACTCTTTGCTGGAGATTAGTTTTTCCTTGTTACATACGTTTGCACTTACAATGTCAAGATTAATAATAATTATTATTATTAAAAAAACATAAATAAACATAAATAAAACTTGAGTAATAAGAAAGCATTATCAAAAAAACACTTTAAATGATGAAGTAGCAGCTTACGCGAGGCTGCTCTTAAGTTCTCTCTCTAACCAACAACAAACCTTCAAACTATTACAAATATATATAAAAAACAATAGAAGCTATGTTGAATACGATAAATAGAGATTTTAATACAAGTTCGGTACAAATAATTAAATTAAATAATTAGAAAAAGAATAAATCAAAAGAAATTGAATAAAAAAAGCATGTAACGCTAGTATAAATGTGCGTATAAAAACAAATAAGATTAAATGTTAACACTTGAAGATGGTTTTCGAGTTTGAACTGCGTTGTCATTTTTATATCGACGTTTCGTGAACATTTAGCCAAAATCAGTATCAGATTATCCTCAGTATCAGGAAACCATGATGAAGCGAATTGAAATATTCACGAAACGTCGGTATAAAAACAACACTAACGCGAAACCTGAAAAACATCTTCGAATATTGATGTAACACACCGCGAAAGCATAAAAAATAAATCTCTTTTATTGTCTGGAAAGAAATAAGGCCACAGAGTCAACGCAGATGTAATTAATACTTTTTTTAATATGTAAATTTACGCAAAAATTTGTTTTTTTTTTTCAAATTATCTTTAATTTATTTTAATTAAAGTCTTATTTGTTTCGTCAAAACTTTAAGAGTTTATCTAATTGCGTTTGTTAAATGTACAGGGTTCTAAGGATATGCCAAAGTTGTGTTATTTAGTGTAATTTCGATAACTCGTGTGTGTTTAAAAGCGAATTCGCATTATTTAATTTTGCACTTACGTAAAACCGGCAAGAACGTTCAACAACGTCGATTTTCCCGCTCCAGATGGGCCCATTATACCTACTAATTCGCCGGCTTTAAATTCGCCGCTAACGCCGTGCAGAATCTCTTTTTCCTCTGCAAACAAAAAAACACGCAACATGTACGATTACGTCATTGTTTCGTAGATCATCTCACACGATGATTCAGTGTCAACTGACTTAAAACACTCATTCTATTGTTTTTTTTTTTATACCTATATAAATGTTTGATCCAATAGAAGTATTCAGTAAGAGTAGTAAAAATTATATATCTACGTTACAAACACTCAAACCTTGAACCTTATGCTAAACGTTACAATGGATTAAGATATTCTGATGTCCTTCATTACACACACACACACACACACACACACACACACACACGCACACTGAAGATTCTCATAATCGTAAAACTAGTTAAAGAATATTCAATCAAACTTTGTTTGGATTGCAAATATAAAAGTTTTTCTCTGTATATTGAGAACATCGGATGACACATGTGCATAAGGAAGCACGAACAACAGTAGAAGCTAGATAAAAGCTAGATAACATTTCTAGAACGATGCAATTTCTTTCAACCTTGCATGTAATCAGACCAAACAAACCTTGAACTGGTTCAGGTTAAACTGATAAGAGTTGGAACTCGTTAAGAGCTAATCGCGTTTAAAGTTACGAGACGGTTTATAAAACCAGAAACACACAATGATGACTATGTGTGTGTATGTAAGCGTTCTATGCGATTGCAAGTTGCGTTTTCGTTACGTTATGTAATTCTCGATTGAGATACTAGATGTTTAGATATGTTTTTTCTCAATCGCGCATTTTATGTATAATACAGTTACGATGTGTGACCCGTGTACACAATTAATGTTCTTCATCTGAATAAATGAAGTATCGAAAAACTATCGTTACCGTCGAAGTGACACACACACACTGACATAAGATAAAATAACATAGTGAAGCAAAACAAAATGTTTATAACACCATTTATCAGATATAAATGTAACAAACAAATTTTGACAAAGCACAATGTTGAGGAAAAAATACTTTAGAACTGTTTCCTTAGTTAGACAGGCAAATAATTCTTTGCATATTTATTCCTTTTTTTTTTTTCTTATAAACGAGAAATATCACTCTCTTTCTTAGAGACAGAAATAAAATTAAGTTCATATTCTTTTTTTACTCTGGCTGTTTAATATAGGGTGGCGTAATAATCATGATAGAATCGGGAAAATGTTTTTTTTTTTTATAAAGAAATAAATTGATATTGTTGTAGAATTAAGAGAAAGTGTTTTTTGTTTATGAAGAAATAAATTGGATATTGTTATATAGAATAAGATTTTCATATAATGTTAATTTTTTAATTTTTATTTTTGATAAAAATTTTCATTACCTTTACATTATGACTAATACCCTGTACATGTATAACGAGATTTTCTTATCGCATATGATAGACAAGAGCGCGCATATTATATTTCCACCAGAATCTTTTACTCTTATATCAAAGTGGTTGCTTGATATCATGAATTATGTGTTTGTAAATCATGTAAGTATTACAGTACGTACCAACTTGTGTATAAAAGTCTGTATATTTCCACAGAATTCTTTGTTATAATCATTCACAGTTAAATGCTCATAATGCCTTGCTTGACTTTTATCAACAAACTTTATACTTTTCAATATGTGGAACAGCATTTACTATATGTTTTATTTACATCTATTAATAATTATTCACAAAATAATTAACTAATGACAATGTGTTTTAAAATAAATATAATATTCAAATAGGTTTTAGTTTTGTTTTTCTTGACTTCTCTGTCTCTCTCTCTCTCTCTCGCTCTCTTTTTTTCTGCGTATCTCTGCGCAAAATGCTAGAATAAATTTTTATGGAGTTAAAAAAGTGTGTTTAATTGGAGACATACATTGCTCTACGTCATTCTCTAGTGACGCACAACTTCCTTTCTTCAAAGTATGAATAATGCAGCAAATTTTTATTGCGAATGTGATATAAACTTGTTATAATGAGAAGCGCGAACACAGGAAAAAAAACGTTGAATATTATTTTGATCGAGTTGTAATATTCGCGTTGTTTTTTTTTAGTCTAAACTTTTACACAAAAAATCAATGTTATTCCATTATTATTAAAATACGTTTATAATAATTCATAATATAAATATTCCAATTTATTTACAATTATGAGTCTTATACATATTATATTTATAATATAAAAAAAAGATCCTCTTTTCTCTCAAAAAATTGCGATTTTTATATATTTATCTATTGTTTTTTATATATTTTCTCGAACATTATATTTAATTTAATTCAACAAATTATAAATGACATTATCAGTAGCAGAACAATATAACGGATTGTCAAACAAGTGATATATCGCTGATGCATTTTACTAAACATCTGTAATTAGTTATACAATTTTTAATAAAACCGTAATATTTACATATATGTATAACGAAAATTGACAAAAAAATTTAAATCATTTTTCAATCTCTTGATAAACAAATATTATGGGAAATTGTGTAAATATCAGGTAATGAAAATCGCAAGATGCACTCAAATGCGATAATTTGCACGTCAGCAAGGAAAAATCTCTTAATTAAACAATTCTACAAACAAGGATTATTAGCTCTAATCATCTGCAACTAGAATTTTAACAAGCAACAATCACTAGATTTAGTCACGAACATTGTGTATTTTACTATAAATAATTTGAAATTTATGCCAAATATATTTCTCTCTTTAATTATTTTAACTTTTTAGAGCAGTTTGCAAATTGTTTTAATTATTTAATTAAGTAAGTATGACAAATAGTGCTTCACAAACTTCTCTGATATTTCAATGAGATGCTCATTATCACAAAACCTGTTTAAAAAGAACTATCCGATCTCAATACATCTCGCGATTTCCTATAAAAATTTATAAATATTATAAATTTTTAAATATTTTTATTTAAATATTTTTTGCGAAACAGTTTTGTGTGCATTCGTTTGAATATTCCTGCAAAACTCTCAGAGGATCTCTAGAATCTAATATTTTATTAAAACGATGTTACATACGGCTGAATACTTTTGCATATTTTCGAAACGCAATACTTTCTCCGTTTAAAACTTTCATCGCGTGTCAAACAGTTTCACATTACAAATACTTTCTCTTTCACATGTTGTATAAAATTTTTCTCAATACATAGATTTTTTTTTATTAAAACGATTTCTTTTGAGCTTTTAAATATTTTGAAAAAGCAACACGTTGCTATAATATATGTGCCAAGTAACACAGGCTGCATTTCGATACCTTACTGTCATCAATACTGAAAAAGTGACGTTATAAAGCAGTGCTGACAGTGCATTCAACAATTGCTTCTAGTGCTCTTTCTGTCTGAATAAGATATTTGCAGTACGCTTTTATTACTGCAAAAACCGTCGGATAACAAACATTGACTATAACAATAGTTCTCTGATAGCTGCATTTTTAATGCAAACAATAAAGTATCATATTTTATCCGCATCAAATGATCTTTGGATATAAAATTTTTATAAAGTTTATTTAATAGTTTTCAAGACAAATTGTTCAACATCACGAGCGCGCTGCAAAAATTATGTAATAGAGAGAATTAGTTGTTTCTACGAATGATAAATTCAAAACTATTTTCGACGAGTGAACAATATAAATTTTATTGTGTTATACACACGCAGAGAACATTTAATATACAAAATAGAGAACATTTTTTTAAGAATTATAGCTAGGTAATCAAGAGCCAAATGGATAGAAAACTTTAATATGTGAATCAAGACGTATCAGAGAGAAATACACTGTGAAATATCTAACTTCGCGAGCTGCAGTAATAACAAAAAAGCTGAGAGAAATGACGATAAAATTGTTTCCAGAGCGATTCAACCTGTAAACGTTATTACCGTAACATGTTTTGGAACTCGCAGCGCTGCTCACGAATTCACTCGCAGTAAATATCGAAATTTATATTGTCTCAATCAAGTCTAATGATATACTAGTATAAATAGTAAACAAATGCTATTATAAATATTAGTCCAAACAAATTGGATTTTGAACCGAACATTTTAATCGTTTGACTTTACAGGATTTTGATTCGAATAAAATATTTATTTTAAAACTGCTTTTATAATTATTATATAAAAATACACATTTGGTCTTTATATTTAACATCTTCGAGTGAGCTTTTCAATTATCTCAGGTTATTCCAAAATTGGGGCTGTGTTCCGATATTCACTGCCAATATTAAAAATCTTCACGTCTCAAGTGCTATAGATTTCTAGTACTGGCGGCTTAATATCGCAGTCTACCTTGTCGAGAAAAACAACATAATCTGGTTTTCGTTAGTGGAAATCACCTTGACTGAGACTGAGAATCTGGAATCTTCCATTTGCCTGGCTTCTTTTGCCATTCAGCTATTGAAAGATCCTAAAGTATATATATATTTTATATTTCAATATAAAGCCTGCGTCACATGATCTTTGTTTGCGCTACGAATTGCAACAAACACTAGAAAATTAGACTAATTATCGTAATCACGATCCTGCTAAAAAAACAAAAAAAAACTATCTGTATGCTAAAAAAAACTATCCGTAGGTTATTGTCAAATAAAATATTGTTCGTTTGAAACAAATTATTTGAAACAATCGTAATGTTTCCGTCAAATAACATGAAAATTTTTATTCGATAAAATTATTGTTTTTGATAAAATATTATGTTTTTTTTTGTTAAATTAAAAATACAATAAATACGAGTCAATTGAATTATTAAAGTTAAAGAAATCGTTTATTCTATAAAAACGCATAAAATATGTTGTCATGCATATATTCACACACATACACATATACACACAACATAAAAGTGCAAAAAAATTTATTAGTATCTGGTTGAGTGTCCGATATCGACTAAAGTTAAAAAAATTAATATAATAGTAAGTTGAAAAAAGAGAAAGATAACCTAAAGGTTAGATGATAATGTAACAAACTATTTAAAAAAATAAGAAGTTTAAGAAACTTTGTAATAATTGAAATAATATTCTAGATTTTCATCGATTTTTTTCTCAAGAAAATAATAAATCTAGAAGTTTTATAAAATTCTTACTTTTTTTTTTTTGTTTGCTAAGCTCTCTCTAACAATAAGTAGAGAAATTATTTATTTCTTGAGAAAACTTTCTATTTGCTCGAAAAGAAATATTGTTATGGTTAAAAGATAAAGTATGAATTAAAACTGTAAGTAATTATTTTTTTTTTCTCAAATTTCCCTCTTCAAACATTATTAATATTATTATATTTCTCTCGATATATACTTACTGATTGAGAAGTTGCGTAAATTCCATTCTTTTATACAATAACGTATGTTGGAAAAAGATATATTAAGCTCGGGTCTCTTCAAGAAGGAGTACTTCTCCTGTTGCAGGAAGTAATTGTTGTTGCCCGTAATCGCTGAATCTCGTACATCATCTTGACTCATACGCTCAAACTGACAACAGCTCAGAGACGATCGTGACGGCGAACAATGCGACGTAGTGGTCATCACAAATAGTATTGCGATGGAGATTCGGAATGCAGTTAGCCACCAAGTGACGTAGGCCAAGCATACGTAAAAATTCACAACGTCACAATGTCGTTTAATATCATTCGGGCTCAGTCAGGGGTCAAACGTTTAACAAACGCATTCACCCTAGTAACTTTTCTTTTATTCGCCCGTTGGCTAATGTGTGTAAGAAGTTTACTTTGCTCGTGTTTGTGTCTCACGATGATATCAATATAGTTTATTAATCCACCTGAAAGAAGAGATATGTAAATATAAGCGCCTATCAAGATATGACATTTTAATTATAACGTATTTATATTATACAGAGTAGAACTTTAGCTATCTAAATGATCCACTGATTTTTTAAACTTGTAAATCTCATCTGACAGCAAATTAGAAAGATTTAAGATTTCATTATAATTTAATTACTAATAATCAGAAAAAATGAGTCATAACTCTTAATTTTAACAGACTTGACTAATTAATACATTGATGACCGGCAATTTTATACATTTTTGTCATTTGTGCAGGCGTTTTAGAATTATATATATATTACTTAATTACTTTAAAAAATATCTCTAAATCTCATATACAATATTATTTATAAAATAATTCCTACACTTTGAGCTTTAATAATTGTATAAGCTGATGCATGTGCAAACACGAGTTACCTCGTTACCGATCAATATATTAATCAATGTATTAATTGGCTTTTGAATATTAGAAATTTAAAAAACTTAATTTCTTGATTAAAACTCGGCATACCAGTATCAAAATATAATATGTTTTCAGCTTATTTAAGCTGTTTCTTCTTTTTTTTATGTCTCGCACAGTAAAATTAATTGAACGAGATAAGATAACTACGAACAAAACAAGATAGAAATGAGATGCATTGTTTTTAAATTCTAGGTTTCTACCGTTTACATTATCCGTCATTAGTGTCAAAAAAACAAATTAATAATACACCTATTAAATGAATAAGAAATCAAGCAGAAACTCACTGGAAAAAAAGCAACACGTGTAACATTATAAATCGACTAGCAGTTCAGTCGAGAATCATGTCTCTTGATTTTAACAAAATGTATTTTTTGTTGTATATTAAATTAATTAAATTTATATATATATTGATTGTAATTTTTTCTGTTTTGAAATCTCTTGACAGATTTACTTTGATTATCATGTGATTGTAAATTGAAAACCAAAGTCAAACCGTGCTACATGTATTGTATGTTTTAGCGTATTAACATTCACGTGAAATTCCATATAACCTCTTTGTATTTTTATTGACTAGACTATCGTAAAACTTATGTGTATTAGTTCATTATTTTTTTTTCATTTTCTCATAATTTATAAAAAAATTTATAGACCTAGAATTTGCATAATATACATCGTACACGCATATAACTTATGTTATGTTAATATTAAAAAAAACTTTACGATGATAATTGAACATAAGATGTCAAAACAAATTAGTTTAATGTATGTAACATAAGGACAATTAGAGCTTAATAATGTATAATTAGAATATAATTAAGAAGTTGTATGCAAAGTCGAATAATAACGATAAAAACCTAATCATCGCAAAAAAAAACCGGAATTGGTTTAATCGGATTGCTGTTCAAACTGAAACTGCACTGTAAACGCGCGCGGGAAAAAATCTACGCAAGTAAATTACGCCAAAAAACAAAAAAAAAACAAATAGAAACTTAACTACACAATCTACTACACTACAATCAAACAGATTTCAAGGTTTTATTTATTACTTTGCATTCTGAAATAAATTCCGAACAGAACTAAGTTATTAAAGTGTGTAACACATAACATAAATACACACACACACATCTCACCAGCTACAAAAATAAGATCTTGTCCGCAACACCGCTTTCTCCGCTCTCTAAAGCTGGTGCAAAAAACTTCCTACGTATATAACTGTAATAACTGCATGGCAAAAGCTCTATGTGTTTATAACAATTGTCGTAAAAAACTAAGTATCGTGAATATTATATATTTTTAAGAATAAACAAGATTATCGACATCATTATATATGTGTAAGAACATTCCTGATCTTATAAAATATTGCAATTCTATGTAAAACACGTGTCGAAACAAAACAAATAGTACAATAATGTATTATTGTTAACGTTTTTTGTAGTATTACACTGAGAAAGACCTAAACCGAAGGTCGAAAGCTTTGTACCGTACAGTTTATCGCAATAAACTAAATTTTGAACACACACATCGACATCCGTGTCTGCTCCACACAGCCAAACATATATCTGTTTAACAAATAGTACAAGTTTTTGCTTCAATAAACGATAACTATATAACAGGAAAGTGCAAAGATCGCTTGTTAGTTTGTTAATACTGCGCTAAAAAATAAGTAAACCAGATAAAAAAAAACCAAAGCTTCGATTTATTTCTTTTTTGAATAGCGTAATATAATAATACATTGGTCTCAGTAAAAAGATATACGCAATTGTAAAAATACAAAAAACGCAACACACACATAAATCTTGAAATTGTGTGCTTATATAAGAATGTTTAAGAAAGCAACCAAGGTTATTGTGAATTCTGTTTGTTGCAAATGTAACTTGTGAAAAAAACATTTTACATAACGGATATTCACACATACGCGCGCACATACACAACTATACACGCAGCATTTATACACACACGTGTTTAAATGCGACATTTATGCAGCAAATGAACTGTTAGAAACAAAGGTCGGGAAGAACAAAATCGCGATCGCGTAAAAACACAGTCACAAATACGTTTATCGATTGTGGTCAAAATTAGAGTTTAAAAACTATCATATGCGAAAACGATTTCTCATATTCTCGAGATTACTACCATTTCTAACGATAACATGTCACCGATATCTCGTTCACCATTGAACTATGATATTCATGTGTCAATCTAAATTGAACTTTGAAAGAGATCCGAGATATATTTTGAATTTTTTAAAGACAAGACAGCTCGTAGCCACGTTGTAATACCGTTAAGAATTTGATTTATTATATATTTACTCACAATTATGAGATTCTTTTTAGTATCAAATTTTGTCATCGTCAAATAAAAAACGGACGTTCTTGATATTTCCGGAAAAAAGCCAATAAACGCGGCTTTTTAAAAGTGTTTTTGGTTTACAAAACCAAAAAGAGAGAAACCGATAAATTTGCACACACACACACACAATAATATTATTTATTAAATTAACGACGGAATGTCCAAATATATTTTTTCTTTATAATGTATCGACGTAGCAATCTACAGTAAAACCCCAGTAATGTCGAGCATCACAATTTTGACTTTCTATTTATGACGGGCAAATAGTTCGATTTATAGTTTTTTCCGTATTTTATTAAATGATAACTCGACTCTTGAGTGACTGCGCAATTCGTAGAAGAGCGCTTATCTTCGCTCCAAGAGTCTCATAAAGAAAGAAATATTATATTTTTCGTCTCTTAGGGCTACCAGTCGGGTTGTTAACTGGAAGAGAAAAAAAATAATTTCCAATTCAAAACAGAATCGTTTCGTGCGTTCAAAATTACTGAAAATTAATTCCATTGTAAACGAATGATTCAAGTTGCGCATAGGATAACGTTTTTTTATCGCACTCACAAGTTTGAACTTTCAAACATAATTATGCTCCTTTACCACACACACACACACACACATATACAATCAACAATATAAAAAATTCGCATAATCGGCAGATAATTGGATTTTATAAGTTGCATTTTACGTTTTTTTTTTAATAATAATTTTAATTGATCAGAAGCTGGCTTATTTTTCTTACTTACTGTTTGTGAATCAGTTTTTTATTTATGACGTTAGGAAACTAAGATATTGAAGCAAATTAAATTATTATTAGTTACATATCACTTTTATACGTGTATTAACACAAATATTTACACATTGTCTATGTTAGTATTTTATTATTATTATTGCTGTTATTATTAAGTATAAAAGAGAGCGACGATATAACATATATATATCTCGCTCGAGATAATCATCATGATTTAATTAAGATTGAAACCTAATTGAAAATAGTTCATTTAAATATTTTTGCCCACGTTTATTAATGATTTTGCGCTCCTAGTTGTAGATTATTATTTATTTTATCAATTTCCAATTATAAGGACTAGCACACTAACAATTACAATAATCGTTTAATTGAGTTTATGTGTGTAGTATTTAGGAATTTATATGTAGTGTACATTATCAGAATGTTACTCATTAACGCACACAAAAAAAGACAACGTATATAGGTTTATAAATGGTAAATTTTACGAGACGTTCTCTTATCGTCTCAAGTGATAACTGCGACAGCTATATATGTATATATATTAAAAGCGCGTGCGACACATCTGCTTCATGGTATCACATTGACATTGCTAAACTATATATTGCCACAATCGAGAGTTGAAGTAAATATATTTAAACGATTTTGCGCACACAAAAATAAAACGTTCTTTTTATCGCAAAAAAATACTTGAAGTTATTCATTTGTTTGGTTCATAAATATTTCTTATTTTTCCTATTTATATATTTTTAAACAAAAAGAAGCAAAAGAAGAAAGATTTGTAAATGGATATGCAAATAAACACGCACGCGCGAATCGTTTTACTTTTACAAGTCGATCATTATGCGGACGCACGTATGTGTCTTTTTCATGTTAGTTAAAAAATTTGTTACTTCGCCAAGTAAAGAAACTACTTTCGACCTTATTAAAATTCGATCGGGAAACAAATGAAACAACACAAAGAAGGAAGGAAACTCTTTTTTTTACAAACTAGTTCTACTAAAGTGGTTTAATGTTACGGAACGATTCACGGTATTAAAAATTTTAATTATATGCAACACACATATATACAGGGTGTCCGACAACAGTGTAAAATCTCTCGTAGAAGGCAGGTAGAAGGAATAAAACTAAGTCGAAAAGTCCTGAACCAGTTTTTTTCTTTCTATATAATAAAAGAATAATTAGTGAATAAATCAAGTCAATCGGCGCCGACCTTTAGCCGCCGGGCGCACGTCAGCGAGTCGCGCGGAGCGCTAACGCAAACCAGGCGCATGGTCACCGTGTATATATATGTATCGCATATAACGATCTTATTCCTAAAAACAACAAACTACGAATACCGCCTATAGAGTGCAACGCCCCCCTTGATTCAGTTCTCTTAAGTTATTATCTTCACTTCTCGTTTCATGGTCACAGTTTGACCTTGTCGGTATAATTAAAGAGCATAAGTCTAAGTAAATAATCACATTTGGTACACACACGACTCGTACAAAGATGTTGCATCTGAATGTGAATAGGTTGTTATTTATATTTTTAACACGACTATTATACATATATTCTCTTTTTATATGTAAAAAAAAAAAATATATTCATCCTACGTTTTTATTAACACATAAAAATTTGTTTTTTTTAACAAACAACGAAATGTGAAGGCTGCAATGTTCTATAAATAATTACTGCAATTATATTCACTGGAAATCCATTTCCGGCGTACAAACCAGATGCAAAAACATCTGTCAAAAGTTGTGATGTCGCAAAGTGCGATGTAATAAAGAATTTATTATTTGCTGAATAAAAGTGAGAACATACACACACACACACACACACACACACAGAGTATATATGATATAAATATATACATATATTTATATATCTATTTATTTAATAATTATATATATTAATTTATTAATTTATATATATTTAATAAATCTTTAATGTTTTAAAATGTTTTTTAATTGAATAAACGCACACAAGAGATTGACGTATTAACTACTATTTTTACTGTTTCTATAACAACGATGTATATATTGGTACTATATAATAAACAGAAAACAGACATTTCGTGTAGATGTACTTACTAGCAACCGACGTGTACTTGGACGAATAATGAAACGTTAAAGTCTAACCCAAATTGCGTGACCGCCGGCTCTCTACGAGAAAATATACACACAACTACTACCGACTATCACAGTCGAAAGTTTTTCGAACACTGTCAGGAAAGCGAAGCGCTTCGGAGCACGGAGCGGAGCGGACTACGTAACTGTATACATGACACTATTATCATATAAGTAAGAGTGTTAGTGAGAACTGTCGTGCACAACGGCTGCGTTTTCGAGATACTGACTGTCAGTAATCAAAATCTATACTTTCGCGTCACATGTGTTATAGATTATTTCCAACACCGGTATTGAATATCGGAACGCAGCCACAACTGGCTGTGTTCCAAAATTCACTACCAGCGCTAAAGATCTATAGTTTACGTCACATATATTATACAATTTTAGCACTGGCAGCAATTCTGGAACACCGCTTATATATATAAGACAGCCTGAGACCATCTCCAACCAATGAGAATCTAGCAATTTTATGTTGCGCGCTGTAAATTACTATGGCGACTTTATGTTGGACGGCTCATTGGTCCAAATGATCTTACGCGCACGTAGCTACGTTATGTTGTGTGCAATGACCTTAAGTTTATTTTAACGGCGTTATCTTTGACCTTCGTGCCCGCAGAGACGGATTTAGGCATGGTCTTTATGAACCTGTTCACAATCAAAGGGTCCCTTCCCCAAAGTGGTCAAAAATAAACGACAGAACCAAAACCAACCGTTTTTCTTTCTTTTGCAATAAAAATAATTCCAAGTACTGGCACAGGTGAACACAGCGTTGGCCCAAGGCCCCCAAAGTTAACGGTCCGCCTTTGCGCGTCCGAACGTATTCGCTGCCACAGTATATGCTGAAAAAAATCTATGATCTCACGTCACATGTGCTATAGATTTCCGATACCGGCAGCGAATGTCGAAACGTAAAATTACGATACGTCGGTAAGACGAATCTCCGTCCTTTTAAATGTCTGTTTACATCTGAAGATGGCGTACAGGCTGTTTTGTATAGTAACTGTTTTTAACACACAATGGCTGCGGTCCGTTTCATGCTTAATCGCGCATTTATCTGTAGTATATGTCACGTATACTATAGATAAATGTGCGCTTAAGCATGAAACGGACCGCAGCCAATATGTGCTGCTGCGTGAAAATGACCAGTCAAATTGCGCATATGTGTGTGTTCTCCGGAAACAAAATACCGTGCGCTCGTTCTAACCTTTAAATTTTCTATTTTATTTTCTCACTTGATTTTGTCATTGTTGTTGTCGTTTTTCGTCGAGCGAGTTTACGTTACTTTCACACATGCCGCACGACAAGAAAACCACGCGGCGAAGCCGATCCCGCGAGCGCGACCGGGAACGCGAGCGCGATCGGGAACGACGCGAGCGTCGGCGCACCAGAAGTCGATCCAAGGATCGCAAGAAGGACAGAAAGCGATCGAGATCGAGAGAACGGTCACGGGAGCGCGATAGATCGCGGGAGAGAGAGCGGGAACGTCGCGATATCAAAGACAGATCCAAAGACGAAAAGAAACGCAAGAGCAGTCCGACGCCTACGAACGAGGATGACGTGAAGAAGGATTTGAAGAACGATGTCAAGAAAGAGGAGGAAGAAGCGGAGGAAAAGTCGAAGTCATCATTGCCGAAGAAGGAGCCGTTAAGTCTGGAGGAGTTGCTGGCAAAGAAGAAGGCGGAAGAGGAGGCGCGAGCCAAACCGAAGTTCCTTACCAAGGAGGAACGTGCGGCTTTGGCATTGGAAAAGCGTCAGCAGGAAGTCGAGGCGATAAGGAAGCAGCAAGAGGAGGAACGAAAACTTTTGTTCCATTCCGACAATAAAGAAAGAGATTGGGACGATAGAGACAGGTATTTTAAACGAGCACTAGACTAAAATTCTACTGTACTTTGAAAATTTGCTTATACAATTTATTTTATTTGTTTTTATTAGAAGAAGGGATGTGCAGCGTTCGCGCGAAGACGAGATTAAGGATAAGGATAAAGAGAAGGAAGTAGAGGCTATCAAAGAACGATATCTAGGTCTGGTAAAGAAAAAACGAAGAGTCAGAAGATTAAATGACCGAAAGTTTGTTTTTGATTGGGATACTTCGGAAGACACGTCGGTGGATTACAATAGTATTTACAAGGAAAGACATCAGGTGCAGTTCTTTGGAAGAGGTAATCTGGCAGGTATCGACATTAAAGCCCAGAAGAGGGATCAGAGCAAATTTTACGGCGAATTGCTGGAGAAGAGACGCACAGAGGCTGAGAAGGAGCAAGAGAAGTAAGTTTTGCTCTGTCGATAAACATTACATTTATTGTAAGCTCTTGAATAAATTTATATATTTTTTGTCTTTAAGAATGAGATTGAAGAAAGTGAAGAGGAAAGAGGAGAAGCAGAAATGGGACGATCGACACTGGTCCGAAAAGGCTCTCAATGAAATGACGGAACGTGATTGGCGTATCTTTCGAGAGGACTATAATATTACAATTAAGGGAGGTCGTATTCCCGATCCTATTCGATCTTGGAAAGAGTCCGGGTTTCCAAAAGAAATACTGGACATTATTGACAAAGTGGGTTATAAAGATCTGACGCCTATCCAGAGGCAGGCAATTCCAATTGGGTTACAAAATCGAGATATCATCGGTGTCGCCGAAACCGGTTCGGGAAAGACGCTGGCCTTCCTGATTCCTCTGTTACTGTGGATCACTAGTCTGCCAAAAATCGAGAGACTCGAGGAGGCGGACCAAGGACCTTATAGCATTATCTTGGCACCCACACGGTATTGTTTTTTTCATTCTAGTTATTATTTTCACTTAATATAATTACATAATGATTGTATTTAATTAATTGATTAATATTTGTTCTGTGTAGTGAGTTAGCACAACAAATAGAAGAAGAAACAAACAAATTCGGTCAGCCGTTAGGAATTCGAACAGTTGTCGTAGTTGGTGGTCTTTCAAGGGAGGAACAAGGCTTTAGATTGCGGATGGGTTGCGAGGTATATTTGCAATGCAATTATAATAAATATTCTATTAATTCCAAGCGTAATTAACGTGATGTCAAATAGAATCGAAAGTACGTTAGATATTAACGTATAATTTTATTCAATCAAAAATCATTTTTGTTTCAGATTGTTATCGCTACACCTGGACGATTAATAGACGTTTTAGAAAATCGATATCTCGTATTAAATCAATGTACTTATATTGTGTTGGACGAAGCCGATCGTATGATAGACATGGGTTTCGAACCGGGTATGTATAATAAAGAAAATAACATCATTTTATTGCATATAGACGCATTCACATTGCAATTAAATTTTTATGATATTACAATTAAATAGTTATTTAAATTATTTGACTAGTTTTATTCACATAGCTTAGTTAAAGTTTCATATATCTCAATGTTCAGTGTTATGTAACATTTACTAATTCTTCTAGATGTTCAAAAAATTCTGGAATACATGCCTGTGACGAATCTAAAACCGGACAATGAAGATGCCGAAAACGAGGAGAAACTTTTGGCTAATTATAATACGAAGAAGAAATACAGACAAGTACGGGGAATTCTCGCTTTCAAATTCGTTCATACATATACGTTTGATGTTTATGTTAACGACGTTTCTTTGATTTCAGACGGTGATGTTCACTGCCACAATGCCACCGGCTGTCGAGCGACTTGCTCGAACTTACTTAAGAAGACCAGCGGTTGTGTACATTGGCAGCGTTGGTAAACCAACAGAACGTACTGAGCAAATAGTGCACATAATGGGCGAAGCTGACAAACGAAAGAAACTTATGGAGATACTGAGTAGAGGCGTCGAGCCGCCCGTCATCATATTTGTGAATCAGAAGAAAGGTGCAGATGTCTTGGCAAGAGGCTTGGAAAAACTGGGAGTATGTATTTTAGATTTAAACGGGGTGATATATATATATATATAAAATCGCGCGTTCACATTTGAAGATCCTACAATTTTAAAAGATCATTCAAAGTTAAACAAAAAATATAAAAGTTTTGAAAATCTTGTGAATATTTTAACATAGTTTTCTTTGTTACATATCAGTACAATGCCTGTACGTTGCACGGTGGCAAAGGTCAGGAACAACGAGAATACGCGCTTGCATCTCTCAAAAGCGGAACCAAAGACATATTGGTGGCGACGGATGTTGCGGGACGTGGTATCGACATCAAGGATGTATCAATGGTTATCAATTACGACATGGCTAAAACTATTGAAGGTAAATTTTTTTTATTCACATGTTTTATTCTCTCTATATAATTGTTTTACCATTCGGTTGTTTTTTAATTGTTTTTTTAATGTTTTTCAGATTACACGCACAGAATTGGTCGAACGGGCCGCGCTGGCAAAGCTGGTCTTGCTATATCTTTCTGTACGAAGGATGATAGTCATCTGTTTTATGATCTCAAGCAGACTATTCTTGCTAGCCCGATATCTACGTGTCCACCGGAGCTACTCAATCATCCGGACGCCCAACATAAACCCGGGACGGTGGTGACGAAAAAACGACGAGAGGAAAAGATTTTTGCTTAATCTTTTTGGCGAATAATTCGTTAAATGATCAAATGATACAAACGCCAAAACACAAGGAACATCAAAGAAACTTTCTACAGAGAAGAGACCAAGTTTTCTTGAAATTTAAGTGTTTTTTTTTCTTGTTCTGTAGATCTTCGATTTTTGAGGAATGTAATTCGAAAGGTTTTGTTTTAAAACAACATTAGTCACTTTAAGTTAAAAGTAACTTACAAGAGAAGCGAATATGATAGAAGTTAATATTTTAGGTAATAATGATGTAAATAGATTAAGATAATTTACAATGTCATTAAAAAATTACTTGAATTATAATACGATAAGTTGTGAAAATTTGTTTTCTACAGCTATGGAAGTGGTGCAGGTGGAGTCGTGTAGTCACCTTCGACTTTGCACTCCTCTTTCCAATTATCCGGCATCATTGGTTTCAAGATCTTAACGAAATCATTAAGAGGACACGCAACAGTGCATCCAGGTATCGTCATCGGGTACGGTTCGTGAGCTGTTGTGTTTTTTAGAAATACCTACAGTATAAGATCAGTCTTATTGGTTCAAAAATCGATTAAGAATCAATTAAAGAAAGTAAAGAAAAATTGATGTCAAATAGATGCAATCGTTAACCGAAAGTTCACTGTTACACAATGTTTTTTTTTTTTTTTTTTATTTTATTTATTTACCTGTACGTTCCATTCACCCTCATCTTCGTGCAACTCTATCATGACCATGATGTTGTAGTGCGGCATCTGATTGTACCAAATGTGCATTGTGTCCAGCAAAGTGACGATGGTGCTATCGTGGCCAACGTACATGAACATTTTTCTCTTCTCAGGTCGTAAGTTACCGTTTTTTCTCGCCATCATATCGCTGGTGATCTTCTTCAGCATAGGACCGCCCTTTAATCTGCGGAATTCGTCGTTGTACGTGTTGAGTTGCAGATCGTACAACATTAACGGCTCCAATTTATTCGGATAATAGTTCTTCGTCCATTCCGGCAACATCAAACCCATGTGATCCTGTCGCAATAAAATTCAGAGAATCTCATAAAGAACTTCATATCGAATCGGTGTGTTCTCAAAAGAATGTCTTAATCTTTTAGCAATGCGACTAAGATTTAAAAAAAATTAGCTGTTTCTATTATCTTGTAAAACTAATTTGTATAAAAATTACCTCGGCTGTTAACGTACTGTAGAGCGAGCCGACATCTTCGATAGTTGCGATCGGTATGCCCGTGAAGTTCGTGAGTTCTCTGAACAATTCTTTGTTGTTGTCTTCTACTTTTCGAATTTCCGGCAAGTCGTGCACCGAGGAACGCAATTGAGTGTATTTCGGACACGTATTCCATATTAACATGAGCTGTAAAACATGAAAAAGTAGTTCTCGCTTCGTCGCTGTAACGTTATTGGATCGCGTTGTCGTAGAAATGATCGTCATGATTTATTGATGCGGAGATAAGAGCAAAAGAATCCAAATGAGAAGCGGTCTTCGTGTGTCTGACTGAGATATTATACAAAATTGCTTTACCGTGTCGTTCTCACGTTTTTGATAAAACAACGCGACCGGTTGCCAGTCTAAATCGGGTTTGAACATTTGCTTTTTGTTGGGTTTCCACAGGGCGGCAGCCTCCAGCATGCCCGACATTTTTGTACGATCCTCGGCGGTCGACTGCAGATAGAAGACGTCAGGACTGTACATCGATCGGAGAAAGTCATTGTAACGCTTTCGCATAAACAATCCCAGATCGTATTGGTTCCTTCTTCCTTCCTAAATCCATGGTTTACACGCTACGATTTCATTCATGAGGGTTAAAAAAAAAAAAAATAAATAAAAAACAGTAACAGAACTTACATTTGTCAGCTGACCCCAGCCGTACGGCTCCATCTTCGAATTGATGTGAGGATCATTCGGATAGGTATCCACGGGTGCTCTTTCTCCGTGTCTTACTATCTAAGAAAACGAAAAAAGATGTTGCGATATTAATTTTATTAATAGAGAGATGATTGTAAAACGCGCGATCGACTTAATTCATCTCCATCAAGTTTTTTTCTCTTCAGGAATGCATTTCTTGAATGTATGTCTAGATTGTTGCATAAAAAAAAAAAAAAAAAAACAAACAAAAAAACAAAAAGATGAAACATGATGATGCGTCATCTGATAATAACAGGTGGATTACATATCTCTTAAGTAAATGTAACAGATAAAAATTGCTCGACGTGTCGATTGAAAAAGCAAAATCTAGGTTATTCAATAAAATTGCAATGGAAAAACATACATACAGAGAGAACTGTTATTCCATGATAACGTTAATCCCAGTGCAAATACGACTTTTTACCGCTCATCCCGACTTTACGTAAGTTGTCAGTTTCTCGGGGGGAGAATGACTATGAGACGGCATGAATTGATGAAACGTGATGGAAATACTCGAATCTTGTGTTTAGTTTCGCTTTCTCGTTTGCCTGCCAAAAATATATTGTATTTATTCATTTTAATGTTGGCTAAGAGAAGCATGTAGCAGAATCAAGAAGTAGCTTACTTTAAGAGGGCAGAGATGGTAGTTTACGATTTTTAGCGAAGAAGAAAGTGGAAAACGAGATTTATATTTTATCTGATAACAAACAAGACGATATTTTATTTTATCTGATAATAAACAAGACAATATTTTATCTCTCGAATATAATATCTTTAAATGTGTGTGACGAACAAAATTCTGAATTCAAATCCAATATGTCAAAATCTACGAACATCACCTTTTTTTTTTTATCAAGAAGCAAAAACAACGTATGTCTGAGGTTTAATTGTAAAACAAATTCCATATACCACTGTGACTAGTCGCAGAGTGTCCTTTTCGTGATTTGCCTCGTTTTCCGTGCCCGTAACTTCAGAGGTCAAAGGTACTCCTACAAAAATGTAATATATAATGATTAGTATATAATAGAGCGACGTGAAAAATAACGATTCTGATGTTTTATGAAAAACAAAAATAATAAGAAATAAATAATAACAATGTTGTAGAAAGAAATCGCATTTTCTTGATAAAAAAACATATGTTTGATAAAAAGACAAACTCTTGATAAAAACATATGTTTGATAAAAAGACAAACTCTTGTATAAGATTCGTGATACGAGTTGTTAAACAAATGAATAAAAGATAATGTATTTCAAAATAATGATAAACTTAATATCAACAAATAAATATTTTGATCTCGTATGTTCGTTCAGATTAAAATTTTCAAAACAAACAATTGATATCGCGAGTAAATTTATTTGTACACACAGTGTGTGTGTGTGTGTGAGGAGTTTCGAAATTGCGTTGAATGAATTTAAAGAATAAATGCAACATTTACCTAACACAAGCGCGAACAACCCAGGGACAAGAACAGCCGTCGTCGGTGTGATCATTCTGAATTAATCAAGAACACAGAAAGGTTGATTGGTCGACAAACAGGCTCGCAAGTGTGACAGAAGCACGTGTCAGCACGTCTACGACAGTACACTGAGGGCAAGCTGCAACACGTGCTCGTAGATAAAGTCAAGCATCCCCACTCTGCGGAAGAGCAGCTTATTTTTAATGTTAATGCAAATAAAATTAGCCGTTAAAAGTCTCGTTGAGAAGCAGATTAAATGATTCATCAATTCTCCACAAATACAATAATTTTTATATCCGAGGCAGAGAGAGAATTTTGAATAAATATTCCTGAACGCGCGTATATTTTTTCTCAGTTTTCCTTGTTGTCACACAAAAGACTGATGCATTTTCTTTGGTTGCTGTTATCATTACCAGTTGCATAAAAATATAGTTACGTAATAACACGCGTCTATGTAACGTACGTTTTATACGTCGTACGAATTAGATTTGCATAAGAATTCAACACAAAAATTTCATAGACACAATATAATAAACTTACTTGAAATTATTCAGAATCACTCAAGTTACTCAGCGATATATTGTGCAATATAACTTTTCTGTACAATAGGAAATACGTTATGTGTTACCTCGGTTTTTGTTTTACAGATAAGTTTTACAGATAATTTATATCATGCGCATGTGACATTGTATTGCAATTATTGAAAAAAGAAACTTACGTAGTCGCAAGGTGCACGCAGAAACTTGCATAATAATATTCTTACCAACTGTGATAAAAAAAAAAAACGTAATGTAACTATGATAGCAAAGTGTTTTTTCTTTTCATGTAGATTCTTGTCTTAGAGATCTGAATTCTAAGTTAGTTTAATTAATCATCTGTGTGTAAAATCAGGCATCACACATTCGAATTTGTGATTCTACTTCTGTAAATTTTTTTCCGCAATTTTTCGATTTATTCGTTCATTCATTTTCAATTTTAATCACCAAAACTATAAGATTTGCCAGAACCTAATTAATGAATTAATTGGACAATTAATTAGATTAATATAATTTAGATTGTTGTATAATTTGTTCATCCTCGAACTCAATTTATCCGTTATATAAACGGGAAAAAAGTTTTCTATGGTTGTTATACGACCAGCGAGAAAAATTTGTGCCGAGTTCACTGAATTTTTCGTTTTGTTAACAAAATAAAAATCTCATTAAGCTTACTAAGATTCTTGCTATAGAAATAGAAGAAATATGTATAAGCTAATCTTCTTGCTATTCTAGCGAATCTTTCTTTCCGTGTGATTTATACGATTTTTTCTTTGAGACTGCGATTTATTGAGGCGATTTGTGATTCTCACCGCAACAATATATTTGCAAAAATACACGCTTTAATTTGCATCGCAGCTTCACTTACTTAATACCAGAACTTGCCGGAAAAAAAAACTGATTATGATAACCGCACGAGAAAACTATATACTTTTTCCGTTTCTTTAGCAACTCTATTATTTTTTTGCGCAGTTTTGCGTAGCCTAGAAATTCTTCCGACGCAATGTAAAAGTTTTATGAATGCTTACTGAATGTTTAAACCGATTAGAGATTAAAGCGAAGATTTCCTTTTATCTTCTTTTTTTTTTTTTTTTTACTCTTATCGTTCTTGCTCTTTGCTTTTGTGACGTAAGAGAAAAATGTAAATAATATAAATACAGGACAATCGAATTCTAAACAATTATCAGTAAAGAGAGAAAGATTCGTTCGGTAAAAGAGAAACATTCAGATTTCGAACATTTTACATTCTGTCGATTTTTTCTCAAATTGTTTTTCACAAATTTCCCGTTCGAATGTATATATTTTTTAATTTCCTAGGTCAAGTATATTTTTTTAATCATTATCTGTAATACAACGACTTTGTAAGTTGCATATATTTGTTATCGAACTGTATATTCGTAAAAAAATCAAATATATCATGCTGCGTATAACTCGGGAGTTGGATCGCTGGATCATTCAGCTGTCTTTCAAAATTACCAGGGCGACCGAGATGCTCGCTTGTTTGTACAACATCAGTTTGTTGTGTGACTTTGCTTTATACTTGAGGTACAGCTTAGCGAGTAATCACGGCGCGCTGAAACGCGGTGTAAACGTCGGCCCCCGGGAAATCTTGAAATCGTTTCAATCGTGGATCACGCAGGCGAGGCCGGCCAGACGGCGGTTACGAAGCACCGGAAGTCCCGGCGCAAGAAAACGAAAAACACCGCCGCCGCCGCTGGTGACTTCAAAGTGCGTTCTCCTCCGTGTTTTTATGAATATTCTCTTTTTTTGCATTTATATTTATTAATTTTCTTGTTTTAAATTTTAATAGCGTAATTATTTTGTCTTATTTTTGTTTTTTTTTTTTAATTCTGTAATTACATTTTGTTTTTTTTGCGGATTCTTGAAGCGAGATAAATTTGTAGTTTACGAGAACACGATGTGTATACAATGACTCATCTTTTTTTTTTTTAGGCAAAGGAAATGGCAAATACTTGCACCGAGTTCCGAAAAGAGATACATAAGTCTTTTATTCTACCAGCAATGCAAATAACGCCGTCTTATTCTGTGACAACGATACAAAACCAGACCAGTTCAACCACAGCAATGAGGCCACGATCTCTTTATACAGCTCACAATTATCATTCTCAGACTGAAGATCTTAATTATCAAGTATACACACTTTAATCTTGAACCTTATCTCTTGTCGTAATTTTGTATCTCATCTCTTCGCACGCAACAACATTCCGTGCAAATCTTCATTAAATCTAATCTTTATTAGATGATGATTGGAGTTATGGATTCCCATTAAATGTCTGATCCATGCTATATAAATCTAATCTATCTTTATTTTGTAATAAAGAAAAAATAAATTTCTCAAGCAATTTCACAAAACAAAGCAATAAAATATACATGTAACTACTTTAAGAAATAGAAATTTCTCTTTTTAAAATATTTAAAAATTTTAATAAGATAAATTTTAAAAAGATAATTAAACACTTAGTTAAAACTTATATAAATATAGATAATATTAAAAAAGTATGAAACCTTATTTAAAAAACCGTTATGTATTTTAAACTTGTTCGAACGCAAATAATGTGATTTCTTAGAGTTAAAAATACACTAACATAGAAGTCACACTATTACAACAGTCAAAAGAGATAAGATAAGATGATAGTAAGGAAGACTTTCTTTCAGAAGTTATAAAATAGTTATATCACATTTTGCTTAACCATTAAAAATGAAAAGTTTTGTTAACATATTTATATAAATATATATGTATATATATATATATATATATATATATATACATGAAAATATATACATAAAAAATAAAATATATTAACTTGATCTCTCATATGTAAGTATTTTCTGATGACCAACCTTTTTACTGAATTCCATTATAGCGATATAACGAACTGTCCAAATATTTTGAGCCTCCAACTGAACAGTGGAATGGAGCAAACGCGTATTCGGGATCGGCAGCAATCTGGCGACAGGGTAGGAAGTCAATCGGCGGACCTTATTACGCGGCTGAGGAAACTTCTATCTACACAGAGAATTGGAGGGAACACGAGGCCGAGGCTAGTGCCGGCGGCGCCGTTACCACCCCTCATGGCACCATATCACTTAGGCTGCACAATAGGATACGCGTGGACATGACCATTGATCGTGCCGTTCGAATTATCAATTTTAAGGTGGCAGCCTATTGAAATATTTTTGCAATATTAATATAAAATAATTATTAAATATAATATATGTACAGGATGTCCGGTGATAGTCGTATTACGGCTCGTAAACAAATAGAGAGTTATATCGAGTCAAACAGTTCTGTGTCATTTTACAAGATTCCTTGCAATATAATTAACGAATTCTTACGGTTAATATCGGATACCTGTATGCATATGATTATTATTTAATAATATATAAAATTTCATTTCTTATATATATATATATACACATCATAGAACAATATTGTTCTATCGTTGAGTGGTTCAGGATCAGCTGCTGCTTTGCTACATCCCAATGGCAGAATATATCAGTATGGTTCTCGGGTAGAAATTGTGGCTCACGATACACACGGAAACAACAAGTTAGTCCCGGTTTTTTTTTTCTACTTATACGCATCTACATTAATTTCGATTGGCTTGTTCCATTAGGTACGCAAAGATGTGGTATAAGGGAGTTAGTTTTACATCGGAACAATGCGCTCTTGTCTATCTCGTAGACACAGCTGGGACCAGAACCACAACAGACTCCTTTTCGGATATGAGCCAGGTAGAATGCAAATAGATACTCATTATAAACAACTCTCTCTCAAATTTTTAGAAAATACTTGAGCTCTGCAAAAAATTTTATATATTTAAGAATAGTTAATATTTTATAGACTTATCGCAATTATAACAAATAAATCACACAGGATTTCTCGTTGAGCGTCTTTTACTCGAACTCTCGTCACGGACTTGCATGTCTGCAAGAAGCTGCGACACATCTTAACACAGCTCAATATTGGCAAACGGAAGAAGGTGTTGAGAACTGGATTATTAACAACGTTAGAATATCACAGACTCCTGATGGTCTTGTCAGGTACTAGCTTCTTTAAATATAAAAAAGATTATGTATGAAAAAAATATTTATATATATATGTACATTCGTTTATTTATAATACACATAATATACTTTAGAAATCCAAATTTTACATACATGTATATAGTATTTTTTAAAATATATTAACTTCATGTAATTAATTCACGATTTTTTGTAGATTAGATAGATCAATTATTTATATACTGGTATATATATTTAAATATATTAGTTTGTTTTATAAATAATTTCTATCATATAACAGGATCGCACGAAACAGCAACAAGTATCAACTGCGTACATCACCTAGTAACGGTACGGCATCGTTGACGACACCGTTTTTGCACTGCACCGCATCTTTGGGTCAGACGTCGCATTTGTTTGTGCGACGTGGCGAGCGTCGTATGCACTATGACGGAACCAGCTTCATTGTGAGAAATGCTGGTCACAGCGCTGGCTTCGACGACAATAATCAGTTAAAAGTCTATTAAAGATAAATCTTGAGAACTTTAAGTCTTTGATAGCGCGTTCTTATGTGAGCATCGATGAACGTATATGATCAACTTTGATTGTGATCGAGCAGATTTCACAAGATTCTCACATCTTCTCTTCTGTGTGACGATTGAATTTTTTTTATCACATCATACATTGTCACTCATGTAAACTCAAGATTCTGTAAAGAATGAAATGTCTTCCTACATAGTACCAGAATTTAGCGACAGAATAAAACTGAAGAGTTCAATATTTGAGAATTTTATCTCAGTTTCAAGAACTTTTTGTTTCTTAAAAAACTGTAAACTAAGAAAATAAGAATTACATCACCGTTTTCTTGAGTTCTTGAAAACCCAAGTTAACCACATTACATTGAATTCTCCAGTTGTAATCGCCGCGCGATCTTATATGTTTAGAGATTTATTTGAATTTTACCGCTTTAGAGTTTAGTAATTCAATCACTTTTGTCCGGTATATACTGGTTTGATGCAGAGAAACGTTTCAATAAAAGATTCAGTCAGTACAAAAAAACATTTTTAATGCAAAATTAACATTTATTTAGTTAGTCCAATCCTCGTACGTCTCGTGCTAAATAATGACGATCAATACACAGAGAGACATACAAATGTTTTATATAAATTTATTTCTTGCCACGTATAAAAATGTTACTATTTAGTTATTTTTTCTATATAAAAAGACGCTCGCACGCGCACATACACACACGCACAACATGTAATAAACATACTCCCACAAACATATATACATACATCTAATAACTCGTGTCTTTGATTATTGATATCACAAGAATAATACCTGAAAAGTAATCTATTGTGATACTGGAAAGTACATTTAAACTGAAAAAAAAAAAAATAATAATAATTTTATATACAGTAAAAAAATGGTAGTTCCGAGTAAAATCACATTTTTTATACAGTAATCACTGCTTCATTGCCATAACTAACTGACAATTGATTGAGTCACTACTGTATTTGTCAATAAGTATCTAAAGTATCTAAAACTTCTTGAAAGGTAATTCTGTGTCACTACTGCTTTCGGAAGAAAGTATAACGTCGACGTCTTGATCTTCTTCAGATTCCGACTCCAGTCCGTCATTAAACGCTCGGCCTATCTTAGCTAGAACAATTTCCTTACGAGTTCGGCTGCACATGTAAGAATTATTACACCCATTAAGCTCTACTTCGTCACAATAATCCCAATACAATTACAGTATAAAACAATAACATGGGTAACATCAAACATACATTATACAAGGTGAATTAGCGTTATGTAAACTTATATCTCGGAAACAAAAAAAAGTATATATATATATATATATTACATTTAAAACATATGTACTATATATTTCACTTACCGCTTTTGATTCTTTTGACCACCTTCGTTCAACGCCGATGTTGGTTTATTAGATTGCGCTGTATCATCTTTTATATCAGTGTCCGTCTGCACTTTGCGAATATTATCAATGACATCGTCAATCATAGTGGCATTGTACAGCTGTAAGCTATCTCCATCCGTATCATATAGAATGTTCTTTTTTTCTTCGTAGATCTTACTTAGCTTGCTGATTGTTGACAGCAGTTTTTCTGGTTCTGCCAGCTCCTTCACTTCTGGCATCACTTTAATATCTAACGTGGGTTTTTCCGCCCTCTTACCGAAATAATTTTCCATGCCATACTTAAAAAAAATAATAATATTCAATGTGTGCAATAAAAAGAAAACCCAAAATAATTAAAAATAAAATAAATCCTCAGTTTGTTAAATTTGATTAAAGAAATAATAAGTACTAAAAAATCAATATTGATATTTTGACAGATAAAATGATGATGATGATTATTATTATCATTACTCTGACAATATACGTACCACATTATCAGCAATACAAAAGTGAAATGCATGATCGACTATTAGTTTGCATATAATGTAGTTAGCATCCAGAAAATCCTCTTTATTGACCTGACTACGCAGCTCCATTAAACAGTTCCAATCTGACAGGGTCATCCTGAACTTCAACTGTTTTGTTGGCATTTTGTAGTAGACTGAGTACATAAGGTACAAAGCTGCAATGCGCTCCTTCAGATTTGTTGCGTTCACTAAAAACTGCTTTGTCACAGAGAGAGCATCTTCACAAAAAGTCAATAGATACACTTCGGAAGGATGATAGCTGCAAATTTTATAATTCTCATTAATCACTTTTGTATTCTCTTATATTATTATTTTTTTTTTGCAATATATAAAATGCCTTTAATGCGAAAGTAGGTGATACGTACGCAAAAACCAAAACAAACTGCATTTCTCTCCATAACTCGCAAAAGTTTTGAAAGTGAGTGTTATAAGACAGTTCGAAGCGCGTTATCAGCGCTTGGCAGTCTGCGCGAAACGCCTCCCTCAATTTTATCTCTATGTAAGACAAAATAAAACAAATATTAACTCTCAAATAAATATTAACCCTTTCGCTGGCGGCAAGATCTAATGCGGGGGCAGTGCGCGTGACATATGGATTTTTGCTTAGCGCGCAAGGTATAAAAGTTAATTAAATTTCTTTTATCACAAATCTTAATCTTTTATTAAATTAAATTTTAAAACAAAGATTATAGAATATCTTGTGAAACATGTGTAACGCTACTTTGACAACAGCCTGATATAAGTTCGCTTCGAAGTTAAGCGCACTATTATTGCAAAAATCACATGTCAACAATCTATATCGCTTACGTTGCGTAGTCGAAAACATCGTTGCGCGTGTTCCGTCGGTGACAAACAACTTTCATTCTAAAATCTAACCGTTTACGCCATTTATTTTGAAGAAATGCTCGCACGCCGAGCTGAAACAGCAGCGTATGTTACGTTAGCAGCAGAATTATACTCCTGACTTTGACCAATGGAATAAGTCAACGGCGCTTTGCGATTGTTGCTTGCGATTGGCGCATATGTTTTCATTGAATTTACAAGAAGAGGCCAATCACAGACGAAGCACTTGCTCTAGAACGCCGAGTTCTGCTCTGAACGCAGCCAATTTTGCAAAGCCAGCGACTCGCGTTTGTTTCTTTGCGACCTAAATGTAGAACGACCTTAACGTCCGATGCTCTCCATGTGAATGCGCACTTAGATGTCGATTTGACTTGTATCGACACATGCTGCTTTTTGCCACAATGAGCCTTTTAAGTTTGACGTTGCGTTGTTTAGATTTTTTTTACACAGGCAAAGCCGACATAGTCTCTTCTTAATTTAAACGTGTAACATGTTGAGATGACTAACGTGCGCGGACTTCAGCTTTCAATCGGTTTTTGGTTCGATGTTTTACTGCGTGTCTTTCTGGCAGTGCTATTCGTGTAAGTTGACGGGAGTTAAAGGAATGTGTGCAAAGAGAAGTAATCGATATATATTACAATCAGTAGATTTTATGTTGTTAAACCTGTGTCTGTACTTTGTGCGTTTGTGTGAATAATAAATAATTTTTGATTTTTTCGAGACCGCCTGTAAAAGCAAAAAAGAATTGTCGCAAAAGGTTGTCGTAAGAATTTTATTATTAATCGAATAAATTGAATAAATTGAAGCTTGGTTTGAATTTTTTTTTAGAGAGCTGGAAAAAGCAGAACCATTTACAAGAAAAATTCATGAAGATGAACTGTGGTTGTACAGAAATCCAAGAACAGAATCTTTTGTTCCAACTACAGTATTATGGGTAGATAGAATTATATTAACAAACAGAAATATTAACATATATGTGTAACGATGTTAGTGATGTGTGTGTAATATAATTAATGCTAAACCAATTATTCTATTTGCAGCCCCTTGTATTTATGATGCCAGTTGCTGTTATTTGTTTTTTCTTTATAATACACAAAGATAAACTTGATCTTCAACAATCAGTATTATCTGTAACATTAGCGCTAGGATTTAATGGTCTTATTACAGATATCTTGAAATTAATAGTGGGTATGTTATCACTTATTATGTCATTTACTACAATGACTAAACAAGTGGAACTTGAATGTATATTTAATGAATTTATTTTTAGTTTGATTTATTTTTAATTGAATTTATTTTTAGTTATTAATATTTAATTTTTTTTTTTTTTAATCACATTCCTGTATTACTGTACGTATTACTTTTAGGTCGTCCAAGACCAGATTTCTTCTGGCGTTGTTTCCCAGATGGACAAATGAATTCAGGATTCAAGTGCACTGGAGATCCAATTGTTGTTAGAGATGGAAAGAAGTCATTCCCAAGCGGACATTCCTCATGTATGTTGATGTTGCTGCAAAAAGACTGCAGTAAAAAAAGCACAAGCCTCTTCAGATTGTGTCAAACAATTTCTATGAATATGTTTGTTTTTTTCAGTTGCGTTCGCTAGTTTCGGATTTATCGCGTTGTATTCAGCTGGAAAGTTGCATACATTCAGTCTAGCAGGAAAAGGACAATCGTGGAGACTGTGCACATTCTTTTTACCACTATGTATCGCTCTTGTTATTGCGTTAAGCAGAACGTGTGATTATCACCATCATTGGCAGGGTAACTAGTTTATCAATTAATTAATATTGTATTAAAAAAAAAAAAATCTATATTACATATATATATATATAAATCTTTCTAATTTTGCGATTTCTTTTTTAGACGTGGTAGTGGGATCAGTAATAGGCTTTTGCTTAACGTACGTTTGCTACAGACATTATTATCCTCCGTTGGATTCGTCGTATTGCAACAAATCATACGCTGCGCTGGGATCACAAAATCATTTGGACGATGTCAAGCTTAACAAGAACGAGCAAATCAAGTGGATATAAACAAGTGGGGACTAATATATACTATTATATATATATATATATATATATATATATATACATATACGCGTGATATAAATTGACATTACTACGTTATAATTTATTATTGTAACTTTAACAATTTTTTGTTAAAGTCTCTCTTTGTGATCTGAATTTTATGTACTGAGATCTAAATAAATAAATGACATCCTCATACGAGCGTATACCAAAGAATATTGACATTTGTGTGTTTTTTTTTCCCCAGATAATATATATATAATTTATACACAAAGGAATACACTGCAAGTGACTCGAGCAAAAGTCTATGAACAATGATTGCAATTCTCTCAAACGTTGATGAGGTTTTTGAACGTGATCGATATGATGAAGTGCAAATTAAAATATCCATCACACGCGCGCAAGACGCCATTCTGGAAGTCGAGTATTCGCGTGTTGTTCTCTTTCGCGCAACTCGAAGCGATCGCTCTGATTCGTTCGTACACGATAAGCAAATCGCTCGCGCGACGTGTCGACCAATCCGCGTGTAATCTACCAATCTCGATTATCGACGAGTCGCGCGCATCACAGAACGCGCCGGAACGCGTCTAACTGCACGCGCGACACGTTCGCGGTGGTTTGTCTCCGTTCGTTCGCTCGCTCGGCCCAGTTCGGCACGGTCTGTGCACGAGTTCGGATTTGTGATAATTTCGTCGAGAGAGAACGTTGCCGACGACACATTGCGCAACTCCACGAAAACTACCGGATACGCACAGATACCTGTTCGCAACTCAGGGAGGGAAATCGGAAGCGCGCGACCCATCGTCCGAGTACCGCGTCCCAAAGTTCCTTCTCTATTCCCGTCACCGAAGTGACACCATAGTTTGTATTCTCTATTGTGTACGCGGTGAAATGTTGTCCCGTCGACTTCTTGTAGTATACGACGAGGACTCGTAGTGTGAGCGTCGTCGGATTCACTAAGAACGCGGAGTTGCTTTCACGTTTTACGCGATTGCACATACATATTACATATATTCACACACACACACACACACACACACAAAGAAGAGATATATACTTCTCTCGCGCGATCGTTCTCAACGTTTGGGACATCCCTCTGCGGAATCTCGTCTCTCTCGCCTGTGTGCTTTGCTCGCGTGAGGGAAGCGTGCGAGGCGGAGTCGTACGTTCCACGTACGTGGCGCGGCAAGCAAGAGGATGATCAACATGGAAACGGATAAGATTATCGACGACACAAACGCCAGTTTGCAGGTGAGCAAAAAGTTCGGAGTTTATTACACTCGGCCGAGTCATCTTTTCGTTGCGAAAAAAAAACTACCGCCATCTTGTGCCTTCTCGCGATCGTCCGAATCCGTTTGTCGCACGTGTTTCTCTACCTCTCGCTTCCCCAAGAAGCCGAGAGATTGTATATTACGGAGTCTGAACTTGAATTATACGTGTGAATCGCGAGTGTCGTTTGTACGTATCGAAGAAAAAAAAACAAAACAAAACAAAAAAGAGAATCGGAGCGATTCGATCGAAAGGCACAGATACTTACACGTCGAGTGTTTATATATTGGTCAACACACATATGATCATTATCGTTCTTCTAATGAAGCAAAGATACAGAGAAAGAAATTTTTTTGTCTTACGTCACAACTGACTTCGTAGCGAAATTACTTTCGGAATTGTAACAACGCGTTTGTAAAAATCCGTTTTCGTCTTTACTTTCGCGTTTTGTTGTAAATTTTCTTTGTATCAAAATTCGCATGTAATTTTCCGTTTCTGGATACAAAAATTGCACGAATATTCGTGAGCGAAAGAAGTTGGAGTTTTCAATGAAAAAAAGGATGAAAATTAGATCTTGCATATGTAACAATTATATATTCGGCAAGTAGATAATACTTTGTTACAAATTGCTTTCTCTCTCTTTCTTTCTCTCTCTCTCTCACACACACACAAACACAAAACCGCCTTATATATTCGAGTTTTTATTTAAATCCAGGATCCTTGGCGCGATGCCTTTTATAGGTCGTCGCGATCGTACGATACTACACATGTATGACGTGTGTATGTTAAGTATTATAAATTCCTTGACATTCATTAAACTGCCACTTTTCGTATTATTGTCGTCGTGATGTCTAAATGTCGACGTCGTGACTTGTGAGAGAAACAGCTAACCGGGCGTCGAGCCATGTCTTTTGTGTGTAAGCACTTGCACATCTGTGTGGGTGTGTGCGCGCGATCGGTCGAAATATTTATTTGTATTTTATCAACGCCACACATGTATTTGTGTATTAATTTACGGATTAATTATTTTTGTTTCTTGATATTCACGAATGTGCGAACAATTTTCAGGTGGCGTGTGTGTTTTGCTATTCCGTTCTCTTCTCGCTCTTCCTCTTTGCGAGATTTAATTTCGAATGCGTGACTAGCTGGAGAAACAAAAAACGTGACATTATCTCTCGAATCTGAGATGACATACATTTCGTTTCGCTGAAACCCTCAGACTGTTGTCACTAACTGGCACCAGTGCGCAATCGATGGTTAAGCATTCGTCTGTAGAATTCTTTATATTTCATTTACTGAACTTCGATCATTCGCAACTTCGTTGTACTCGTATTTTCTTACCGTTTTGTTTGTTCGAGAAAATTCATCAATTACTTCGATCGTTGTTCGAAGAATTATCAACTTGCTCTCTCACAACATCTCTCGTTTTTTTTATTTTTCCTTAACCTTTGGACGGATCTATTTGTAAATCTTGTTGGTTGTGTAACACGCATGTAATAAATATTGGGACAAATTGATTGACAATTCCGCCATAGGCAATTAATCCACCTACACATACACAATTCATCTGCACGTGAGTGCGATACGTATGGACCGTGCGGCGCGATAACTGTCATTCCTCATAATTACATACATTAAGCCGCGCACAAAGAAAGAGAGAGAGAGAGAGAGGAAGGGGAAAGAGAGAAAGAGAAGTACACCGGAAGTGCACCTACAACTTCTTATCCTGCGCTCGCATGACGTTCCCTCCTACGCTCATTGCGCTCATAAAACATGTACGGTTCTAAACAAGCTGCCGTGTGTGTACTTCCCCATGACGAGGAATAGACTAATGAGTTCCAGTCATTTTTTTTTTCTTGAAAAAATAAAATAATTCTCGAGTTTTGATCATTTTGTCGTGTATATACAATAGATTTCGCTTTTAATTTTTTATTCACAGTATTCAAATCGACTCGATTTTCCTGCATTTGTGATGCGGAGAATTCACCTTCGCGATTTCCGTTTTTATTTCTCGTCGATAAATAACGCGAGCTTTGTTTCCGAGCTTTTGAGCGACCGGGGCAATAACGGAGGAAGAAAGAAAGAAAGAAAGAAAAAAGGAACAAATTGCAAATCCTTGAAGCCTAGAAGGTCGCGCGCGAATTTACCTGCGTCAATATCCACGGGTTTCGGATATTGCTGTCGAGCGCTAATGTGCGATGTAACGAGCTGATATTTCAAATCATTCGCTTCCGTACTGTCGTCGATGATACATATCACCCATTTTCCGTTCTGTGCACAAAGTGCGAAAGTCGATCAATAAAGAACGAAAACTTATCCTTAAAAGATAGATACGCGGCAATGGTGTTATTTTATTTCGTTTTTTTTTTCCTAACGATCGGGAGAATTTGTATTATTCATTGCAGTTTTTGTGCGGCGGACAATTTTTTTTTTTTTTTTTTTCACATTTTTTTCCGAGACAATTTGCATGAATCAAATGTGCAAATAATGATCAAATAACATGATAATTGCTTTATAATTGTAGTTGTGTGCAGTATGAAGCACTAATTTTCCAAACCGGTTTTTCTATCGTATCCAAGTTGCGTATCAAGTGCAATTTTGCAACGCAAAACCTCATCAAAAAATAGCTGCATCAAATCCTTTTGTATTTCATTTAATTCGGTTTCAATTGTTATTGCGAGCTGCAATGAGCAGCAATCGCACTTCGCTGCTGGTATTGTTGCGCATATATTGTGCAAAAAAAAGTGCATATACCGTAACAAACAAACAAACAAACAAAAAATGTTTGCGATCAAACGGAAGCAAATCGCCGTTTTATCGTTTGCGAACGGAAAGTCTGCGGCGAGATTTTGCGCGCGCGGTTCTCGGGACGGAAAGTCACCGTGTTCGAATCGGCGAGAGGTATAATAAATAAAACCAGGAAGTCACGTGTAGCGAGTATGAATTCGCGTTTCACGGCCGAGGATGTCTTTGCGTAATGGCGTATATACACATGCAAATCCGCGTGGCAATGTCACGCGGGAGTTGCTCCCTTATTACCGAAGGCGAGACGCGTTTCAGTCGAGTCGAGATAAAAGACACTGATGTGAGAAAGAGACAATATTGCAATTGAGTCTGTTCATCTGTCTAGGTTAGGATTAGATTAACAAAACGAGATCGGTGCGTTTCTATCTCGCATTTGGATAAACTCTGGGCTTTTTTTATTTTCGTAGAAAAAAATAATAATTTAAAAAAAAATTTTTCGAGAGTAGTGAGATCAAGTTTCTCTTTAGGTTTTAAAATCTCACGTTTCTTTGATTGCTCGACATCTCGGATTTTTGGAAAGAGAAGTGAGATCAAAGTTTCTCTTTGGGTTTTAAAAACGTTACGTTCCTTTGATTGTTCATTTTGTCGAGCACCTTATCGAACAATCGAATTTCTTACAGGCTGTTGTTAAACATTTTCACGCACTTTGTGTACGCACTTTTCGGTCTTTCTCATTTAAAAAGCTGCGACGATTCAAAAAGTCGCGATTCTTCTTAGACCTTCAGAAGTTGACGACCTCTTTGCTGCCGGAATAGACGAGCGAATTTGCGAGGCGAAAACCTGTTTCGCGACCTATTCCGCGAAATCGCGCATACACCACACACGGTCTTGCGATTTATTGTACTTCCCTCGCGAAAACAAATTCAACGAAACGTTAAAAGAGACAAGAGGTTATTCTTTCTTTGAATATAAATTAAAATAAAATAAAAAAAAAAAAAAAAAAAGAACCGAGACATGTGGCATTTCGAGACTGTGTAAATATCTCTCTATTTTTTTACTTGCGCACACTGAAAGGATAACTAACACCAAGGTTCTTCACACATTTTTACTTTCAACTTGATAAAAAAAAAAAAAAAAAACAGAATATCGCACGTATCTGCGATACAATTTGAAAAACCATAAAATTTTTTGGAGAAGCTTGTATATATAATTTGGTTTTTAGAAATTGTGTTCTCATGCGATAAGGATCGATAAGATTATTAATATACTGCCAGTATACTCTATTCGCGACGCCTTACTCTATTACTTGCACTTTGGACATGGCAACGAGAGAGCGCGCGAGCACGGAAACGACATCCAGGAAGACAAAAGAATCAGGAGAGCGTAGATTCGACACGAGTTCGCGATACCGTTACGTTGTCGAGTAGCGTTTTCAGGTGATCGCGCCGCTAGACTCGTTCTTCTTGTACACTTCGTCATACGAGGGGGATATCCGCGACAGAGTTTATCTCACAACGGGAGATGTTCACAATAGGATCAGCCGTAACGTGTTTTTCATCCCTCGCGAGACTCTTATTCGGACCGTTAAACTTCGTGTCTGTTATATTTTTTAATATAATGACACACACACACAAAAGCATTTTGGCGATAACGTCATCGGGAAAGATGTAGTCACGTTTTGACTACGAATTTTATGTTCAGCGAGAGAAAAAAGCGTTTCAAAAGTAACGCGATCAGTAAAACGTAGAAAACGATCCTTGAATTTCGTAATAACAGCTTTCGTCGAGTTTCTCATTGGAAACGTAATATGCATGTAATAAAAAAAAAAAAAAGAAAAGAAAAAAGATCGCTGCACACCGATCACCGTTGTTTCCCAGTCGGTTTTTGCGAGAATTTAATCTTCATTAACAAGCGTTTAACGCGATACGAGGTCTTTTATGACGGTTTTCGCTTCCTGGGATAGAAGAGAGAGACGCAAAAGTGGGTCAGGCGCAAAATATACGATTAGCGTTATATACTCTGTACTGCAAATCGCTGCGCGCGCGTTGGCTTTTGACTATAAACGGATTTTCGTGCATATCGTGTGACACACTTGGGAAGGCACGTATGTGTGTGTGTGTGTTACACAGGAGTTTATATTATATAAATACATACATTAAAAGATATATATACATATCGTGTTATTCCGAGAGTGTCTAGAATCGATAGAAAGTGTTGCATTAATCACGTGACGTTTTAATTTTGCGACAATTCAAATTAAATCTTGCGTTAGTCACATCGGTTTAAAAACTATAAGTCTAAGTTTATTATTTGTACAAATATTTTAGAAATGGATCTGGTTGTAATTTTCTATTAAAATATAGTGAATTTCACGTAGTACATGGCCGCGCGCTCAAGCAGAAATTTTTACAAAAGAAACGTAATGTCAGAAATATCACCGAGAGAATTATGTAAATAAATTGTGCGCAATATATAATTAATTCATTTTTTTTTTGTGTTACCATCCGCTCACTTGATTCGTTTTGACTTATCCTATCGTTTGTTTTCACATTGATTAGATATCTGAGGCCAGAATTCATTGTCCAATCTCATTGCAGTTCTGTCATGTTTATCGTGTCTCTTAATTTTTATCTTGAGTTGTTCTATAGCATCACTAAAAAGATTCGTTATAGCATCTTAATCAAAACTTAATCTTAAATAAAAAAAATCAAACCGCAAACATAATATCAGGACGTTGAACTGTTGTATCTATTCAATTTTTTAATTGTCGAACGTGCAGACAGATGATGTAAAATTCTGCAAAATTTAATTGCAAATTTATATCATTAAAAAAAATGTAATTTGATTTTTTAACATATTAAGTTCGGCGGATAAACTTCTTAATAATGTTACGTGTTTCGTTTTCCGGTGATTGCGGGACGCGCCAGTACACCGTGTCGGGCGGAGTTGAGAAACACAATGTGAAAACGGCATGTGAAAACGCTTCAACACTCTCGCACTGCATTCTTTTTTTTTTTTTTTTTTTTTTTTTTTGTTTGACAATAACTCGCTGTCAACAATCGCAACGCGCTGGGAATCCTCTTGCGTTGTATTTTGCAGACGCAACTTTCTCCGCGCGCGTAGAAACACGTGGATAACCCTTTCGATTACAAAAATAACGTCCGTTTTGTACTGTGTATGTACCTTTCAATTCCACGATAAATTCATCGCCAGTTGAGGTTGCTAAGGTTCACGAGGAAATGTACATACGTATACATATATACACAATGTAAGATGATAACGCGCCGATAACGCGCGCATCCGCTTCGCTCTCGAACAGTTGGCGGAGAAAGGCCTTTCGATTATTAGAAACGAAATGAATTTTTTGTTTTTTCACGACAAAGAGTAAATTAGATCGATTTTGAACGAGATCGCGGTATTGTGTTTCTAAAAAAAAAAACTCGGCGTGAGAATGATAGAATATATTTGCATCGAGAGGAAAAGGAAAACACAAAGAATTCGCGTGAGAGATTTATTGGCGCGCGCGTGCGCGCATTTACTTTTTCTTTGTGGGCGTTTATTTTGAGTTTTCGGAACAGTTATATTCCTGGCGATGGTTCCGCGTCGACGTTGTGCAAATTTACAATAGGGCGTCGTCGAATTAACGTCGGATTAACGCGATGTAATGTATATCATATATTGACTCGAATTATCTAATCTGATTGAATATCAAAAATGATAAACGCGATAACATTTTGATGGACACAAAATTGCGTTATTACACTTAAGAAAAATATTCACGGTCTTGCAGTAATTTTTTTTTTTTTTTTTTTTTTTTTCATTAATATGATTTATATTGCGCAATTTTTTTGTATATTTCTTATTATAAGATAAAAAACAACAGGCCTTAAAAAGATACGGATCTTCCAGATCCAGCTTACACCTCTCTGAATCATGAAACTTAATGACTAGCTTTTTATTATATTTTCTCTTTTAAAGATATTTTCCCCTTCCTTTTAAAGATATTTTTTGACTCTGTCTTATCATCTTTATACTTTGACAATGCTCAATTGTATTGTGTTTGTCGTGAGAAAATGATCGCATCAATAAGATGCTGCTTTTGTGGCTGCTTTAGTGTGTCGACTTTGAAGTCATGGTTTTCTAATTTATCAGTTATTGTGAGTATTTTGACCAATAATTCATTTTTTCTTATCTATTATTTTTTTATAAAAAAAAGATTTTAACCATTGACTTTCGTACTCGTATTTATATTTCTATATCTTATATCTATTGTAATCTTGAGTATAATTCTTCTCTCTCTCTCTCTCTCTCTCTCTTTATATTATGTAATTTTAACAATAATTAATTTGGTGTAGCTGAAGATGATCACAATTAAATGATTGAAACGTCCTGAAGAATAGTTGCGTGAACTTATTTACTTTTTAAACCGCCTCCATCTGTGGATTGCAAGCGCGCTGTAAGGTCTTTTATAACGGATATTTAATCTTTTTAAGGCCTGTTGTTTTTTTATCGAATTATCTAATCTGATTGAATATCAAAAATGATAAACGCGATAAACGATAACATTTTGATGGACACAAAATTGTGTAATTATTACACTTGAAAAAAATATTCACATTCTTGGAATAATTTTTTTTTTCCCGTCAATATGATTGATATTGCGCAAAATTTTTTTATACTTATTATGTACATCATTATTATATATACTTTAATATTGTAATTCTTGTACTTTTGATACAATTAATGCAATGTATATCTTCTCTTTCTGCGTAAAGTTTTGCTATATTCATGTTAGGTTTAAATACGAAAGCGCTTATGCACATGTTGGAATATATAATAGAAAAAACGGCCGCGATAAAGGATACACTCGAGGATCAGAGGTGTGATCGATATATTCTCTTTTATTATTAGCTCAAGTATACCAATAATGAGAGACGATGGTCTTTCATTATTATAATTTTGTATCGCGTGTTATCGCGACAAATTGGACAATCGTGACAACGAATATAAGTAAAGTCGACAATAAGGATGGAAACAGTGAAAGTACAGACGCGTATGCAAACTACTTTCCTTCGTGAAAAGTGTATTTTAGCGCGTTTTTTTTTCTCGCGCGTGTCTGAGTTTCCGTTTAAAATGTGATTAGTCACATGTTTAAATCGCTACGTCGTCAACAATCTCACACTCATCGTACGTGTGTGAACGCATAAAATTTACCTCTTGACGCAGAGATAGCATCGCGCTACTTGCTTCGACGACGGTCGTATTTGCATTCATGAATTAATAAAGCACCAACTTTCTGTAATGCGATTAGCATTTGAAACGTGAAAATTTTAATAACGCTCTTCGTTCGCGTAATCGCTCGCTAAAAAAAAAAAAAAAAAACGACCGTATCTATTTGCGCGTCACTTAAGATACGATTATGAGACGATTGCAAAATTAACGGGGAAAAACAAGATGTTCGCACATAAGCCGGGGCGCGCGCACACGTAAACGAATTAATTTATAAAAGGCTTCGTGCGAGAGATTGAAGCGAGCGCGAAGAGAGAGAAAGAGAGAGAAAGAGAGAATGAGACAAGCGAGGTCAAGTATCCGGTACTTCGCTTTACCTCGGGATGATGAATTATCCGAGATTTAAGCTTCGCAAATATATACGGATTATATATAAACTCGTCAAATCTCTATTAAGTCTCAGGCATTTTCTATTTATGAGGAAACTTTGAGGGATTTTGAGTAGTTCGTAGAATTTATCAGTTCATACATATGTACGTACGTCTGTTATTTATTAACTTTATTTTAAGTATATTTTAACGATATTTTAAGAATATTTTAACGATATAATATCGATTATTCTATTTATATCATTAATGTGGTATTGATGAAGCGATAAAAAAATTTTGGACATCAATATAAAATGACTTTTACACACGATCTCACATCATTCGTGCATTTGGCTCTCGATTATATTTTATCTCTAATTAATGTTTCTGTGATTCTGAGAATTATTCCGATTAGAGATGCGAGAATAGTAATATTATCACAAGCTACGCGAAAGTGGAAATAATATATATATATATATATATATATACATATATTTCAGATTTGCAAATTTTGTAATTATTACAATCGAATTCTCGGTTTCCCTTGAGACTGGTGTGTTCGAGCGCAAATGTCCTACACTGTGTAACGTGATTGTGACCTGATACATAGACATACAGGCGGCTATAATCGCACAACGATACATGTCGATACGACAATATACATACGTTGCTCGGTGATATTTTTAGTCACATTTATTCGCGCTCCGATTACTTAGCGCATCGCCAATCCAGTAAGAGTAAACGTCATGATCTCGAACATATATATATATATACACACACATATAGTATAAATATATTGTAGTTATACTACGTCCCCGTTTTCCCGTGTTGACGGAATTATTAAGCGTTAATAATTTCTTTGTTAATTAGTCTGCATTTTAATGTCCTTCAAGAATCTGTTCGATAACCTCAGTGCTATATTCGATATTTTGTTGCAATTTTGTGTATATTTTTGTGGCGTGAAACTGTACATAAAGTAAAATATCGAATGATTGGCATCTTTTAAAGACCCCCCTGTCAATATTTTTTCAAAATCATCAACCAAAAGATTCTAAAATAAAAACTGTTGCTGTACAAAATTTAAATAAACCCATCATGATTTTAAATAAAACAACCATAGACAAAAATGTTAACACTTAAAAAAAATCAATAAAGTGCCACAATCACATTGAAAGAATTCCAACTACAAGATTACTCTAATTGTTAAAAATTTGTTGCAGTATCAGATGACGATTCTGTACGATCCCAGCTGCAAAAAGGAGCCGTCTACGGGAGTGTCGGCGCAGTACGGACAGGAGAAAGAGATTTGTATGAAGCTGTTCGAAAGATGGAGCGAACCGGAGCAAGTGCACTTTGTTGAACAGCTGTTGGCACGTATGTGCCACTATCAGCATGGACACATCAACGCGTATCTCAAGCCGATGCTACAGAGAGACTTTATCTCCCTTCTGCCAAGTGAGTAATCAAATATCACGTTTACGCGCGTTCTGTCTTGTTACCCATTCTTCACATGCCTGATTAAATACCTGGAACGGTTTTTTTTAGCCATGTTACTGTAATGATATCGAGTGTTTGTTTTACTCAGAAAAAGGACTGGACCACGTGGCAGAAAGTATCCTTTCGTACTTGGACGCAAAATCGCTGGTCGCCGCCGAGCTAGTGTGCAAGGAATGGCATCGAGTGATTAGCGAAGGAATGCTGTGGAAGAAGCTGATTGAACGGAAAGTTCGAACGGATTCGGTCTGGAGAGGATTAGCCGAAAGAAGAGGATGGTAAGAAAGACTTCTCCATCTATTACTCGTAAAACATTTTTTGCATACCTACTAAATAAAAGTATCTCAACAGATTTTTTCGTTAATTTATTGTTAATTTATATAATTCACTTTTTTCAGGATACAATATCTCTTTAAACCGAGACCGGGCGAGAGTCACCCCAATCACAATTTCTATAGATCTCTCTATCCAAAAATCGTCAAGGATATCGAGAGTATAGAGAACAACTGGAGAATGGGCCGCTTCAATCTTCAGAGAATCAACTGCCGTAGCGAGAACTCGAAAGGTGTCTACTGCCTACAGTACGACGATCAGAAGATCGTTTCCGGATTACGAGACAACACGATCAAGATCTGGGATAGGAACACTTTGCAGTGCATCAAGGTGTTAACGGGACACACTGGTTCCGTGCTTTGTCTGCAATACGACGACAAGGCCATAATATCCGGTTCCTCGGATAGCACCGTGAGAGTTTGGGACGCCAACACGGGCGAAATGGTCAACACTCTGATACATCATTGCGAGGCGGTGTTGCATCTCAGATTTAACAATGGCATGATGGTCACTTGCTCAAAAGTCAGTTGAAAGAAAAATTGATATATACTTTTGCTTATAATTTTCATTCTTGTCACTGATACAACGATTGTCATTTGCAGGATCGTTCAATAGCAGTCTGGGATATGACATCACAGACAGAGATCGCGCTGAGAAGGGTGTTAGTGGGACACAGAGCAGCAGTGAATGTGGTCGACTTTGATGAAAAATACATAGTTTCTGCTAGTGGTGATAGGACTATCAAAGTATGGAACACGTCCAACTGCGAGTTCGTGAGAACGTTGAACGGGCATAAACGCGGTATCGCGTGTTTGCAATATAGGGATCGTTTAGTTGTTAGTGGTAGTAGTGATAATACCATACGGCTGTGGGATATCGAGTGCGGTGCGTGCCTACGTGTTCTGGAAGGGCATGAGGAGTTAGTGAGATGTATTCGATTTGATAGTAAACACATCGTCAGCGGCGCTTACGACGGGTACGTATGTGGAACTGCAAGTGTTCTTGATTCTATCGCCTTTTGCAACCGCAAATATACGCAATTTGCAGGTGTCATGAAAAATATATTATTTAGAAAATATAAATGTTTCCACTAATCTTCGAGAATCTTTTTACTGTCGCTTATGTAAATATTGTTTTTATTTAGCAAAATAAAATTAATATGTTTTATTTATTTGAATATTTGTATCTTATTTTAGTATTTCAGCACGTACAAGAGACACAAACTTTTTGATTTTAACATTGATAATACAAAGACGAATTAAATTAACAAAATTTAACAAAAAGAAAATGCTATGCAACTCTAATCTATTTTTTATTATATATTACAGCAAAATAAAAGTCTGGGATTTGGTAGCCGCGCTAGATCCTCGTGCCATCGCGAACACGTTATGCTTGCGCACTTTAGTGGTAAGACCTGTTTTGTTTATATATATATTTAACACTTTTTGTATCAAATATTCGATATTGATGTGATTTACACTTCTCATCGTAGGAGCATACCGGACGCGTATTTCGCCTTCAGTTTGACGAGTTCCAGATTGTCTCATCGTCGCATGATGATACGATACTTATTTGGGATTTTCTCAATTATACTCCGTCGAATGTTTGCAGCGGGCGTGTACCGATGGATGGGGCGCCAAATCAAGCTGACACTAGATCTCCTTCGCGTAAGTGTGTATTACATATATTCTACTACTAGTTATCTACCAAATTGTATAGATTTTTCATTGTAACAAAATATTTTTGCAGCATTTGAGTGACGCAACCGCATGGAGATTTTTTTAACGTGATGGAATTGTAAGTACAATTTATGCGAAATATTTAATTTATAAGTAGATTATATATGTGCCAATTTATATGACCCATATTATTTATTTGAAATCCTATTTTTCAGCTTCTAAAAATAACGGGAAAATGAATCGTGGAGCGTAACCGCAAAATTTTGTATTTCAGACAAGAAGTTGGTTAGTAAATGGATTCAATGTGTTCACGAAAATGTACGCAAATAAAATGAGATACAGTCGTTGATGATCCAGTGTAAGCAGCAATGAAAATATCCAACAGCAAACTTAGTGATTAATAACTGACTTTGGTTTGCTAGACCAGCAAAAAAAGAAGAAATTTCCTTGAAGAATAGGATAATAAAAAAAAAAAAAAAAAGAAAAACAAAAAAAGAAAAAAAAACAAATTCTGTGCTGAGAGACTCGCATATTAAAGTAAAAATTATAACTTACAAATGCGCTTGTGACACACCGCGTTTAGAAACGATCAGTGTGTTTAAAAGCCGCCGTACATCCCATGGATGTAAACGTTTCGTCGTCGTCGTCGTCGTCTGCTTTGTCTATAATTGGAATTCTACACTATGACATATAATAGAAGCCAAGACCATTTTCTTATAGTGAAAAAAAAAGAAAACAAAAATAGTAAAAAAAAGACACACGATACATAATAAAACGAAATTTGTTTGGGGAGGCTGGATATTGCACTTAAATAAGACGTTAGATGTATTATATAGTAAATTAATAATTTTTTTATATAATTAATTTATGAAGAGAGTAAGAAAATCATAGCGTTGTTTGGGGGGTACTTATCTTGTGTAAATGTGCTATAAAACAGAAAAGCGGTTGAAGATCCTCGTTTTGCGTCAACAGTTTGTACGAAGTGTTACATATATGTCGCTCGCTAGAAACTGCGAAACGATTAGTAGTGATTAAAAAGTGTATAACAATGTTTTGTAGACATTTAAACTCAATTAACTTTATAAATTTTATGAAACTTATTGGTTGTTTGGAAAAGAGTGAGTGAAGAGCCGTCAATCTCTGCACAGCCGTTTGGTACAATACCATTTGCATTTACAAAATATAAAGATCATTACGTCAGAATGTAAATATTATCTTATTATTCATACATAGACAAGTGTAGTGTGTGATCCTCAAAAAAAAAAAAAAAAAAAAAAAACGATCTTAGTTTATTGTGAAAGACAAAAAACCAATCGTTATTATATCTTGACTATCGATCTCACTTAGATCATTTTATTCATACATAATTTTGTGTGTATACAATATAGGTTTTTATATTTACATTGGCAATTTTATTTTGAAGTATTCTATATTGATAAATACTCTTCTTTAAGAATATTAATTCTGCGGTGATACATATACAGAATGTAACAGGATAGGTGCAACTAAAAAAAAGGATTTTTTGTGCAAAATTATAGAATACAACAGAACTTCAGTAATTTCGAGCATCGTAATTTCGATTTCTTTTTTATAGAGACAGGCCAATAAATTCCTCCACTATTGATCATTTCCCCGATCTTAAATGACTGCGTAACTTGTAAAATGCGCGTCTATCCTCACTCTAAGTGTCTAAGAGAAAGAGAAATATATATCTTTCATCTCTCGCTACAAGTTGGTCGCTAACTGAAAGGGGAAGAAGATAATTCTAAGAAGAATCGGTCCTATGCGTTCGAAATTATTGGAGTTCTACTGTAACATGTTTTTAATGCGAGGTCCGGTTTTAAAAAAATTTGATTTAAAAAATTGAAAAACTGATATCGTGCTGTTTGTTACGCGCTTAATTTATTAATATACATTTAAGGAAGGACACTCCATTTAATAATGCAAGTTAAAATTTAATAGTAAAGTTATGTGTATACACATTATATAAAAAAGTTTTGAAAGTCTAATTGAATGGAGTGCTTTAGTTTATATATAATTATTATTGAAATACATACATTTGATATATGATACACAAAGTTATTAAACTTCAATTGAATTGTAAAAAGAAGTAAATAATATATCGAGTTTTTAATTTTTAAAATCGACGTTTTGAAAAAACTAAATTACAAAAAAATTTATTTACTTATCCTGTAGCGCATTGTATATATTTCATGAACATATTAAGAAACACTATATATCGGCACTGACCGGCGTATGTTTTCAATTTTCGAAATCGGATTAGCAAAATTTTTTACTTGATTGTTCGTTTCTGAATATTTATGCAGTATATAGATAGTGTCTTCAAGATATTTCTTCAAAATTCGCTGATTCTTCAGCCATACTGCACAATTATCCAGCGAACAAAGCGACTAACTAAACAAAATTTCGCCACCTCTCGATTTTGAAAAAGGTGAAGGCATGTTATGTGTGTCGGTTGCTGTACACAATTATCGAACGCAGTTAAATAAAACATTTGCTATTTCGATATTTTATATTTCTGTACATAAGTGATTAAAGTCCATATACGTAGTAACTTAAGTGGCAGCACTATAAAACATTCAAATAAATGTGACATGGAACAGTTGCGCTTCGGAAATGACACACACATATAAAAGAATATAATATTATGTATAATCCAATATATATATATATATATATATATATGTATATATATATATATATATATATATATATTATTTTATGTACAATATATGATATTAGTAGCGAATATTATAAATTCGTGCTTACGGTTCGCGAAGTGATATAATTCCATATCATGCAACACTTGGAACGATATTAATATCTTCAGATATTTGATAATATTAAACATCATTGCAATATTAACATCATGTGAAAGTGTTAAATATTGATAAAAAAAAAAAACGTAAGAAGAAAATAAATAAAAATCCGGATTATACGGTTCCGAATATGTACGTCCGTTGAAAATATTGTGGTCAGTAAAACACACAAATATGCAATCTAATATAATAATTACTTACGGACATGTGTGTGTCAATAAAATACGATGTGTCATACAGAACAAACAATTTGTCTCACGGGAAATATATATATATATATATATTTCAAAAAAATATAACGTTACAAAATTGACTCGAACGTTTCAACTATACCTACCTACCTACGTTAAAATATATTCACACGTTATTGGAAGGGAGATCAAATCTCACTTCGATATGTGTGTAATATTAATCTGCGAATTTTATACGAACTATATGTGAACTGAACGAGTCACGTGTGCTGATATACATGTGAGATAAAAAAAAAATAATAATAAAAATAAAAGACAGTATTAAATTTACATCTAAATGCGGAAAAACTCGTTTATTCGTATAAATGTGAGAGAAAAAGAAACGCATGTAGATACAACAGATATTTGTATATAGTTCATTCGCGGTGAAGACGAATCTATATATTGAATGAGACAAACAAAAAACGGGACAGAAGTAAAACTCTGATGAACTACAACAAATTCACATACAGATACCATAACATAAAACAAACTCATCATGTTGATAGAAAATTTTTGTATAATTTTGAAGTGTGGTTGTGTATGTGTGTGTGTGTGTGTGCGCGCGTGTGTATACTCTTTGTAGAGAACATAAGTACATTTCTTGACTTTGAAATCTATTGTGGAATCTTCGATAAACAGAGAATAAACAACAATGATATCATACAGCAAGACATTTTTCACGAGCATTTAGGTTCTCCATTGTCCTTCCGTTATCTTGGAGACATACGTGTGCGTAACAGATATTATCAAGATACGATTGTTCGCTCTGTGTCTTCCTGTGTTCCTATCGGGATAAAAAGAAAAAAAAAAAAAAAAAACACAAACCAATGTTTCTTGTTTAAATCGAAAACCGAAAGAGTTTTTGTTTCAAACACGATACATGTAACTTCTGTTACATTTTTTTCTACAAAAATTGTATGTATTTATACTGAAGTTTCTTCTTCGACGAACGTTTGAATAAAAAAAAAATAAAAAAAAATAAAAAAACAAACAAACAAACAAAAATCGTTCAAATAAATGTGAAAACATGTAAAAGCCAAATATTTGAAGATATAAGATTATATAAGTAGTTAAGAAACAATTACGTGAACTTGTAATTTTAAGATGACGCATCACAAATTTGTGGGCGCGTTCGTAATTATTGTCGAGAATGCCACTAACAAAAAAAGTGAAAAAAGATATCCTTAAAATATTGTGATGCTTTATTGTTATTGACATAAAAATCTTCGTGTATAAGAATAACAGAATAGAGAGGATACAAAGGCTGTGCAAAAGCTATATTCGAAATACAATACCTACACACAAGAATGCTACAGGGAATTTTTTATGGATGAAATCCATTATTGTATTTATCCTTCGCATACACGCATGTTCAATATATAAATCGCCCTAGAAAATCTTGCTATCGAATTGAGTTGTTGAGCAAAAACAAATATAAGCACTCGTCAAAGAGATAATAAATTAATTAATTAAAAAAAAACACGCGAAATATCCCTGGACACTCTTTAAAGGCCATTTTTTTGGACCAGCTTGAAATAATATATATATATATATATATATATATAAATATATAAAATAAAAATTGAAAGTTCTTATATTTATTACATTTGCAACAGCTTATCAAACTGTGTGCTCCGAAATTTTGTTAATAAATTTTGAAATTGTGTACATTTTTTTTATTGATCGCATGAATATTATTTCCCCTTTTTTCAGGTAGTGTCTTTGAGTGAAAACGGTAAAAAAAATGTATTTCCTTCAAATAATGCAATTTTACAACGTGTATAGAGCAATTATTACAACGTTAAATATTCGAAGCTAATAGTGCAAATTTTTCTGTTATAGTAATTGAAAAATATACGCTTGTGTCGACGTTTTTCTCGTCGTGTGTAAAATTTGAAATCAATTTTTCAAATTGTTTTCGATCAACAATTGGCGACAAAGATACAGACTTTATTAAGTATAACGATATATATACATATGAAAGGGGGAAATTTTATCTTCATTGTATCCACAGTGACAGTGTTTTTATCATACTTTATCAGAAGAAAAATGCTCATTTTTTTTATTGACAGAATTACATCTTTTATGCGCCGCACACACACGTTGCACATTCGCAAATATCGCGTTTTCATGAGCACCACGTGACGGAGAGACTTGCGTTCCGATATTCGCTTCGTCAGTATTGAAAAAAACTATAGCACATGTGACGTGAATGATAGATCTTTGATAGCGAATAGCATTCGAAACACGCAACCAGAGACAATTGGTCGCGTTGCGCGGTTCCGAAAATTGTCGACGCTATACGCGCAAAACACGGGACGGAACGGGACGGGAAATTCGGGGCAGAGCAGCATGTGATACTGGCTTCATCTCGTATGTACGTAACGTATTATATAGATACAATACGAGGCTGCGAAAATGGCGGACGAACAGGTGAGTCGCCGATCAAAATAACATGCGTATCTCGCTGCGGCGCGACGCTGTTATGTTGCCGGACGCGGTGCGGCTTGTGCGACGAAGGAAACACGCTCAAGACGAAATCCGTCGCGGATTTCGCGTGTGCTGACAATTCGGACGTGCGTGCGTGCGTGCGTGCGTGCGTCGTGCGTGCATGCGTGCGTGTGTTCGTGTGTGCGCGCGTGCGAGCGGAACGTACAGCGCGCGTATTTCTCAAAGTACGCCGCTCTTTCCCAAAGGGAGAGCTGTTACACATCACCCACCACCACTGGGGATTTGTTGCCGAGCACCCGTGGGGGTGGTGTTTTGGCGAATGCATTTCCTTCGCACGTCGCGCACGCCGACAACAAGAAACATTTGTACGCGGAACGTACGCGGCGGAATCGCGTTCGCCGATCGCGCTGCCGCGTTTCCGAATCGTCGTGCTGCTGTGCTGGCTGGGTATCGTTCCGTTTGTGTTATTCCGCCGTTGCCACCGCCGCCGCCGCCGCCGCTGCCGCTGCCGCTTGTCAAAGGCGGTTTCCCTGTGATGCGGATGTAACCGTGTTCCGATTCGGCTGGAATTTCAACGACCGGCACCAAATCATCTGATTCGCGGTGCAGTGAACGTGATTGCGAATCGCTGAGATCGCGCGTATCGCCCGCTTTTCTCTCTATATCCTGTAACAGCGTCACGTGAAAACTCTCCCCCGTGTTGTTGTGTGCTGCTGAAAGTATACAACTTACGGCGATTCTGCGATGTAAACTGTCGCCGTTATTATTTACAACCTTTGCGTATATCGTACTAACCGTGTATAACCTGTCGCGAATTGTTTTACCGTGCGCGGCCGTTGATACAAAAAATTTTTGCGTGTCAGTTGTCGGAGATTTATCTGTGAAATCTCTAACGTGAATATTTTTGTGCAACTGGTCGGCATAATTGATTGCGACGTGCGTCCATCTCTCGCAAGACAAAGATCTCGATATTTCGTTCAGTCTCTGTCTTAATTGTTGTACAACAAAGCGTGCAAACAACAACAACAACATACATTGTATAATTTTAATTACTTTTAAACACACAAATGTGTCGATTCTAAATTACACATTTTTATTGTAATTTATTTTCTATACACATGTTTTTCTTACATCATTTTGTTTTTTTTTAGAGATTACTAACATTTTTTTTTTGGCAGTATTTTTTGTTCAACTAACTGAGTTTTGTTTCGTAAAAAAAAGACAATCCATTTGTGTTTACTTTGTAGTTTGAAACGTTTTTGTGTAAGTGATGTTAATAAAGCATCTCATTCAAAATTTGTACTTCCGAAAGAGTCAAAACCAGAAACCAGTGCTCGGACTTGTTGTTTTTGTTAGAATTATCGAAATAAGTTTACAGCTTCAGATTGTGACGCTTTTTGTAAGACACACACAAAGATATGTAATTTGTATTGTAAAATTTGTAAAAAAATGCTTGAGACAGTAACAGCAAGTTTATCAATAAAGATTTGAGAAGCACCATAAAAGTGAAGAGAAAAACATTTGTTGTAAAATTTTTAGACTTGTCGTACCTAAATGGAACTACTAAGGAACAACTTTAAACAGTGTCATTAAGAATGGATCATATACAGGAAGTACGGCAGCTGGAATTGCTATGCAAGCAATTGTATGAGTCGCAAGATTCAGCGCATCGTGCGGAAGCGGAAAAGGCTCTTGTCGCCTTTCAAAATGCACCGGATACGCTTACGAAGTGCCAGCTCCTACTGGACCGTGGGGATTCCGCTTATGCTCAATTATTGGCCGCCACCACTTTGACGAAATTGGTATCACGCTCGGCACAGGGACAACTCACAACAACACTCAGTTTGCAACAGAGGCTTGATATACGTGAGCAAACATATTTATTTTTCTAATTTTATATATATTATACGAACAGAATAACGAAGAGTATTAATGTTTTTCAAATTTCAAAAAAAAAAAAAAAAAGATTATTTTATTTGTTGTAAATGTATGTTGCAGGAAATTATGTACTCAACTACTTAGCAACACAACCAAAGTTACCAAATTTTGTGATACAGGCTTTGGTTACACTTTTTGCTAGGATATCAAAGCTTGGGTGGTTTGATGCTGATAAAGAGGAATATGTTTTCAGAAATGTAGTCACTGATGTAGCAAAGTTTCTTCAGGTATAGTTGGTTCAGAAATGTTTTGCTTTTCTATATATATATATATATGTATATATGTACAAGCTATGCTCTATGTTGATGATTAAATACTTTATTAACAAAAGGGATCAGTGGAGCATTGCATGATTGGAGTGCAGCTGTTATCTCAGTTGACATGTGAAATGAATCAAATATCCGAAGCCGATGCAAATAGATCTCTGACAAAACATAGAAGAATAGCAAGTAGTTTTAGAGACACACAACTATTTGAAATATTTAGGTTATCGTGTACTTTACTGAGTACGGCCCGTGAAAACTGCAAAAGTTTGAACTTTAATGATGAAGCGCAGGTATAATATAAATTTATATTTAAGTAACGTGCAACAACTGTTGCTGCATAAAAAATTATATATTTATATACTCATGTGTTTTTGTTTTTCTCAGCATGGTTTAATAAGACAACTATTGAAGCTTGCACAAAACTGTCTAACATTTGACTTTATTGGAACGTCAACCGACGAAAGCTCGGACGATCTTAACACAGTACAAATACCAACAAGTTGGAGACCTGCTTTTTTGGACTTTACTTCCTTGAAATTGTTCTTCGATCTGTATCACAGTCTGCCGAATACGTTATCATGTTTAGCACTTTCGTGTTTGGTTCAAATTGCATCAGTACGGCGAAGTTTGTTTTCTAATACCGAACGAGCGAAATTCCTAACGCATTTAGTCAACGGTATTAAGCATATACTTCAAAATCCTCAAGGTCTGAGTGATCCGGGAAATTACCACGAGTTTTGTAGACTACTGTCTCGATTGAAAAGCAATTTTCAACTCGGCGAGTTGGTCCTGGTAGAGGATTATCCAGAAGCAATACAACTGATTGCGAAATTTACTGTACAAAGTTTGCAGATGTGGCAATTCGCGCCAAATAGCTTGCACTACCTTTTGACTCTTTGGCAGAGGATGGTCTCTTCAATGCCTTATGTCAAAGCGGGTGATCCACATTTATTGAACACTTATACACCGGAAGTTACGAACGCATATATCACATCGAGGCTTGAATCGGTAGCAGTGGTGGTCAGAGAACGCCTAGAAGATCCGTTGGATGATCTGGGAGTAGTTCATCATCAATTAGAACAAATTTCGGTTATCGGTAGATGCGAGTATCAGAAAACCTGCGCTCTGTTGGTCCAATTGTTCGATCAAGCTGCAAGGACGTACCAAGAATTAATGGCGCAAACGGTATCGCCGTCTCAACAAATCGATATTGCGATCCAGGAAGGTCAACTTACGTGGCTGGTGTATATTATAGGTAGATGAAAAAAAAAAAAAATACATATGTATATGTACAATTTAATACTTTTTGTATCGTAAATTGATTTAAAAAAAAAAAAAATCAATGTAATTGTTTTCTTATCTCTTTTTAAGGAGCCTTATTTTTTTTAGGTGGTGTTATTGGCGGAAGAGTTGCGTTTAATAGTAATGAAGAATTCGATGCTATGGACGGAGAATTAGTTTGCAGAGTTTTACAACTGATGAATTTGACAGATTCGAGACTCGCGCAAGGTGGCTGTGAAAAACTTGAATTAGCAATGTTGAGTTTTTTCGAACAATTCCGTAAGATATACGTGGGAGATCAAGTTCAAAAGAATTCAAAAGTATACAGGAGATTATCAGATGTATTGGGTCTTAACGATGAAGCTATGGTACTCAGCATTTTTATTCGAAAAATGTAAGTAAAACATCGGGTAGCGATTTATAAACGGCGGGAGAGGAAAGAGGAAATCGAATACGTTCTGATTTAATGCTGTGCTTTACAGAATAACAAACTTGAAATATTGGGGTAGGAGCGAACAAATCATTTCCAAGACTTTACAACTTCTGAATGATTTATCCGTGGGTTATAGCTGTGTTCGTAAACTTGTCAAATTAGAAGAAGTACAATTTATGCTCAACAATCATACGGTACACACACACACGCACACATATCGTAATCTAATCTGAGTTATTAAAGTTCTCAAATGTAAATTATAAACAACGCTTAGATGTATCATAAAAATTAATGTGCGCAATCTTTTGTACCGACAGCGAGAACACTTTCCATTTTTGGGTAATAACGTTGCTGTGACAGAAATGCGTTGCAGATCGATGTTTTACACATCTCTTGGTAGATTACTGATGGTAGATTTAGGCGAAGACGAAGATAGATTCCATACTTTTATGTTACCTCTGACAGGTATGAAAAAAAAAAAAAAAATGTATAAATGTCGACAAGTCAATTCTTTTTACGAAAAATGATGCGATGCGACGAATCATTTTGTTTCTTATGTGATATTAGGTGCACTGGAAAGCCTTGGTCAATTAATGGGTGCAGCGGATACTCCTTTATTTGCGGCCGAAGAAGCAAAGAAAGCGTTAATTGGCTTAGCGCGAGATCTTCGAGGGTTAGCTTACGCATTCAATACCAAAACATCCTATATGATGCTTTTCGATTGGATGTACGTACGCATAAGAGATATATATATATATATACATATACGTGCAAATATGTTTTGCCAATTTTATTTACGTGTCTTAAGTTATATCGGTTTTCTCTCAACTTTTTCTTTGCTATTATTTAGATATCCAAATTACACACCGATTTTGTTACACGCTGTTGAACTATGGCATCACGAACCACAAGTGACAACGCCCGTCCTGAAGCTGTTTGCTGAGTTAGTACAAAACAGGAGTCAACGATTGCAATTCGACGCGTCGTCTCCTAATGGGATCCTATTGTTTCGCGAGGCCAGCAAAATAATTTGCAGCTACGGCAATCACATATTGAATGTTGAAGTACCCAAGGATCAGATTTATCCTTTGAAACTCAAGGGAATAAGCATATGCTTTAGTATGTTAAAAGCAGCTTTATGCGGAAGTTACGTGAATTTTGGAGTATTTAGGCTATATGGTGACGAGGCATTAGACAATGCTCTCAATACGTTTGTCAAATTGCTCCTTAGTATTCCACAAAGTGATCTTCTGGTAAGTATTAAAATATTAATTGTTCGTCTTAATTTATCAGTTGAAATCAGAATAATGTTGAAAGGACTCCACAGAGAGGGGTTTTTATCTATTATTGATTGAAAGCATGGTTATAGAAATGAAATATTAAGATAAAACTTGGCGACGTATGTTCGAGAACGAGATTGCGGGGTTATGTACGATGAGTGCGGGTAATGTAATTAACTGGGTAATACGACTAACTTGGCCAACTCGGTCCTAAGTTTGGATCACATCACCTTCAATCTGGTAATATTCTCGCGCCTGTCAAGTTTCATCTTAATATTTCGTTTTTGTCTATGCTAAATTTTCACGGACACCAAACTCCATAAGAAAACTGCGGGGTTGTTTATACGTAATGATAAAATACAGTTTTATAATATTATGGTTTTTTTTACATATTTTTATATGTTTACTTCTACATATATCCGTTTCTTTTAGCATTACCCGAAGCTGTCCGCAACTTATTACTTATTGCTTGAATGCCTGGCGCAAGACCACATGGTCTTTTTATCCACCTTGGAGCCCAGAGTCTTTCTCTACATTCTCTCCAGTATAAGCGAAGGCCTTACAGCACTAGGTGCGCAAAAAGACATCTACACAGGTCTGTGCGGCTGATTCTATCCTGCTGCTACTACTCTCGATATCTTCAACGTCCATATTTATTGAGGAAGTTACTTTTAAATCACTACGTTTAAAAGAAAATCACAAAGAAAAGATTTTTCGCATTTTCCTCAGTTACTTGACATTTTTGTGCAAATATAAAAGCGGTTTTCACTTTTTTACTATGTGTTTTTTGAACATTTCTCACATATTTAAGATTTTGATAATTATTGGTTTTTTTTTTTTTTACTTTGGAATTATATTTTAATACTTCTTGCTTTTTGCATTATCGCTTGGAATGTAAATCCGCCTATTAGCCATTGCAAGTTCGAAATGCAGGAAACAAATACGTATATTAAATACTTTATTTTATGCGCATATACTATATACATATATATATGTATATAGATATACGTATAGAAAGAAATTACTGAGATCACTTTTTACAAAATAACATTGCCATATAAAAAGATTGCAATGTGTGAAGCCTGGACGCTAAATACGACAAAAGTGTACTTGTATTCTTTACAATGTATCTTAAGAGTGGTATCAAAATCCATAGTTTTCTTTAAAAAAAAAAAAAAGAAAAGAAAAAAGCAAAGTGGGTACAGCACAGATAATCAGCCGCACAGCTGACATATTAATTTAATTTAATCCTTCTAATTTACTAATCGTAGTTGCATGTTTTATATTACAACAATCTTAATATGCTCCACTTTATTTATTTTTTTTTTTTGTTTTTGTTTTGGCATGTTATTTTAAAAGTTAACGCGCGTTTACAGCAGAACTCAGAGTTTAGTTCTGTTGAAAAGCGGTCAATGTACAAATTGTACACGAATTTACACAAGTTTATAAAATGTTAGGTAAAGAAAAGGTAAGGGTTTTTTTAGTGAATCTTTTCCAATAGAACTAGTGCCATTTTTTCTTTGCACGTAGTTTGCAAAGTATGATATTAGTGTACATATTCTTTTTAATGTAACGAAGATAAAAATATAAACTGTTTTGATTACAGATACTATGGTGTGTACTGGTTGTTGCGCAACACTTGATCACATTGTGACGTACTTGTTTAAACAACTTTATCAAAAAGGTGAAGTTTTCATAGTATCGTGTAACGTGTTCTTTTAACATGTAATAAATACAAAAAAGATTATGACAAAAGAAATACTGATCTATTTCTATTTTACGTTCAGGATATCCAGGAAGAAAGAATGCGGTTGTTCCTGGAGGAGGAGAATTATTTTTACAAGTTTTGAAGCAGCATCCTGAAATACTTCAACAAATATTGAGTACCGTTTTAAATGTGATAATGTTTGAGGACTGTAGGAATCAATGGAGCATGTCTCGTCCTTTATTAGGTCTTATATTGTTGAATGAAGAAGTGAGTTAATAATACTTTTATTTTATACATATAAAATACTAAACTAAAAGTCAAAACTTAAAGTATTTTTAACAGTGTCTATTCGTCCTAATGCTAATGTTTCTTTTTATTAAATCTCTTTTTTTTTTGTTGCAGTATTTTAATCAATTAAGGGAAAATATTATTAGAAGTCAACCAGTTGACAAGCAAGGAGCGATGGCACAATGGTTCGAAAATCTAATGAACGGGATTGAGAGAAATTTACTTACAAAAAATAGAGATAGGTAAGAAAGTAAGAAGGAAAAAAAGAGAGAAGAGAGAGAATAAAATGTATATAGAGATGTGTTAACAATATCTTAAAAGAGTAATCAAATAAAAAACCAAATGCAAGTCTATAAAGAGCAGTCAGCGTTGGCGAAAGATAAATGTTATTCAAATATTATGTTACGTAAATAACCATATTTCGTTTTTTTTTTTGCAGGTTCACACAAAATTTGTCGATGTTTAGAAGAGACATAAATGACGCCCTAAAAGGACCTGTATCAAATTCAGTCAATGATATGATGACTACGTAGTGATACTGCTCTCTCTAAATTAGACTCTTCTAGGTTCTTGCCTGCCAAATGCTTGAATGTGTGTGCGAGTGATGAAACTCTATAAAAATTAACAGTGAAATTGAAATTATGGCTTTAGACGAGTATAAAGATAATAAATTAAATATCGTTTTATATGAAGTATCATCGTTTGGCTTCCTATTCTTCTCAAATATCAGCTGCTCTTTTGGCTGTTTAGTTAGGTCTGTCAAGAAAGAATTAAAGCGCTGTTGCACACATTAGTTCTCGTAAAATGAAAATATTTGTATATTATTTTTTAAACAGGTTACATAAAGATTGTTTTTTTTTTTTTTTATCCTTATTCCAAACATAATTGACATAATAGGCAGATCTCTTTTTATTACCTTTATACTCTTGAATTTTCTTAGCTCTGTACAATGAGATTTTAACATTTTTACGCATATATATATATATATAGTAAGAATCCAAAAGAAATCTGGCGCTTATTAAACGCATACAACGAATATACATTCAAGTTTCTCAGAACAAAGTGTCTATATTTTTTTATTAGCAACGTTCAGTAGAAGTCGGCACTTAGTAAACGCTTAGTGATTATTATTTATTATGATAAAAGTATTTGGAAGTACTCTTTAAATCTATTGAACAATAGAAAAACCATTATTTAGGGTCTGTGTTCGCAATACTAGAAATCGATCTGAGATCTCGAACGGGGAGAGAATTTAACCAATCAACGTCAATCAATTGAATTGTTCGATAGACATTGGTCAGTCATCAGACCTCACGCTTCCAACTGAGAAAAAACTAGATGATTTGTATAATCACAAAGAGAGTTCTTACTTTGAAAGACGTTCCACCACCGACTCAATTTGATTATCCTAAACGAATCTTATTGTGTGTCCTAAAAGTATGTTAAAAATTCACACATAATGAACACTAAGTATTTTATTAAGAGCTGAACGCAGCTATTGATACAATATATTCAAATTTTTTTTTATAATTACAGAAATTTATACGAATTGCTAGAAATTCAAGAATTGATCATTTTTTTATTTTTGAGTTGTGTATCGGTGTGTATGTATATTTATATGTACATATTACATGCATATATGAATATATGTTTATATGTACATATATTTATATGTATATATTTACAATTATTCCTTATGTAAATCGTTGCTTTGTATTCAAAATGATGTAAGCACATTATTTTATATTTATTGTATTGTATTCATTTGTAGGCACAAAAACATTTGTGCAAATATATACAAATTACTTTCAGATTTTAGAGAATTTTATACACGGCATAATGCAGAGGCAATAAATTGTTCCGCGAGAATAGATTTCTTAGATGTGTTGTTTTAGAAACAGAGTGGTTTAAAAACAACACATCAGAAATCTTTTCTCTTCGCGGAAAGATATGTATTGTCGGCTTCGACACATATGTACCATAACAATTTCAATTTAATCTCTTCTATCGTACTATTTTACCAATGGAGAATAAATAAATAAAATTTATATAAATAATTTACATATATATATATACACATATATATATATATATATATATATATGTATAACTTTTAAGGAAAGTGTAAACTTGTTCTCTCACAAAATGATCAAGTTTTTGTTTTACATGTTGTCATTTTATAAAAGCGTTCGATTTATAATGTACACTCGTCAGAATAGGAAGCCAATAACGTTTTCTCTTTCTTACATAAACATTTTTTCCTAGTTGGTTTTTTGTTTCCCATGAGATGCGGACACATGTTTGCAAAAATTATTTCTCGAAAACTAAAACTATACTGTACAAAACGTATAACTTAGAAAAAGGCCACCTGTAACGTTACAGAGATTTTTTTATATTGACACAGCAGGCGAAGAGAGAAAGAGAGAAATAAAGAGCAAAGAGAGTCACAAATTGCGCGACATACACTCATTGACTCATTACTTAAAAATTTATTTGTGTAAAGAGCTGCTATAAAACTATATCAGTGAGTTATGAATAATAATGTGAATGATGTACATGAGGATATATATCATTAAAATTTATCATATACAAAGACTCATCCTTAAAAAATATACAATTTTTATTATATTAGATTATGTTATATATTATTGACATTACTTTTAATCGAGAAGCGAAGTGATAGAGTGAACGAGATATTATGAATAAAATTCATTAGTTTTACGATATATAGTAGCTTTATAAAAATTGAGAGCAAATTTTTCGCATTCCCCAGCGATTATTTCAACAATGTTTACATCACAAAATAAAATTTCTCCATTTACAAATACTTATTAAATAACAATCGTCGAGTGTTTAAATTTTCATTGAGATAAAAATATATAGATAAATATCAAAATATTTAATATAATTTTTATAACAAAATAGGTGATTCGGATGATTCGAGAAATCAAACTGTTTTCAAGTTATAATACATAATACAAAAAATATTGCGCGCAATGAAAAGCATCTTTAATCATCCTCTTTTGTTATAAATACCGTTGCAAAATTTATTTTGCCCGAGAAGAAGAAAAAGAAAAAAAAACATTCCTTTATATTTTTAATGTGCATATATAATCCATTTTTATATAACATTTTGTAAATTAATTTTATATAGGTTTTGTAAAAGATTTACGTGTCCGTTTGCAATTACTCCCGCTATAATCCACCGATGCTTTTAAAACTTTTTAAACACAAAGGTACAATAGTGATATGTTTAACTGTGACGTTCCCGAGATCCGTATTCTATATATAACGTGAGATTTATTTTAATGCTCTATAATTGCTAAACAAAAAAATCAAACAAATACGAGAGACAAAACAATTCAATCTATCGTAATGGATTATGTAATGAAGTTACATATATATTTTCTATAATTTTGTGGATTTTTAGGCAAAACTGACGCTCGCAGTTTCGGAATTGGTGTAGTCGAATTACCCTTTCACCGCTTATGTGTAGGTAGATGATAATACCATTACTTCTTTTAGCGAGTTGTTATATTACACTGTGATAGCGACGCTCTAAGACTACGTTATTGTATTGTCTGTCGCTCGATCTTGTTCGGCGCAAACAGAAGAGGAGAACAGTATGGCATTATATTTATATACATACATACATATATATATATATATATAAAAATAATAATGTACCTGTGAAGTCATGATTTTCCACAACGCGGTGCAATATATCGCGTTGCGACAATCGGATTCCACGATCCTCTCGAGTTGATAATGAAAATTCATGTCTGAAATGGTGCAATCGACGCCCAAATAAAAAAATTTGTTTCGAGCTACTTTTTTCAAAATTAACATAAACTTATAAATTGAGCAGTACCAAAAGAATATTCAGCGTTTGCGTTGCGTTGCGGCAACTTACATTAGAACCCAAGGAGCTTATTCTTCTCGCGAAGGCGACACTAAATCGCACATGGAGGCTACGCGAGATCCTTTCGATCTCTTGTTCAGAGAGAACGAAAGAGAGAATCCGTATAAAAAGAAAACAAACTAACCCTCAGCACAATCTCAGTTTCTGCGTAACATTCTTTTGCGATGGACGTTGAATTTTTTATACAAAAAAAAAAACACGTAAAATCTAAGATAAAATCTATATATTATATCGGACGTGCAAAAGTTTCCTATACATGTAAAAGTACACACAAAAAAAAGCAGCATCATCGAGATTATACGCAAACCTATACGGGTCGATATTCAGCGCTGTATCCTGACCAGATATAATATTGTAAATACACGTTAAACATAATGTACAGAAGTTATTCCTTTGATTCTTAAATTTTACCTTTTTATTAATTTCTTCATGTAATATTTAGACACAATTTTTTTATATAATATGATTTATATTAATATAACAAAGCGCACGAGAGAGTGAAACATAAAAATTACCGTAGCGACCGCAAGAAGAACCCAAATATTTATTCATGAAAAGAAAGAGTATAAATATTTTCGACGATTATATACTTTGAATATAATAATTTTGTTCCTCTTACATATATTAATAAAAAGACTAAAACTTATATATGTACACATTTTAATATACATGGTAATACACACATGACAAGAGTTTTTGTCATGCGTTGGGTATTCAAGAAGAAACTCGAAATATGTGGAATTCACAAATTTATAAAATCCTCCAGCTACATTTGTTTTTTTTTTTTTTGTTTTTTTTTTTCATATATAGATTTTTTTTTATTATCTCACGGAAGGATAGAACGAGTAATGGTACATATGGTAAATAGCAACAATGTCATAAACTATATATGGTCATTATGTGCAAAAACATAATATTAGATCGTATCTTTATAAAGCGTGCAGAGACGTTTTCTTGTAATACCTGATGTGTGTCACTAATAGGTTTGTGGTCAAGTTTTGGCCATTAATTGATGTACCGCCAACTGCACGCGCAGTTCCACGCAAGCGTCCTTCTCCTCGATAATACTGCGTATTAACGTTGTCATCTTTTTCTGTAAAAGAGGAAAGTACGTTTCTTATCAAGAGAGAAATTACAGAGATGGAAGAAAGTTGTGGATTTTATAAAAAACGTGAGAATGTACTTCGAGCAATTGATTTTCTTTGACTAGCTGTATCATAGCCGTCATTTCGGCCTCGTTGGGAGAGTGGATTATCCTTTCCGCGGGCTTTTTCTTCTCTGTGCCGCGTTCCGTTAGCATTTCCATCAGTCGTTTGATCTCGTTCCTCTCCTGAGTGATACGAGACTTCAATAACGCTTGCATATTCAACAATTCTTCGTGAATCAACCTTTCTCGCAACTTGTCCACGATATTTTCTTCTTCGGGATCTGTAAATTCACAATGAGATACCATTTGTGTGTGTGTGTGTGTGTGTGTGTGTTCTAAATGTTATAAAAATAATATGTCTATAATTCAATTCTCACATACCGCTTGTCTTATCGTTCGGTGTTACATTTTCAGGTTCTTTCGATTGTGGTGTGACCACAGCAGTCTCTGCAGAATCAACCGTGTCTTTTTCTTGAATATTTAAATTTTGTTCATTTTGTGTAGAGTTCGTACTGGTTCCCAGCGAGCATGAACATTTCTCTTTCGCCTCTTCCACGCCCTGTAATTTACTGTCTTTTCTCGTTAATGTTGAACTAGTCGACGATTGAACATCGGATTTTACTGGCCCAGAAGAATCTTCGTCAACAGTTTTTGACTTCTGCGAAATAGATTCTATCGGAACATTATCAGCTGATTTAATTTCCTCATCCATACTCTTTTGCGTGGCACCTTCCAATTTTTGAACGGTCTTATATTTTCTCTGCAAGCAGTTTATTTATTATGTCTTTCCTTTTTTTTCTCTTTCGCGCGCGCTACACGCACACGCACACACACACACTCTGTTTCACGCACATATTAAATTCTATAAAAATGTCATTGTACATACTTTTAATTGCGTTATCATTCGTTGTACTTCCCACAGTTGTTCCTCGCGAGATTTTGTTACAAAACCAGCGTTCATCTGCATGTGAATCTGAGAGAGTAACGATTCTTGCTTCGATAATTCCGCAGCTATTCCCTCTACAGAATCCGGTAAGTTCGTGCTACCGGATGACAACGGTGGCACGTACTTTGTCAATTGTACATCTGGGAACAAGGCCTTGCAATGGAACAACAAAGCCAGTAAAAGTCTATGACTCATCTGTAGTACGGGGCTTAATGTCATCGAGATTGTTTGCGCGTTCATTTTTGTTGTTTTCTCCTAAATAAAGTGACATACAAAAAACTTAATAGTCAAATCATCGAATCAACAATTGATTAAAGTTATAACAACGTATCCAGGCAGTTAAAACATTTTGTTCTGATCTCTATTACGTTTTCTATAATTTCGAGTAATATGTCGAACATACTCGCGCTGTGACATGATCCAAATGCAGCGTGACCCACGCGAGTAGAATTCTGTTGCATTCCGGCAATTGTTGCGTTAGCTGTGCCAACTGAGCTTCCCTTTGAGCGACATCTTTGGTGGACGCGGCCTGTTCAAAGCGCGATATCATTTCGCTGCTCTCCAGCACGGGTTCTGGCAGTTCTCTATATCACCAGAATGCACCACGTTTTTCGTTTTTTGATCTTAAAACACATAATGAGAGAAGATAGAACTTTTCGAATACAAACCTAAGAAAGAGTATCAATAAGCTCGTAGCTACCGTGGGTTCGAACTCAGATATGTTCACCGACTCCCGGTGATTGTACAGCTTCTTCAAGTGCTGAACCTTCGACTTCACCCCGGGAACCTTGTACAGACCGTCCACGTTCATTCCGTGTTCCTCCACATAATCGATGCAGTCCCGCGCTACCAGAGGTAATTTCACTCCATCGTGGCAACAGCTTCTTTCAACCGCTAAATAAAGACTCACACCGAAAATTGGCTGCTCCTCTGAAAAACACAGAAAAATTAGCATTGAAGGATATTCAATAAATTAAATCAGATAGTTTAGGGTCAATTTGTAGTAATTAATCTTACAAATTTTTTGAACTTACCGCCAATATCCAAACCTTCGTTTCCACTGTGCTTTCCCTTTTTACGATCTTTTAATTTTTGCTTGGACTTGTCTTTTTCTTTATCTTTTCTTTTTTCCTTCTCTATATCCTTCTCGTCTTTATCCCTCTTTTTTTTATCCTTTTCTTTCTCCACATCTTTCTCCTTCGCTTCTTTCTCCCGTGATTTCTCTCGCTTTTCTTTCTTAGATGGAAATTTAAAGGCTTTGGTCTTTTTTGATTTTGAAGGACTTCTATGAAATAATTTTCACATTAAACACACATCTCTTTGTGTAAACTATTTCAAACTGTAAAATTATCTGAAGCAATTTGCAATATACATCAGTATCTTGTACACATATGACAATAACTCTAATAATAAAGTAAACATTTACTGCACAAATTAGAATTAATAAAAGCAAAAGTATGAAATCATAAACACTTGAAACAAGCTTGCCGTCCATTTACAATTCAAGATATCAATCTGTTATTCAACCATAAGAAATGTATTATACAAGAGAACACAAAACGAGACCAAGACACATAGCCATTGATTTTAATTATCAAGCTCTTGTTAAATGCACAACTTTGCTCACATGTCTCTATTAAAAAGATCTGTTAATTACATTGTCGCATTAGCGAGTATTATTTTTATTTTTTATGCCATATAAACGATTTGAAAACAAATAAAATTGACAAAAATCTTTGCTCCAGATATTACTTGGTTTCTTGATCTTCATCTGGCGAACTTTCACCCTCTAGAGTCGCATAGCCTCTGTCCTTTCTATCCTTCTTATCTTTGCGCTTTCCACCCAGAAGCTCCTTTTTGGAATGTTTGTCGTGACTGCCATCGTCACTAACTGTAACACGAAACATTGTTAATAATATTATTTCATTCTTCGCACAAATATTTCTAATGTTTAAAAAGCGGAAAGAAACTTGAATATGTAACATTTTTCGCGAAACTACGTTTCGGCAAATGCATAACCTTTTTTTCGCGACGTCTACCGTTCGAGACGCAAATGTGATAAAAACCGACGACAAATACGTACAATCGCTCTCGTTGCTTTTCCTCGCCGATTCGGACGCGTATAAACCAGGAAATTCTTTCTCAACATCAGGACTTTCGAAGTCCATACTTTCTCAACTGACGTATTATATTTGAGAGATACTTGTCTATCCTTACATCCATAACATAATAAATATAAAGTAAGGTCCACTTTGCCCTGCAGATGCTTAAAAATATCATTCTATCTTTGTTTACTTATAACAAAGAACAAGGACAGATTGAGGCTTCCAAGTATTTGTAGCGCAACTTCGATCCTATCCATCAAGGGCAGTTCATTCTCAAAGAGATGCGCAGTAACAACTAACTTTTATCCGAAACTTATGTAAACCACGAATGACGGTAACAATATCGCTTCTTGGCCAAGATGTTTCTTTTCTCAAATGATTTCTTCAATTAAATTTATTAGACCGAAATTCATAGATCTTGTCCTATTTATTAAAAAAGGCATGTGTACCAAGTAGAAAAACAACACGTGAAAATAACGTGACTGTAATGTATATTATATATAACATTAAATAATACATATTATACAAATAATTTATTATATGTATAATATGTAATTTATTATATATTTATAATATTATACTTATATTGTATTATATGTATTATATACACACACACACACATACTACAGAGTAATGTCACTGACCTCAACCGCGCGGTCTTGGCGGGGCACTGACCTCGGCCGCGCGGCCTTGGCGGGGTCATTGACCTCGGCCGCGCGGCCTTGACGGGGTCATTGACCTCGGCCGCGCGGCCTTGGCGGGGCANTGACCTCGGTCGCGCGGCCTTGGTGGGGGGAGGTCACTGACCGCGGGCGCGCGGCCTTGGTGGGGGGCGGGTCACTGACCTCGGTCGCGCGACCGCAGCAGGGTCAATGACCTCGGTCGCGCGACTGCGGTAGAGTCACTGACCTCGGCCGCGCGACCGCGGCGGTGTTACTGACTTCGGTCACGTGATTACGGTATATATATATATATATATATACACATATATGCGTATGTGTGTGTATTATATATAGATATAGAATATATTACATATAATATATATATAATATTCTCTTGTGGTCATCAACACGAACAATTGTATCGATAACACTAATTTTCGATAACGTTCTAATAAACCTTCGAGCGCTCATTGCATAACTTTGTTATCTTCTGTGCATATGCCATAAGTGCGAATACACGTTATCCATGTACGATATATTTCGTAATTGCCGATGTGGGTCACACGAGACTGGTTTCCTTCGGATTTTACATTACACGCCTTTGGTAATTTCGCAGCATTTCATTCATTGCCTCATCTTGATCGATTATTTATCTAACTTTCTTTTTTTTACACAAATAACAATGAGAGTTTCATCTCTTCTTTTGCACGTCAATTGTCATAATAAATAAATAGATCACGACTCGCCAATCAATATTATATATAGCTTCGAGTTTTACCCTTAAGTTGAATTTCACATTTTTACATTTTTTTTTCTACTCATCGTGCAAAGCGAATTAGAAGAATGTTGTTACAAAATTTTTACTTTGCTTGTAAAATAAAGTAAATGTTGCTTTTTCGTTTAAATACACATTTAGAAATAAGAGCAACACGCAGAAAGAATTAATTAAATTGATTAAATATATGCAGAGTATATATGAAGATCTGCACAAGAGTTAAAGATAGTATAAATTGTCAAAAATTGATTCGTTGTGTAATAAAATATATTTTTAAAACGTTTTGATCGTGTTTTATTCAATTCTTTTCAATTACCACAAAGAAAATGCAATAAAACAAACAAAACACGGACACACACGTACGTTCAATTTCAACCAAAAAATTGTTTCGCTGGCAAACAGTTACAGATTCAGGTACTAACGTGTAAAGTTCTTTCGCACGTCGTTTATATGTAATTTAATTTACATAGACGATAACAGAAAAGTCTTCAAAAAAATGTCACACAAAGTTGATGTTTCACTCGCTCTAGTATTGACGCTCCAAAAACAATTTAACATCTCAAACTGTGCGAATTGTGTTACACATACACACACTTATGTAACCATTTTATTTAATTTTTCACCTATCATGTCGCGTTTACATAGCGATAACCGAAAGCGGATTTCTATACATTTCCACACATTTTATTGTTATTGCAAAACAAATATTGACAAATCAAACGCAAAGACCCAATTATCCGTAATCGCGTGGGATTGCACATCTTATTTTTAAAGGAACACGAAAAGTGGTCGACCTTCGATGTTTTTTTTTTGCTCAATTTCGTCCGAGTAACACCGATTACACCGCGGAGATTCAATTTCGATCTCAGTGTTCGAGATGCTTTCGCGGGTTAAGCACGAAGTACGTACACACTTGCAACGGTAAGGTAAAATAAATGAAAGTAACAAAGGAAGAAGATACACGACTGACGCGTTTTATGCAACATTCTTGTTTGAATAATTTTTTTAAACCTTCTGTTTTGAAAAAAAAAGCGCGAGAAAAAGGAGTGGAAGAAAAGCGCGAGAGAATGATGATAGAGTTATAAATAAAAATCTAAGAGTCGACGGTGAGATCTATTTGACGTCAAGGCGAAGTGACGGTAAACTTTGTGTGACGAACTCTTTTATATTGATCGAACTTCATCAGTTTCTTTGTATTCAAACGTGATATTGAGATGCGAGATAAGTGCAATCGTTCGGTGGTATCTTTGTGCTAATACGTGTAACATCGTCGATTGGTATTCGCTTCGCGAAAATTTTTAAATTCTTTGCGTCATGCAGTCATGACCGTAAAACGGATAAGAAAAAAAAAAAGTCCGATGGCTGACGCACAGTTAGCCCTGATATTATTTAAATTTATGATCATGTGCAAGAGCTTCTAAAAGACGCTGCAATCGATTGTTTGTACCAACCGCAACGTTGAGAAAGAAGTGTGTTTATGTGCTCGGTCGCTGTTAATCGACGAGAGATCTTCGCAACAAAGATACGTAATAAAATTGTTCGAAGCTCATTTGTAATACACGAATTTACTTGTAAAATATATATATTTTTTTAAATACGGGTAACCCTTGTATAACGCGGTTTACGAATTGTGATAAAATCGAATCTACCCTTTTTGTTTTTTTCAATCCGATCCGCGCGCTTGTGCGAGTACAACGCGATTTGTGTAACGCGGCATTTCCGTGGAATATCCGCGTTGTATACGAGGGTTGTTGTTAACTCTATATATTTTACAAGTAAATTATTATTATTAAAATATTCGTAAATTATTATTAAAATTATTGATAAAATTGAAACTTCTACCGAAATTTGTGTGACGTAAATCTCTTTGTGGGACGTCAAAAGACGCGATCAAGTGCGCGAAAGATAGTCACATGTAAATAATATATGAAGTTGAACAAGAGATTGCAATCATCACAAATTCTCTATCAGACGCGCATTTGAATTGGTAAGTACGACCTTTCGATCAACATTCGAAGAACATAATTTCAGGAATTCGCGTTTGTGAATACACACACACACACACACACAGAGAAGATTTTAACTTTCTAAAGAGATAAACTTGAAGAAACGTGATTAGTAGGAGATAAAAGATAAGATACATATTCAACGTGGACATATTGTAACATCTCGCGAAGAAGAGAAGATCGATAGACAGATAGCTTTCGTGCAATGCTGAAGTTCGGATTCTGGATAATTTTATTTGTCGGATACGTCGACGGGATTTTGCCGTCGGCCGTTCTCGAGACGATCTATCACTTCTTCTCGGGACTTCCCGTGCCCAACGACCTGGTGCAGCAGGATGCGGATGCGATATCCAGACAATACTCCTTCGTCGTGATCGGCGCCGGCTCGGCGGGATCGGTGCTGGCGAATCGTCTGACGGAGAATCTCGACTGGAACGTCCTGTTGCTGGAGCAGGGCAAGGACGAGATGTTTCTCACGGACGTTCCTTTTGTGGCGTCGCTCATGCACGTCACCGATTACGCCCGCGTGTACAAGAGCGAACCGCGACCGCAGGACGCGAACGGCCGCGGTGGATGCTGCTTGTCGATGATCGACGGTCGCTGCAATATCGTGTCCGGCAAAGCGGTCGGCGGCACGTCCGTAATAAATTTTATGATTTATTCTCGAGGAAACCCGGCTGACTATGACGGCTGGGAAGCGCTCGGAAATCCCGGCTGGAGCTACGAAGATGTGTTACCTTATTTCATCAAGTCCGAGAAATGCAGATTAATCAATAAAAATGTGAAGTATGAGATATTACTATGACAGTAAAGATTTACAATTTTGTTTATTTTATTTCTCGCTCTCTTTAAAGAAAAAATAACTTTTCATTGTGTTTTATGTAAATTTTATATTATTTTATAGTTTATTTCATTAGTTTTATTTGTGTTATATATGTATATATTAATTTAGTTGTTAAATTTATTTATATATGTATTAATATGTAATGATATAAATAGTATACTATGTAATAATATAATATATATATATATATAATAATATATATGTATAAATGTGATGTGATTAAATTAATATATTTAATATATATTAATCTAATTTTTTTAATTTTATTAATTTCATATACATGTACGTACGTATAGAAATTTGGTCAATTTCATCATTTTATTCGATTATTTTTTTTTGTCAGATATCACGGCTACGACGGATACTTGGATGTCACAACTCCTCCTTATGCCACTCCTTTAAGAGAACATTTTCTGAAGGCTGGTCAAGAACTTGGTTACGATGTGATAGATTACAACAGCGACAAATTCGTAGGTTTCTCGACCGTGCAGGCGAATATGCGAAACGGACACAGAGTCAGCGCCAACAAAGCTTTTCTCAGTCCAATTCGTGACAGACCGAATTTCTATCTATCCAAGTTATCGACGGTGACAAAAATTGTTATCAATCCGAAGACAAAGACTGCCGTGGGTGTTGAATTTGTAAAAAATCAAAAAACCTATTTTGTTTCCGCTATCAAAGAAATTATACTTTGCGCAGGTATTTTTATATACGTACATATATTTATGTGTTTATATATATATATAAATATATTTAAATAATTTTACTTTTTAGGTACTTTTAGTTCACCGCAATTGTTGATGCTGTCCGGGATAGGTCCTAAGAATCACTTGGCTTCCTTGGGCATTCGTGTAATCGAAGATCTCCCCGTGGGTTTTAACTTGCAGGATCACGTGAGCATGTCAGCTTTAACATTTCTAGTCAACGAGAGCGTGACCGTGATCGAGCCACGTGACGCTTCGAATCTAGTTAATTACGTTCGATATCTGACAGAAGGAACAGGTCCTTTTACGATACCTGGAGGTGCCGAAGGTCTCGCCTTCATTAATACAAAAACTGTCAGTTCGAGAACGGAGAAGGAAACGTTGATGTCAAAATACGCGCGACGCGCACACACCCGCGAGAACAACAAGCAACGTGGCAAGTTTATTTTATAAAAAAAAAAAAAAAAATTGAGCAATAGATATTAAATTAAAAATAGTTTTGCGAAACAATGCAAAAATTATCTTTTGTAGCTGAAATTGTTCCTAATATAACTTCCATCACGATTAATCGTGATGTATTTAAGAAGAGGACCTTTCGCGCTAACACGCAGAGATTTTCGACGAAGGAAAGTCCTGACATCGAGTTGGTGATGGGCGTGAGTTCGTTAGCCGGCGACATCTCCGGAAGCTATCGCGGTCTGCTGGGATTGTCGCAAGAATTTTACGACCAAGTTTTCGGCGATTATTTAGGATTGGACGCTTTCACGATCGTGCCTGTGCTTCTGCGACCCAAGAGTCGCGGCAGACTCACCTTGAGAAGTTCCGATCCGTTAGATCCGCCGGTTGTGGACCTCAATTACTACGATCACGAGGACGATTTGAACGCGATAGTAAAAGGCATAAAAATGGTGAGAGCGCTCACCGTTTTATTTATAATAGCCACGTATTTTTGATTTTAATTATCATAATAGAAATATTTTTTTCTCCCATTCAATTGCCATTGAACGTGCGTGTTTTTTTTGTTTTTGTTTTCTTTTTGAGTTTTTTTTTTTTACTTTTTTCAATTATTTAAATTATATATAAATTTTAGGCGATCGAGGTAGCTTCGACAAGAGCATTCGAACGTTTCAACGCGACGTTGCTCTCCAAACCGTTTCCGGGATGCGAACGTCTCACTTTCAAGAGCGACGCGTACTGGACTTGTGTCGCTCGTCACGTGTCGACGACTCTGGGTCATTATGCGGGCACGTGTAGAATGGGCACGCGTAAGAATTCGGGCGTGGTGGATCACAGGTTACGGGTGCACGGAATCGGCGGTCTTCGAGTCGTGGACGCCAGTGTGATGCCGACGATAGTCGCCGGTCACACGAACGCGCCGGTGTACATGATGGCCGAGAAGGCCGGCGACATGATCAAGGAAGATTGGAAGGGATTTGCTTCGTGAAACTCGTAGGACAAAAAGAAAGTAATACGTTACGAAAGACAAAATGTGAAATGTGCTACAATAAGAGATCGGATACTATATAAATGCGACACGCGATGAAAATAAACATTGTTTCTTTCGAATTCGGATGAAAGCAATAAAAGAGAAAACACTGGTCTTCTTGTGAACGCACGTATACGCGTGTATACGTACAGATATTTTATAAAACATACATAGAGAAGAATATATGTGTTTCGTTTCTATAAAAACAATACGTACTCCTGTGCGCAATTGTTATACATTGATTTTTATTGTACGGATATTGTGCCTCGTGTATATATACCTCTATATCTTGGTAAACGAGTGATTGTAAGGATGTGTTTATACAGAATCTAACAAATCTGTCTCCTTAAATAAACAAAAAGCGCGAGTCTCTTTGGTTGCTTGTAGCTGCTGATTGCGATATTTTACAATAATAATTTCTGCTTCAAATTCACAAGTGAACAAATCGTAAAATCGTAATTGTCTAACTTGGCGAATTGTAAGAAGCTAAGTTACAGTTTTGTGTAAACTGTAATTCCGCGTATCGGCGTCTTTGTTTTCAAAGATCAGAGTTTCTTACAATTTTGTCTAAAAATTACAACATTTTACAATAATCAAGCGTGATTGTAACAAATATAACAATGCACGAACATCTAGAACTAGATAGAGCGTTACACAGCTACAATTGATAAATTAATTAAAATCGTTCGAAGTAAAAACAAAATATATCTATGAAATAAAAGTTTTGCTCCGCATATAGAAATTTATCATTTTTTACTACACAAGAAATCTCGTGATAAGAATAATAAGAAATATTCCATGCGCTTGCCATCTTGTCGCACCTGTAACAATAAAAAATTTGTAGTTTTTAAAAAAAGTTTTGAATTAATATTATTTCGCATAAAGATTAGGACATTCGTATGATTTGATTAAAAGTTTAAAAATATATTTTACATTTCCGCTTTTTTTTATGATATTTTTATCGATTTTTCTTTATGTGGTTTATATTTATACAATATTTTACCATTATCGCTGAATTGAATGCAGTCTTGCAGCTCTTCCGTCAACGTGTAGCCTTCGGTACAAGTGCAAAAACCTACGAGAACACGTTTAAGTAAAATCACATTGCTTTGACATTATCAGATAATAATTTATCAGATAATAAATTGTTTATGCAAATGTTAAAAAAACAAAAAAAGAAGAGAGAAAGAGTACCGTTTACGCAATCTACTTTCGATTTCAAAGTTAAATTGAAGTCTCTGAAGCTTCTGGTGACGCAATGATGATGAGTATCACAAAGTCCGCCTAATTCTGGAAGAAACAAACAAATTGTTTTTCAATTTTAGATATTGTATATCGAGCTGAACGACGAAATCGCTTTATTTTTAAATTGATACAATGACATCGGATCCGGCAAACGTGCTTTGATCTCACGTTTTTTACGTCAAATTTGAACGTTTAATTCTAAGTTTTTGTATAAAACACAAATAATACTTAACTAATTAATTAATAGTTACTTAATATTAATTAATATGTGTTATTTTGAATTAATTAGAATCAGATTAAGAGATGTAAAAGTTGGACATAAAAAAAATATTCAAGTATATTCACCGACGTCGGCATAGCAACGATAGCCACGTTTGTGCGAACCGGCAGCGCACTCGCACATTTTGTTCGAGCCGCATTGGCTATGCTTCAGGAACAGCTGACACTGCGAGTGCTGCTCGCACTCCTCGCCGATCAGAGAAGCTGACTTCAAACATCGACGACCGTCGTTGGATATCACGGATTTCACATTGCAGTCGCATCTGTTTTTTATACACTTGGAATTTTCGACGACGCACTCGTCGTCGCTTTCACAGATTTCTCCCAATTCTAAAAAAAAAAAAAAAAAAAAAAAGAATTTTATATCACAGATGGAAAATAAAATATTGTGTGTGATAAGAAATTTAATTAATCAATAATATATCGCATTGAGAAATTTGTAATGCAATTTTTTTATACAATTTATTTGCGACCGATGACTTGTAAGCTTTGATCATACAATTTGTTTTTTTTCCACATTACTCACTGGCGCTCGATATACAGCTGGTGTTGTTAGAATTCGCGTGAAGACGCAGTCCGCATTTGCAGACACTGTGCTCGCAAAACGAGTTTATAACAATACAGTTGCGATTCAAGAGGCAAGGGTCTCCTAAACCTGATCAAGTTGAGAGATAACAACGTAACATTAATTTGTTGATAAATTTTGTATGTTTTATTACATCAACAAACAAATAATAAGATTGTTTGACAACTTTGTGTTTCATATATTTTGTTTGTTATTTAGAAATTCGCTATATATTTACACGAGATCCCTAAAATTATGTTGACGTAATCAATTTACACAAAATGAGAGAGCGACACTCTAACGGTATAATATGAGGGCGGTATACAATGAGCGCGGTTTCTCCACGCTGGAGAAACAACCGCTCGTTATTCCTCCTTCGCGCGATTATAAACGCGACGTTGACCGATCGCATCTTATCTCATTATACGTTTCGAAATATTTTTTTCATAAACAATACGCACATATAACGCACAAAGTTGACCGGAGAGCGGGTTGGGATAATTCCCAAGAAAAAACTTGCGACACACTCACCCGAGGATTTGTAACACCTCCCGTCCGAGAAGTGAGAATCGTGGGCGCATCGACAAGCGCCCGCTCGACATTCCGATTGTACTGTGAACGTGAATTTACACTGGATGTCCTCCTTGCAGGGATCGCCGAGATAAGTGGCCACTGTCGAAACAATACCTCTCAGATATTTTATTGTTCAAAATTCTCTCAGCGTTGCTCTAATTAATGTAATGTGAACCAGTACAACGCAAACTGCAGAATATTTCCCCCGGTTTTTCTTCCAATAGCATTATCATATCGTAAGATTCGAAAATTTAATAATTAGAGAGAGAGAGAGAGAGAAAGAGAGAAAGAACGTACTTGATTGGTTCCAAATTCGTACATCATTTTTTTGTCGTGCTTCTAATTTGTGCCTCTAATTTGTCCGTAACAAACTTGTTTTGTTACGCTGAATAACACAATGTCTAGTTAATTTAATCGAGCAAAGTTGATGAGCGTGCAAAGAAACTGCGCAAAGGCATTGTGATGTTCAAGCACGCGAATATGTTACGTCCTGTCTCATTCATAGAAATTATTTGTGATCTCTGTGTCGAGTCAACGAGCACGACACGCTCCAGGTGAGACGGGACCGTGAGAAAGGAACGGAATAGGGATGAACGTGTATCTCCGCGGAATCTCTCGTGCCTGAGAGGTCGATGACATCTCGCTCCCAAATATCAAAAGCAATTAGAATTATTTAGAACACTCATTTGCCGTCTCAGAGACTTCCTGGTTTTGTTTTTTTTTTTTTTTTTTTTTTTTTTTTTTTTTTTTTTTTTTTTTTTTTATTCTCTCACGCGTGAGATCGATCGCACGTATGAGATCAACTGCAGTATTAAAAAAAAAAAAATCATTAAATACCTCTCAGACACATTGTTGTATTTTTTGAGCTGTTGTTAATCCTGTACTCGATGTAATTATCTTTGCACGAGCACGTCGTTTGATTCCGGCAATACGCGTTTGCAATACAGTCGTCGTCATATTTACATTCCGCGTAGGATTCTGAAAAAAAAAAAAATAACAAATATTTGTGTTTTTCTTTGACATCTTAATAAACATATAAACCAAATATGTTTTGTATTATCTATATGATATCATGTGAGCGATTCGACACTTATTTATTTATTTATTTTTTTTTAATAATAAACTGCTTTAAAAATCACGTACGCAATCACATATTTTTTTTATCATTGATCATATCTTTCGCCGATGTGTCGCAAAAAAAGAGAGAACAAACTTTTATTGACTCGAGAAAATTTTTCTCTCTAACGCTCGATCGAAAAAAAAAACCCCGAAGAGTAAAGAAAAAACATAAAACAAATACAACGACAATAAGGATACAAAGCGTGTACAAAGTAAATTGTAGCGATCCGTAAAGGAATCTATCTAGAAAAACACTGTCATATTTCATAGGCAAGCCGTGCGTATCCGCGGTGCGCTGCCCTCATTATTAATTCCCGCGCAATAAAATCTATCGCGGGATTGTGTGTAGAAATTTTTCAAAATTTATATCACACGTATGTAGTGATTTTTATATGCAAGATCGATATTTTTTATAACGCTACTTTTTTTTTTTTTTTTTTTTTTATTTAAAACTTTGCTTACTACTTTTATTACTATCGGTGCGATCGTTGCATCGCGACGAGTCCTCGTGGTTGCTGTTGACGTAGGTGATCGTCGCGCAGACGGTAACGGGTACGAGGACGAGGAGCCCCGTGAAACCGCTTACCGTCCACGTTTTCGTCATCCTCGCAATGACGGTGGATAAACGCCGCGTTCGAAGAAACGTTTCATCACTACCGCTAGTCGACTAATTGTCATTTTTCGATACTCTTGAGAGACAGAGAGAGAGAGAGAGACAGAGAGAGAGAGAGAGAGAGAGAGAGAGAAAGAGAGAGAGAAGACGAATTTCGGTCCGGTCTGATTACGATCGCTGCTCGAAGGCCGCCACGTCACGATCGACAGCGGACTCCGTTTAGTTTCACGACGATGCTCTCATTGTTTCCTTCGCTTGTTCCGTTGCGCAATCGTAGGCAGGAACACGTTACCTACACCTTTGAACGAACATCATCGAGGCGTATCCCGCGCATAATCATCCTCGAATCACTTCACAGAAAACGTGCCCGTCTGCGTCGATCGCGCGTCTTCGTCTATTCGAGGCGAGGCGAAAACCCTATAATTTCATCAATTTTTATCGACTCTTCCTATGTCTCACGAGGTGTTATTGTACACGTTAAGAGAATTATGAGAATGATGTATAGGTAGATATTTTCGATTTGAATTGGTTTCGAAATATTGAGTTATCGATCGATCTTTTTGTTTAATCTTTTGAAACCGATTAAAAACTTTTAGCTCAGATAATCGCTTTTCCGAAATTTTAATTATTTATTCCGCGTCTTCAGGCGCGCTTCGCAAAATTCAGTCAATAATAAGAAAATTAATAAAATAATATTGATAAAAAACAAATAAAATAAAAATAATCAAAACAGATTGTATAAAATTCTTTCCCGTGAAGAAGAAATCGAACTTAATTAATTAATTGTGTCGTAATATTAAACCAAATACTAAACTAAATCTAGGTCAAACTAAATCTAGTTTTGGACGTTTTACGACTTTTATGTAAATGTTGCGTGCAAGCGAGTTCGTCGCTATAGCACCCCCGTGTTTTGTCGATTTCAACCGGAAGATGCAACATCACACACACAAGCATGCATCTCATCGCGAAATGCACCTCGTAGCGAATCGGCGCCAATTTACATGTGAAAAAAAATTACTGCATATTCATCGGCGATAATCACGCGTCGCGTGAATTTCATCCGTTCCGAGTAATTGTTGGCGACAAGCGCGTGACAGAGAGCCGAAGCGTTCTAATTCGGTCCCGTTTTCGAAAATCACGAGTTCAAAAATTTTTCTAACACTCGAAACGTGTGAATTGAGTTCGCGCGCGATCTTTCGCAGTGCGCAAAATTTGAATAAAAAAAAAATCGATATATTTCTCGCGATTGAGATTTTTATTCTTTCTGTTAACTGAAACGCAAAACTTTCTTGCGTTCGTCAGCGAGTAACTATATCTTTATTTTCGGTTTCAATGACATTTTGGTAAGTGGCCAAAGTTCGTGGCGAACAAACGAACGTAGCGTCCTGTTAGATTAAATTCGTCGTGTTGCGCAACGCGATGCCTACATTGTATCCAACACCAGGAGCTATTGTTGCGTGTTAACACAGTGCTGCATTCAGCAAAAATCACTCCAATCATTACGCGCTCGGTCTCAATATTCTCGCCTTTTTTTTGCTCGCGATCGTTAACCGCAGATAAAATTAAAACTAACAAGAAAAACTAATTAAAAAAAACGTTCAAATCGTAATTAGAGAACAATAACGACGCTGTTAATGATGATGCTAATTCCGAGCAATCGTAGATTTTGATCGGTGTCGTCGGTTTTTAATGATGTCCGGCATTATTTGCACAGCGCATTCGGTGTAACCGCGAGAGCGTTTGCTCTCGAAGGCTCTCTCTCTCGGCATGCCGCAATCTCTTTCGATTCCAAAAAAACTCAGTGTTAAATTGAAGCGACAACGAACGAAAGAAACGGACCCCTTTGTTCTTTAATTATGAGCGCTTCTCTACTCGGCATTCACCTAACTGTGAGAACCAGGAGCGTAGATCCGGTCTCAACAAACTCTACCGCGCGTCGGTCTTCGCGATTCCCCCACGAAGGAAAAGATTATTGGGTCATAAAAATTCTATCTTGGAAACACTCCGACAACGTTTGTAATTCACCGTGAATGCGATTTAACAAAAAAAAAAAAAAAAAAAACAATGCGCTTAATTAAATGCGCTTTAACTAATTTCATTCCTCCGTTTCTTTTGAACAATCGCAATTGAACGTTAATTTGATTTCTAACAATTTTCCGCCTCTTCATGTTTAATAAATGACGATTATGTTTTATGTGATCTTGAAAATTCAATCAATTTTGTCTGCACAAACACGTGAGTGAGATAATAGATCATCTTTCGCAGCCGCGCTCAACGATGTTGCGGTCTCATCGATCTTTCGCATTGATTCGTGTTTATTAGTTTTGTTGAAGCACAATTTACTTGATTCCATTTGCTCTAATAGAGCATAGTTTTTTACGTACTCACGAGCAATATGTATTATAATTGTCGAGTTATTTTATCAAACAATCTTCTTATTACAAACATTTTCCTTGCTGTTGTTTAATCGTGCTCGCCCGACGACGGACGCGCGGCTGCTGTTTCCCTCATCAATCTCTTTAATATTTTTTATAATATTTTTCTTCGCAACTCAGAGCTCAACTTGAACAACAACATTCAATTTTTACACTCAACAACACTGACGGCGAGACACAGATGCTTACTTTCGTGTTGCGCGTCGGCGACTGCAGTCGACCAGGCGAGGTAGAACAGCGCGATTGACAGTAAAACGGTTCGCAACTCCCTCCTTGGAGAACTCCCCGACCGATTTCGCAAATCTCCAATCATTTCTCTTCGAGGACTTGTTCTTCTTCAAGATAGCAAGCAATTACTGGCGGAAAAGCGTGGAAAAACATTTGTCTTCGAATTATATGTACATATTCGTCATTCCACAGTTTATTGTACTTTTATCTTATCGCGTCTCAGCGTATAGATACCTTTTCAGGTTTCCCTTAAATGTATGTTCATTTCTATCTTGACAAATGTCAAAGTGTGAATGTAAGAATCCGTATTTAATGACATCATGACTAGACAGTTTTTTCTGTCGACGGATGTTACTATTGTAAAGCAATACGATAATGTGCCAGAAGATCCTTTAGACAAAATATTATTTTTAACGAAACGTGTTTTGATGTGCGTCTTAGTTAGTAACAAGTTTGTCTTTTGTGCAACTTTTTTATATATAGAAATTGTGCAATTGGCATATTAACTAAAACAACGTGTTTAAATTTGTTACACAAGCTGGAAGTGACACAAGGAATCTTAATTTCAATGTTTTATGTTTTTCACATCTTTACACATTTATTATACAGTAGGTTTTATACATAAGTTACTTACATATACATGTATATAAATAGTTTTAACAACATTTTGTGAAATCGCATTAAAATATAACATAATCGTGTTCGCAAAAAATCTATTCGGAAACAAAAACGAGATTCATATCACATAACTCACACACATTCAAGAAAGAAAATAAATTAAGAACAAATAGTATAGAAAAACATGAATTTAAAAACAAATACAGACAACTATTTTAATGTACAATTAGCGTGTAATTACTCAATTACAATCCAAAAAGAGAAGAATTGTACAAAGAAATAGAAGAATGCGTATAAATTGTGTGTTTCTATGAATTTTGACACTTTTGATTACAATCCTTTATATACATGCATTAAAATACTACACACATCTAAGTACAAAATTATATATGTTTTTAAATATACTATTTTACCGTTTAATAATAAAAAAATTTTGTACTACAAAAAAACGCGCAAAAATGTATGAAATTCGTTAAATATATTTTTATTAAAATATCGTAAAAAAGCGCTAAAATTTATAATTTAATTAATTCTAAATTCGAACACACAGCCTAATTTTATTTTAAGTAATCAATTTTACAGTCGCATAAAAATATAATTTATACTTAAAAAACGCACTTTACACATGTATATTTTCCACATATTTTTGTGATACAAATTAATATTATAAATATTTGAAAAAATTTGCTACGCTAATTATTTTACTAAGAACGTACTACAAACAGATGTAAAAAAGTTTTACAGATAGAAATTATGAAAATAAAGAAAGAAAGAAAGAAAAAGAAAAAGTTGAAGCGATTTTGAGAAAAGAGTGAAAAATGAAAAAGAAGAAAAAACGTTAAATTGTAAGAATTAATACTGTGTTACGTATTTTACACATTACTGATTGATATATCTTTCTGTAATAATTATATAGTATATGTACATACACGTATTATCACAAATCTCAAAGTAATTAGTCGATTATTTGTCAGATCTTAGGACTAGAACAAGCTTTAATATACACAATGTGGAGCCTCCATCGACATGCAGAAAAATACTCTTCGATATTTTAAAAACTATATACTTTAAATCTTTTTCTTTATAAATCTACTGATTACACACATACAGGTAACTTTTTCTCTGAATAAATGCAATACGAGAATTTGAATTGCATTGATTCAAACTAGACGCAGAAAAAACAATGTTGAATAAAAAAAATATGCAATTAGTATAAAAATATTAAAACAACAGTAGAAAAACACTAACAACTCGATCAAATTACTTGATTAAATTACTTTATCGCGATGAAAGAACCGATCTTACATGTATAAATTAAATAAGAATTATCGTGTGTAAAGACGATACGCCGATACTGATCGAAAAAGTTGAGCAATAAAAGATCAATAAAAGATCGATAAAAGAGAATTTTTGATTTAAAAAATATTTCCTCGGCGATATATTGCGCTTTATGAAAATAAACTTCCGCAAATTAACGTTGTTATCAAAGATACGAAAACAAAAACATATACTGGAAATGATGTCGCGGCCGATGAGCCTATAAATAAGTCAAGAAATATAAATTAGATTTTTCTGAAAAAAAAACCCAAAACAATCAAGACACACATATCACAGTACGAGCAAACGACAATTAACTTGTCGCGGAGACGTGTCAAATTTTGCTCACCGTTATTCACGCATCGATTTTCTTGCCTGTGATAATTGACGGCACACGTGCATTTATTATCCGCACATGTCAGAGACTTGTTCGGGGAGTCGTTCGTATCGTCCTCCGTCTGATAACACTCGTATTCGTTTGTGCAGTCTTCATCGATCGCTGACAATAAAATTGCATCGATATGTTATAGTTAATCGGTTATGTACAATCAAATTATTTTGCAATCGTTATACAAAAATAAAATTTTTTATAAAATAAAAAAATACTTGCACACCTTTCGTAACAACACATTGATCCGGATCGTTCGCGTAATGATAACCCGGATCGCAACGGCACGTGTTGTTCGTGCAATTTGAATTCCGGAATCTCGCCGTACACTGCACCGACTCCGTGCAATTGTTCAAAATGTTTGTGACAACAGGCAGACATTTTTCATTATTCGCCCCCAACACCGTTTCGGATCGGCATTCGCATACCGTATTGTTTACGCATACAACGCCTTCGATGCGCGGGCACTCCTCATCTTTTACGCAAGATTGTCCGTATTCTGCTGAAAAAAATCTACAATTTGCAGTCGTTCTCTTTATGTATACGCATATGTCATTAATTTCAATAAATAAAACAACGTAGACACTTGCCAGGTAGTTTCACACATACGTTGTCCTCGTAACGATAACCCGATTTGCAAACGCACGTTCCGTTCTTCGCGCAAATAGTGTTCGCCAAAAACCCTTTGCACTGATTCTCATCTGTGCAGGTGGCATTCATCGACTGAACCACTGTTTATAAAAAAAAAAAAATCAAATAATTAGTAGAAACAAAAATTATGGGAAATAAAAAACATATTGCACAATTGCAAGGGAATGAGATTTTTAAAAATATTTTACAATAAAAGATAAAAATTTTCAAATATTTTTTATATTTTCATTCAACATTGCTGCGTAAGATATATTTTTTTTACGCGCTTACCTTCGACGCATTGATGATGATTGCTCGACGCTACGTAGCCTTTCGCGCAATCACATTGACTGTTGGTAGTGTTGCAAACTCCTTGAAAGAACGCACAGTCTTGATTGTGTTTGCATGTTCGATAGACCAATGGACCTAGAAGATAATTATTTTTTATACGAATGTTGATACAATTCAATTTTGAAAACATTTATCAAGTAATACGGTCAACGAACGAAATAAGTTCTAAGAACTTGATTATGTATCCACCTTTTTTTCTTGGAGTAAGTTGATATGAGGATGCATTGAGGCAGATATTAGTTTCATTGTTTGAACTCGGACACATGCAATGTCCGTCTTCGCAAAAAGCGTCTCTCGGGAATGCTTGCATGCTTCTACAATCCTTCTCGCTTGTGCACGGAACAGACAGATCTACGCAGATAAAAAAAATATTGTTCTACCGTCGAGAAAAAAGCGATTACGCAGACGTATCTTTTTTTTTTTTTTTGAGTAATAATCAACGATATAAATATATTTTCTCGATATACAACAGTTTCAAGATGTTTTGATCGCACATTTTCATGACAAGCTCATTATCGTGTTATATTAAAAAAAAAAAAAAAAGAATTTATTTTTTGTTTCGGGATATCAGAGAATTTTTTTGACACGAATAAAATAGCACTTGTTTTCCGATGTGGGAAACAACATATATTTGAGTTTAAGTGATCTCGCGACCTTTGTCGAATTGTAGAAAGTGAGGAGAATTTTAAAGACGCGAGCACGTTACGCAATGTTAAGGTGAATAATTTTGCACGCGCAAAAGAAAAGAACGATTTTTCTTGATTTGCAAAATGTTTTTAATCAAATAAAACGAAGTTTTCACGAAAAATAATTTTATCGGCAAGCAACGCAAGCAAAAGCGGAAATGTGTTTATCTCGCGTTAGTCTTTGAAAGACAGAGAACACCGCATTGTTATCACGTTTTCACATCGTGCGCAGTCAAATGTAAAAACTTTATTTTAGTTTTGTACTTGAATTACGGAAGCGTGTGTGATAATCATATTAGAGATACTGCAATTACAAAGCTGAGAGATTCGAAAATATGTGCACGCGTATAATTCTTCTTTCGTGAACGCGCAGAGAAGACACGTGAAATTTAAATTTAATCAAGTTTGGAGAAAGATAACGTGATGAGGTCGTTTGTGTGTGTGTGTGTGTGTTTCGAACGCTACAACATATGATGTTTACATGACAGCGCAAACGTTACTTCATCATTCTCGATAATTACAACCAGGCGTATTACACGCTCGAGCTACCGTGTGTTTTTTTTTCTTACACAAAAACCGAATAATTTTTTTCTAACTTTACGACTTTAGCTCGCGAATTTTGAATAAATAATAACAAGCAAAGAGCGGATCTCAGTTATATCACGTCGATCGCAAGAAATCAGAACTATATAACACACTCACCAAGTTTGTCTCCAATGACAAAACTAATCATCAGCACGATTATTCCGCTCAGAACTGCGTGAGTTCTCATTTTTTTTTTTTTTTTTTTTGATGTAAATTCTTTTCTTTTACGATATTTGACAATTTGCGATATTAATCAATCACCGATTTCCTATAAGCTCGATCTATTTTCGGTGGAAATAAACGTGGAAAATCGAATTCAGCGATCGGTTGATGATCGCGCAGAACCGCACGCACAAACTGGAGAACGCGAAGCGAGTGTTCGAAGGCCTCTCGTTAGCTGTTCTCTCAACCCCGCGACACATTTCTGTGTTTCGTCCCCCTCTGTTTCTCGGACTCTCCCACTTAGGATATGTGTTGCTAATTTTCTCTCCCGGCTTCTGTACACGTTTCGTCACACCGATAAATTCCGAATGCGTTTTCGCGCGCGCAAATCGCACAAACAAACGCGACATCAAAGTGTAAAATTAAATTCTCTTAATGACATTTAGATTCTCTTTTGCACAATTGACTTTTTGTTTTCTACGTTTTTGTGTAGTTTATTTTAGATATGTACGTTAAATATATATATATTGTAGCGTATAAATATATAAATACGTGTATTGTACGCGCGCCAAGTATATCAATATAATTGTCTACTTTCTAATTTTTCTTTGTAATTCAACAATTTACGCTCAAGTGTTCGCTTTACTTTCTTCATTTCCTCATAATTTCCGCATTTGCATTCAATATGAGAATCGCGTACGAGAGTTGGTCGTGAAATAAAGCCGACTCGCGCGAATCGTAACTATGAATTAGACAATACACGTGAAATGTCGCGCACAAACGCGAGCAAATGTGAGAATCGCGCGTCTCAGTCACCGTAATGATAATGAAGAAGCGTCTGGTAATCTGATGAGGTTGAATTAGCAGAATTATTGCTATCACGGCACAAGCTTCGTCGAATTAATGAGCGCGTGGCTAATCGTCCTTTTAAAAAACTAAATGCGATATCTTTGTCATATTCAAACGAATACCTTTTTGTGTAATAATTATTGAATATAAAAAAACGTAAACGTTTTGTCTCTATTAAAATTTGTAAAATTTCATAAACAAGAAGAGAGAAAAAAGAGAATGATAATTACCAGAAATTATAACATTATTATATATGTAAATAATAATATATTATTTTTATATATCTTATATTAGTATGTACATAATATTTTTATAATGTATTATTATGTATTTCTATTATTATTATTATTGAATTTAATAATTTTCTTAAATTAATTTTAGAAATTTTTAGCGAATATAACAGTAAGTTGCACAAAAATAAAAAATTTATGTTAAATCTGCACAAATTCTGCAGAAAAAGTGATTTCTAACGACTTATTTATATATACAGAGAGCGTTCATAACATATTGCAAACTTGAAAACTTTTAAGTACAAGATAATAATTTCCGTGAATGGCTTTTCGTCTAATGTCGAAAAAAAAAAAACAGATTTTAGAAAGTTTTTCGATGATACGCAAAAGATAACTTAAAAAAAGATAACATCTTTGTTTTACATAATATAAATTTTTGGTACTATTTCGATTACCTACACGACGGACGTTGCATTGGATAACGATTACGTTTCGCTTAAATAAGTAAAATGCTCTGATTCATTTTCAGGATATCGCTAGATATGCCTCGAGATAAGACATTTATCTCACGGAGGGCGTATACTACATGTATCGCATTTCGAGAAGTGCGTATGAGCTCATATCTAACAGTCACCTGGATATGTTGCCTGTTTGCACGTGAAATTATTCGATTTCAATTCCAATGAAGACTTTCGTTTTCTGCTGGTTCCTCATTTTCTTCGCGCTCGCTGGTCGTTTTTCGTGTCAGGAAAACGGTGAGTCTTATCTTTACGAATGTGAATTATTATCGCGTCTAAACATATCTTCTGACACAAAAATCGACTTAAAGTGATGCAAGTTAACACATATGTAGCGGTAAAAACTGATAAGAAAAAAAGTTGCACAACAAAAAAAACCTAACTTATTTAGAAAAAATTTCCGAGAGATTTAGATGCTTATCTCTTATTACGCAGTTTTTTTTACTCTTCTACGATAATTTGAGATCAAAAAGTCGTTAATCCTCTAATATATTACCGATATTAATACAAACATATCGCAGTTGTGAATTATTCTGATAATTTTACGTTCTTTTTTATTTTAGCGAATCGCATGGCGAATGTCGGTGTAAAATGCGAAAGGGACGTCGACTGCATCGATCACGCGTTCTGTCGCTGGCAGCAAAACTGCATGTGCGATCCGTATTATTCGCCAAGTCCCGATAAATCGAGGTGTATCCCAAGTAAGTATCCATTGAGTGTAAGAATACGTGGATTTAACTTTGTCTAAGTAGTTTCAAAAGAGATCAAACGCATAATCAAATGTTGCCGCGAGAGTGTTTGCAGGATTTGATTTAAATAATTTCTCCTTCCTTTTATTTATGCACATAAGATCCTCTTGTTATTTTTTTGTGATAGAGCGTTTATTACGTTTCAAATGCTGTAAATCGAATGCTTCTTGTTTTTTTTTGCATTAGCCGTTGGATTGAGTTGCCTGGACAACTCGGCGTGTCAAGGCATAATGAATGCCGAATGCAGACAGGGCACCTGCACCTGCAAGGACGACTTCTACCTGGATAACAACAATTCTTCAAATTGCATCATCAGTGAGTAATTCCCAGTTTACGTTGTGGAAGAGCAATTTAGAAAAAAAATACAATAAACGGTTTGTGTTTTGACGTCAATGATGATTTAATATGAATGAATACACAGGACCCATCAACATTGGCGATCGTTGTCAGGTGCATAGCGTGTGTCAAGAAAGATTTAACTTCGCATTGTGCAACAACGAACAGTGCAAGTGCATCACGGGATATCATTTTGTAAACGTAACAAGGTCTTGCGTTCTGAACCAAGGTACAATACACAAATATAATAATAGTTTTTTTTTTTTTTATAACAGTAAAATACACTATAAATAATAGAAAATACATTTGAAAAAAAGCTTGAAGAAAAAGTAAAACCGAGAATATATAATCAATACCGACAGTCAGCAATTTATTAATAATATCCAGACGACACAAAAATCTGAAAGATATCTTATTAAAAGAGATATTTTCCACAGACGTCTAATAAATTATTATAGCCATCTTTTTTACATATCTTTACGACGTCTCTTACGGACTTTTTTGTGCTTGTCTGATGAGTAAATGTACTATTTCTCGATTCGTTCTGTATGTAGTTGTTTTAGCTTTGTACAGTTTTTGCCGGAATGATTACGAGTGCTATGGAATGGATTACAAGTCTTCGGACAGCTTGGAGTGTAAAAACGGCGTATGCGTGTGTAAGGAAGGAGAGCCGCAATGTGCCAAAGGTTAATTACTGTTAATTGCATCGTTACATCGCCATTCGGCGAAGCTCAAGTCTTTCGAGAGTTGTTCGAGTTTCCGCTTCTGTTTTCTTTTTTTTTTGCAGGTTCACTGATGACGGACGCAAGAGCACTCGTGACAGTCACGTTCTTTCTACAACGTATTCTTCACTTCTTAAAAAATTAAAAAAAATTGTACATAAATTACCAATCCACTTTTTTTTTTGCAATAATACTGTATGTAATAATACTGTTTGTTTATGCGAGATCGACGAACATTTGCATCATTTCTAAAATATAATATATATCGTTTTTATATTAAAATAGAGTGTATGTTTCTAATGTCGTATTTTTATGTTCTACAGGTGCGTTTTTGTTTTAGCGCTCACGCTTTGAGCGTCAGTCTATTTTTGTTCTATATTTAAAAAGCAATAAAAAAAAATGAACTAATGTTGTTTGAAGCGCGTAAAAATCGCGTCCGAAATAAACGCATCTTACGCGTGTAAAACTAAATTTTTTATTTACACGCACGTAAATTTTTTTTCTCACACGTCTGTACGCACAGTTTATAGCAGTCAAAATGGCGCCATGTTTTAAAACTGCAATTACGGTACAGATAGTGGTGCACAGAAACCAAATCAGCCGGATACACAATTTGCATCAATCGATTCGTCCGATCGGAGAGAAGACAATAAGCGGCCAGGATCATATGACAAAATGTAATAGCTCTTCCGTTCTATAAGCCAGAGCTATATGGTCCATGGGTGTGTGTGTGTGGTGCACAATAAAAACTACGTGTCCGGTTATATACTTACACCTTGACCTGAACACAATAGAGAAAATATTAGGAATTAAAATATTAAGAATTAGAAATAGAAAATTAAATGTATTATATATATACAACGACAACAAATAAAATTTAACATATAAATACAAGAAGTATGTAATGACCGCGTGATATACAGCGTGTATTTATCTACATTTTTATACGTTACATTTTATTTTTTTTCGCATTGTGCATTACATTTAACTCCTGTTTTTTTAATTCCTATTCCTAATATTTTCTCTATTGTAGCTCAGGCCCGTAGGTTCACACCCTGACCGGTTAGATTTTCATATTCCGGTTGGCAAGGTTCGTAAAAACTGCAACTTGCAATTTATGTAAACGGGGCTTAACGTTGATCAATTACAGTTTCTTCACACAGGCATAGGCGGAAGAAAACAGGGCAAAGTGGGGATATGGTTGTGCGCGGGATTGGCGTAATATATTCTACTGGCAACCAATAGCTGTGGAATACAGGAGAGGTTTCTGAAGAAGGAAGAAGCGCGAAACGGAACGAGTTTTTGTCCATCTGGTTTCTCTTCTCTCTGACTCTATTTGAGCGTACATAACCAAAAAGAAACAGCGAGTCGCAAACGCATAGCCAAATTTGTCGGAGAGAAATACTGTCCGAGAATTTTTTGATTCAAGAACCTGTTCATATATGTATGTTATATAAAACAGGTGCGTTGTATTGACACATTCGATCACACATGTTCTCTGAGTTAATAAAACCACCATTGATCATTGACATTCACATACTCATATACATATATATATATATAATTTATATAAATTAATCGTAAATCTCAAAGAATAGGGAATAATTTATTGGATTTTGTTGCGCCTTTAAAACCTTCGAGGTTTCTGACGCCTCTGCATCATCACGAAAAATATGAATATGTGTGTGTTTCTTGCTTGCATGTTTTGATAGACTATCTTATTTATTCTGCAGCTTTATTGTGCAGAAAATATGAAAACGATGAGATTAGGTGGGTATTTTTAATATGAAACATACATTTCAATAGTTTGGTAAAAATGAGGAATTCTGCATAGATTGTGATATCAAAGATTTGTATGTGCTTGCTCTATAAGTCGGAAAAATAATATAAGTGTTAATATAACAAATAGAAATGTAAATTTCTTCTAAAAGCAGACAGTTTGTATAAAACTAACAGAAGCTGAGATAAAAAAAAAACAGTATGTAATGTTATCGGACAAGAAAATCAGCAGTACAGAAAATATAAATGAAACAATGAAAAAATAGTGAAAGAAACGTAACAACTAAATTGAAGATATAGGAAGGGCTTTTGCAACGTTATTGATATAGCAAAAAACAAAGCTGATTGAGTGAAAATTCGGATTCGTTATGTAGTTAAAAGGCTTTATGAATGGAAGTAGGGTATATATGTATATATATATGATAAATACATACGATATTTTTTTATACAAATAATTATTTATTTCCTTCTCCAAAGTTTATCTTATATAAAATATGTATATAATTAAAACTTTCATTTTATCATATATTAATTGTATTATTTGTACAAAACAAAATTATTTTGTTAGTGATTTTTTTCCTTCACCTTTATATAGAGTTTGAATGTAAAACATTTTTCATTAAAAAATATAATTTATCCAATTATCCTATGTGGAATCGTAGTTAGTGTGCCATTTCTATCGGAAAAATTATATAAATAAATTTAATTATTAATTTAATATCATAAAACAAATGTTTGAAAGATAAAATTAATAATACAATTTCTTAGCGAAATATAAATGGACATTGGAGCGGCTAAAACTTGACAGTTTTATGTTTGATATAGTTTTATATATATATATATATATGGCATAGTGATGGGACTCATTATATACAGGGAATACTGTATTCTCTGTTATATTTCTTTTTCATGTATGCATATATGTATGTATCATATATCCACAATTTTTTTTTTGTTTTTCTTTTCCAGTATGTCTTGGATTCTAAACATTGTGCGTACTGCTGCGAATGCTACATGGACACCTCAAGTGACTCCCGTGCGATTTCGTTACTATACAGACAAATTAAAGAATCCCTATATACGACGTTATGGATACAAGGATCCTATAGATATGAGAGGTCTTCTACCTCGTGAGAGCAACAAACGTATTCTAGAGATGCCAATCTATCGTCCGAAGGACAGCTGGAACGAGAAGAGAGCACTGTTCGGTCAGAACGATTACATCGACATACTGGGTTCCGACAAGATTCATCCAACAAGAATTCTCTACAATGTTCCAGCTTGGTTAAGAGGCGTTCACGGTAATGAGTTTCAAGTTTTGTTGAGAAAAAGGAAAATGCTACAGCACGGTGTATTTCCACTTGCAAGACCGACAAAATGGAGAGACTTAAATAAAAGGATACGTTATCTGTATAAATTTTTAAATCGTAAAACTCCAACACGATAAGTCATCAGAAATCAGCTGTAGATATTTATTAAAACATAAATTTAATTCTCTTCAAGTTTTTACAGTATATTTGAAATTTCTGGAAGGTGTTGCGCGCGTTCTTACATCCTTTTCTTTTATCTTGCGAAAACCGTTTATATGTAAAATGTTAATCAAAAACGTTTTTTTTTTGTGTGTAATAATAATTATAATAATAAAAATTATAAAGTAATAAATTGTTTCTATTGACAAGTAATTTATATATCCATTGGATGTACGAGATTATTTCACAACGAAATTGAAGAACGTAAATACTCTTCGCTGAAATGCGAGTCTCCGTTGTAAAAAGATAAGAATTTTTTAATCACTTTATATGTACATAATCATTTTGGACGTCATATCCAACAATCGTAATCCAACATATATATAGCAAAACGGAAAAACACATTTTTAAAATAATTCTTTCTTTGTCAACTATTGTCTATGTATAATAAATTGAGTATTGTCCATCTTCTTAAAAAGTAGCCATACATATCTAACATCACGATTGCAAACTTCAATAACAGCTGATTAAGAAAGATCGTCTCGAACATAATTATTATAGCGTGCGGCACACGATGCCGTTCTTCGATTGCATTTGCGTCAAATTAAAACAATTTAACAATTCGCTGATTGTTTAATTGCAAATTGACAATTCTTAAAGTGTCAATTCTGATTGCTTGCATGCAATTTAACACGAAAAAAAGCTTTGTGTGTCGCAAACTATGTATTTCATGATATTTTTACAGTTGTTAAAAATTCTAATATATATATATATATATGTATAAGTGTTCTTGTTAGAACGTTATTTGCAATTACGATCACGTAATAGTTGTGGGTATTTTGCATTGAGAATGTAATACTATCTCTTAAAAGCCTAACTGAGGCTACACTTTTTGTACAGAAACTAACACAAGTGTCTAAACTAACTTGAACCATAAATGTTTTTTTTTTTTTTTTGTCTTAAGTTTTCTGTGCACTGTACAAATATCCGCGTTTGTTTGGATATTAATGGCAGTTACGTAAACCTCTTGTTCAATCACCCAACAATATAAAAAATTGTCTAAAGAATATATTGGTTCACAAATGATTTTGTAAAAACGACAGCAACGTCGTTTCATAATGTTTGCTGGCGTCTAAATTCCTCAGACTGTGCCTCTCATTGGGGTAAATCTGAAGTTGATACGGTTTACCGATCTTTACAAGAGCGTTGATCAGCTGGCTAGTATGATAAAAGTGCACATTCTCGTCGATAAGACCGTGTATGATCAACAAACGATTCTCCTCGTCGGGAAACTTGTTCACATATGTCAGCACCGACCCGGCCATGTAACCGTGAGGATTGTTTTGCGGCAAGTCCATATAACGTTCGGTGTATCCAGTGTCGTAAAAGTTCCACGAGGTGACCGGAGCGCCAGCAATCGCCAACTACAAGTTACAACGGAAGATATTTTTTAAGACCTAACTACGTTTCAGATTATCTGACGCAATAGCGTATTACTTCGCATTTCCGCACCTTAAACACATCAGGATACTGTATCAATCCCATTAGGCTTAAATATCCGCCGTAAGACCACCCGTGGAGAGCCACCCGATTTAAATCTATGTATCCGGTAGTTTCCGCCAGCCATTTTAATACTTCCACTTGATCGTCTAGTTCCACCGTTCCCATTCTACGTCGCAAGTGACTCTCAAACAGTAAACCTCTGTGCTGCGACCCTCGAGAGTCGATCAAGACTACACAATAGCCCTGAGCGGCCAGCATGTGCATCCTCAAATGCCTTAATCCCTGCAGAAGATTAAACAAAAATATATTGTATGTTGCACGTAATACGCAAAAATTCATATTTATACAAGAAATCCACTTACTTTAAATGTGTTTGATACTAATTGTACTTCGGGTCCGCCATATACGTTAAGTATCGTGGGATACTTGATGCCGGATTGAAAATTATGAGGCTTGAATATCATCGAATAGATGGTGTCGCCCGATTTTATTTTGTGAGTAAAAATCTCTGGTGCGAATAATTCGGTTTCGGGCACCGACGGTTCTAGAAGATAGCCTACTGGTGTGAGCGATATACTTTCTACCGTCCAGTCGCTCTGTGATATCTTAAATACCTGTGAGATGATCAATAATCATGTGAAACCAAGTACCACGATTTCATAAAAATTAAATATTTTGCAAGATATATGTTCGTACTTGACAAGTAGGAAGCGTTTTAATGGAACTGTAAACGGTGACCAACATCGTGCACTCTTTGTTGAAATATATATTATTGTAACTGTAGCCAGGTCGCGTCAAGAGTCTTATTTCTAAAGGTCGTCGCAACGAAACCGCGTAAACATGCTGCTCCAAAGGTCCTTCTCGTAATCCGCAGAAGTACACAATAGAATTCACCTCGTCGACCCATATCTTTTTTCCTAACACTTCCCAATCGCCCTGCGTAAGCGCTACCTTGGAAGTGATACGCGGTCGAAGATATATACTATCCATTCTGTCCAAAGGCTCTTCCACACCATTACTCAAACCTGGGATAAAACGTTTTATGAGTTAAAAAATGGCAAAACGTGTGCGTATTGATCACACAACACTTCGTTAAAAGAAATTTTATTATACCTGCTATACTAGATGTTATAAGATACAAATGTCGATATTCGGATTCCTCGCTTCCCCAAATAAATTTGACCTCGTTCGGATCGTCAGACTTTAAAAAATACAGTAAATCATTCACATTGATCCAGATCGTACTTTGCTCAGAGTATATCACTTGGACGCTTGCCGATGCGGGTGTGAAATGATTTTCCGTGTTGTACGTGTTCGGCGGGGGTTCGCAGAAGTTGTCTATCGACAACAGAACCAATTCGAGCTTCTGCTGTTTTCTGTCCAGCAGTTGAACCCAGACGCTGCGTTGCAACAAAATTGACCGTTAAACTGACCGTTTAACACCACGTCACTTATTACGTGTCGTTTTCACTTTCACTTCGAACTTACTATTGAGCGTCGGGTGTCCAACCAACCCTCACCATGTATTCCATCCAAGAAAACATAATGTGAAGAGGATATTGAAGTTCTAAAATTTCCACGTTGACGATCTGCAACGATTCCGTCAGCCGAAACTGCACCATCTTCAAGTTACTCCTTGCGTTTGGCATACCAGCCCGGGGAAATCTGAATTCGTCCACTTCGTCGGAATTCGATGACGAGGTAAAACAATGTATCTTGACGTCGCTCTCGTCAACCTCCTCGTACACTATTCTATATATACCGTCGTACGTCGACTTCGGTTGCCACCAGTAACCGATGTATCTAAGACAGGCACACAACAAAACGGATTTCTTAAATTTTCACACTTTCAGCATGCGAGTATCCAGCAAAATAAAATAATCAACCTTGTGAATTCCTCCTGCATCACGTAAGAAGGAGTACCGGCGGTAAGTGGATCATCTGCAAGACTTCTATTTCCTTTTCTAGCGTGAGTTAACCGCATTGAAGAACCTGTAATACTATGCGACAGATACAGATCTCCGGAGCACGTGTGAGCGATCAGAGCATTGTTCCAGGGACAAATCTGAGGACACAATTTAGCTCCGCTGGTCGACATCCTTATCTCGGACGGAAAGAGAGGACCCGGCTAACACAAAAGAAAGACATACATTTTTAATATTTTAGTTCATCAATGATATATATTATCACGTAGACATTACCATAAATCCAGTATCCACGCATTGATAAAGACTGCTGGCAGCTGGAAAAACCAGTTTGCCGCTCTCCGCGTGAATCTCATAGCTGGTTATACCCCACGTGGCGAGTCTCTTTCTCTCCCACAACAGTTGTTCCTCTTTCGACAGTCTATTCGTGCTTGATACACTGAAATCATTTGGCGTGGCCAATGTTTCTCCTCAATTACGAATACGATAATCGTGTTTTTTTTTTGTAATTGCGTTTTACCTTTGAAAATTTGCTTCTATAACAGGCTGCCAATGGAGACGATAACCGTTGGCGTGATCCGCGTGTGCAATATCTACATACAGAAGAGTGGTTTCCCATCCGTTGCTGGGAGTGCTAAGAAAATATATTCTAGTTCTGCAAAAGCAAGCAAGAGAGAGAGAAAGAGCAGGTTATAAGAATTTCGATTGGAACTAAGCGAGATCTCACGTTATCACGGAGGACAAGTTTAAAATTTGTTTCTTCCTCACCGGCCGTCCGGAAGAGATCGGAAAGAGATGGACCCAGGCACGGATCCGGCCGACACGCCGGACAACTTTCTCCTGAGATCGCTAACGACGGCGCGCAGCTCGGACCAGGATTTCCGCGGCACCGTGCTGTCGGGAACGGGCTGTTGGTCCCCTCCCGTATCGCTGCTCGTAGAGGTTTCCATATTTTTTTTTTTTTTTTTTTCACAAGCTGCTGCTATACTCGTGCCGGTTGTTTCGCGAAGTCATTCGCGGTCATTTTCCAGCGAACGCGTCCGCGGCGGTCTCGGCGCGGTCATGGTCGAAGACAACAAAAGCGATTTTCTGAACAAAGTAAGCGCGCGTGTATACGTAAACGACGCGGCTTGTAAGTACAAAACCGACGGGAAGTAAACGAAAAAACGACGCAGTACGCGAAGAGGTGCGAACGCGACGACGGCGGCGGCGGCGGCGGCGAGGTATACGTAGAGCCGAGAGCGGAGAGCGATACGCGCGCGCACGGACGGAGGAAGAGAGAGAGAGAGAGAGAGCGGCGACGTTATTTTTAGGTTATGCTATGACCGTTCGGTGCGGTAGCCGCCGAAACCCCGCGCGAGGCTCACTTTCACCTTCTCACCGATCTCGCTTGTTGTCTCTCTCGCCTATCTCTCCTCCCTTCTCTCGACTTGAGACGGGACATTAATTTTCCGAAATCGTCGCTGTTGCTAACATCACTTTCGCCACTACCACTGGAACCGCGGCGCGCCACCACCTCCTCTTCTATACGTTCTCACCACCACCGCCGCGCTCTACCACCGCGATTTTCTTTCTCGTTCCGATTCCTCCTCGTGCCAGCAACAACACGCGGATGCCGACGGACACTCTTCCCTTGACCTGTGTCGTTGTCATCCGTTGCGTATAATAACAACAGTCTCGTTGTCATCGACGTATTCGTGTTGAGGTGCTACATCGGTCGATGACGCGCGTATACGTTTATACCGATTTATTCACGCGCGAAAAGAAAGCAAAAAACAACACATGTGTGGAGAGCGCTCACACATCGACAGCGCAGCGCGCCGCTTTGCGAGCAGAAAATTTGATAACGACTTTCTTTTATCCATCGGCCGCTGTTTTTTCCGCACTTGCACGTCGTCATCTTGATGGAAAATTATGTTTCAAATAATATCCAGCGCTGCGTGCGTGTGTGTGTGTGTATGTGTGCGCGTGTGTCTGATTTTCTTTGTTCTTTGACGAATTCAACGTTTTACGTACTTTTTTGGGCGACTCCCCGAAAACGCGTACGGTAATTATCGGTTCGAGTCTCTCGAAATATTTGTTTAATGTGATTGTAAAATAAGATCGGGTAAAAAAAAAAAAAATTCGATCGGTCTAGAAACATAAAATGACAAAAATACTGCCGACAAATAATTTCACTGTTGTAACGACGTTTATCTTTGAAATTTTATAAAGTTGTACAGTTTTTTATACTTACGTATTATATACACACAAAAAAATATATATATATATATTGTATATTACAATATATTCTGTTTTTACTTCAACAGGATTCAAATGTGTACGAATCGCAGCATTGGGAAAAGAAAAGAAACCAGAAAAATATTGCGACCAACCTGGGCCGTCGTATTCAGGGGAGGTCGAGAGGTCGCGTTTGTTCCTACATATTTAAATAACTCCTCGTCGCGACGTCCATTTCGTCTCCACGCGTTCCTGAATTATTTTCCTCGTTTTTTTGCTGCTCTTCTGTCGCCGACATCGGATCCTTCTGCGAGCGGTTACGTAAAAATCCAAGTTGGGGTATTATCAAGCCGGTATCTTCTGTATCTCAAAAAGAAAAATATTTTCGAGAGAGAAAAAAAACAGCTGTGGTCTGCTAGTGAAACGAAACAGACATTTTCACGTCTCGATGGTTCATCTCGCTAATATTTTCGCGAGGAAACTTGCGGTTATCGTGTTTTCCTATAAATCGACGTTTAGCGCCTATCCACCTCCTCCGTAGGCCACTTCGACCTGTCGAGTCTTCGGCGATAAATTTCGTCGAAGTGCTCGGCGTATACACGCGCGAATACGTACCATTCGTTACACACTGTTTTACGCACTATCGACGGAATATCCTGACATTGAATTATTTTAATTGAAAAAATTTATTATTTTTCAAAAATACTTATTTCTCATTTTTACCGCGTTTGGTATTGCAAATCGCGTCGAGGCGCTCTTTTAAGCTTGAAAATTTGTGCAGTTATAATCGATTTGCAATACCTATATATCGAACGCGGCTATTAAACAGAAAGAAAGAGGGAGGAAAGCGAGAGAGGAAAGAGACACAACACAATATCAAGACTCTAATTTATATTTAATATTTAATATATTTATTTTATATATTTATTTTATATTTAATGTAGTTCTATTTTTATTCAGACACTTTGGACACAAATATCTTTACATCATCAGTTGGATTTCTTTTGTACGTCTCGTTGCATCTTAGTCTGTAATAATAAATATTCATGATTAAAATTGTATATGTGTGTGTGTGTGCACAATACGTGTGTATATCGCGACAACTTCAACAGAAGAGACACGATTAACAAACGAGGCGTGCATAAATCTTTTTGACGAGGCACGTATTCTGCCTTACGTGTCAGCGTTCACACAACGTATCAGTTTTATCGAAATTTCATTTTCACCCTTACACGTAATCGCGGGCATCGTCATTCTTGTCATCGAGAGCTCGCCCTGGGTAAGCAAAGGATCACGTTTCCTCTTTCATCACGTTATGTCACAAAGAGCCAGGGGAGAGAATACGATATATTGATAAAAATTCATAAACGTTATTCCGTTTTTGGGCGTTAGAAAAACAATTTTATAACGAGCAATTTTAACAAATAAGTAAGAAATGTAAAAATTTAACAATATTCTCTGTTTCTCTTTCCTGATTTTTTATTTGCATTTTTTTTGTTTTTTTGTTTTTTGTTTGTAGAAACGCGAGATGAAATTTCTTGAGAAATTCCCGAAAAAATGTGCCTGCCATCGCAAATCGAAAATGTTCTCTCTCGAACATCTTAGGAGAACTTGGTCGGTGAGTCAGATTACTTTATATTTGTGTTTATTATATAACAATGATATAAAAATATAAAAATATTTAACACACACGCTGGTACACTCACGTGTGATGAAAATTAACGAAGTATTCACTTACCTTTTTGTGTGCGCTCGCTCTTTCATTAGAGAGAGAGAGACAAGGACAATCGCTTCAACAGGATTTGTGCAAAGGAGATTTAATCGGAAATGTGTAAAAACGGTGGGGGGAGATATTATTTATTCGCAAAAAAAAAAAAACTGCGTTTTTCTTTCTACTTCAATTTCGACTTCTCTTTATTCTACGCCTCACGTAGAGAGATCAAATGTCTCGTGGATGGCCTACACGTAGACACAATTTTCCGACGAACTTGCGCTATCAGCCCGTCCCGTCTCACTCTCTCTCTCTCTCTGCTCTCTCGTCGAATAGTCTGCACGAAACCTATATATTTCCTGAGATACCTTCCCCGAGTTCGGAATTCTCACGGGAGAGAGACCGAATCCCTTTTTCCTGTGTGTCCTTTAAGTATTAACGCGGCAAATTTCGTAGGTGGTTGGGTAAAATTTTTATTAAACCGATACTTAACTAACGTTTTTTCTATTTCCGTAGCGATCGGACGAGTAAATAACTCCGTCTTGAATTTTATTTTTTTTACGTAGAAATAAACTGACCCTTCACACGCGGAGCTCACAAGCGTTCGATGGCATAGATTGATAAACAAAAAAAAAAAAAAACAAACATCAAAGGCGTTTTTCTTTATTTCAATTTTTCTCATTAGTAAATTTCGCGAATAATTCGAGAACGATCCGCGCGCGAAATCCTGCATTCGCAGTAAAAATCTAGTAGCCGTTGTGATTGATGATCGCGCGAGATTATACAATCGCGCGAAAAGAGAGCGCGAGAGTTGTTTTCGATCTTATCGATCTGTATGAAATCGACGCGCCGCGCGCGTCGACGTGGCGTGCAAAAATGACATTGAGAGAAGCGGACGTGGCAATTTGCATAAACGACTGTAATATCTTTTGTCAACAAAAAAAAAAAAAAACAATTTATTTATTTCTCGCCGTCTCGCCGTTTGATTGCGCGTTTGAGTGTTTTATTATTATTTCCTCGTAAAAGACCAGAAGAATGCCGAAGTGCTCGCCTGGAATCACTGACGTGGTCTAGCCAAGAGAGAGAGAGAGAGAGAGAGAGAGTCGGGTGTCTACTATCTCTCGATGGTTAGTTGGCATGCAGAGCCGGCCCCGCGGCGTACTTTACTCGCTTTAACTTTTTCGCTTTTCTTTCTTGCCTCGGCTCACCTTTCTCCTCTCTTTCACTCTCTCTCTCTCTCTCTCTCCGCTTCCTCCACTCAAACACCCGGATCCGCTCCGCTACATAATGCAGGCTATATTGAATATTTCGCCGCGACGGTAAAATGATAAAGAAATCCTCGCCAAGCTTCTCGGACTTATGTGGATACACCGACCCTCGGTCTCTTCCTCTCGGAAACGAAGGGAAGTGTTTCCTCAACAACCGTCAACAGCAAACCACCGTGTGTTACACGCGACGCGACGATTAACTTTGGAAAAAGAAGAACTCGAGAAAGGGATTTTCTCTTCTTGATCTAATTTGCATCTCTCGCGATGATAATTTTGCTCGATCTTCGTTAATCTTGCAGCGCGTATTTTTGTCTCCTCTCTTGTAAAGATTCTATTTGTTGCCTTTTCTCGTAACTTTCATGTAGATAAATTTTCACGTGTATAAATAATGTTTCTTTTTTCATATTTTTTTACGTAACACGTGAAATAATAGCGCAAGGAATTCCCTCTCGGGGGAGTCTTTACGATCGCTATTAGAATCCTTATCGTACTACGAGGCCGTTCGAATTTCCTTCGTGAGATGAGAGAAATGTATCGGCGTAATATTTAATGTTTTTCTATCAACATAATGCATCTTTACTGTTTCGGCGCATTAACGTTTTTTTTTTTTTTTTTCTACATAAAAACTATACGAAAACTCTATTTTTTTTTTTTTTATAAATAAAAACAGATGTATGTTATGTGTACATCACACATATAATTTGCACGAAAACTAAACTCTCTGAATATTTCGAGTTGTGAAATTGCGGACAGATCACTACGCAAAATATCGATATGATATCTCGAAAACAAAATAAATGTCGTCATTTGAACCTACTTAGAACGTGAGCTAATATATCTAATGGCTCGGTCGCGCTTGTGTAACCGCATCAATCGTTGAAAGAGACTGTATCAAACGAGAAAAGTTCGAACGTTTGCGTCACTTTGCAGAAAATATATTTTATGCAGCCTAGTGAGATATTCAAAGCGTTTCCTGTCTCTCAACGGCGTCTCCTGTTGAAGTATAACACATGTTCCAGCTCGAGTATCGAGCCATTTTTAAATTGAAGGAATAAAATGCGTGTAAACATATATATATGTATCGAAAGACTTTATACAGAGAACGCCTCTTGCAACTAAAACCATGAATAAAAATTCATTTACTCTCGCGGCGATAGTTTTCAATTTGCGTGTAATTTCGTTTTCGTACAAAAACAAAGACAAATACTACCAAAGTGAAAAGTAGCGTGAACAATTTGAAGATGTGAAATTGCTTGATTTTTTTTTTGTTTCTTCAAAGGACACGACAAAGGGCGGAAAAGACGAAAAGGTTACGGAATTTCTGGAACAGCTTTTCGTACGACTCCAGGGGTGGTAGCTGCACTTTAGTTGACACGGGCGTACGTAACATGTGCCCCTGGGGGGTCGCAATATTGATCTCCCCTCTTTCCGCCGCATCGTTCTCTCCTGCATCTCTCTCGCCTCCTGCCACGTCCCGTTCGTTCTACGGCATATCAACAGCGGACAGCTCGAATTGTACAAACCTAATGGAATATACGCCTTCCGAGGAGCTTGTCGTCCTTTTCAGTTTGCGTATTCCGAATACACGCAGCAGCCTCTGCGAAATCCGCCTCTCACGTCGACGTGATGAAATATCGAAGAAGTTTGTGTCACAGAATCAAAAATAAAATTATTATCATTTTTCCTTTCTTTTACATCATTTTTTGTTATCGATCCATTTTTGTCAACAAAAATTCAATAATCGGGGAAAAATTATTAATTTCGAAACTCAACAAAAATAAAAGCAATATTTCACACAACATCTCTTTTGTTTTGGAAATTTAAACACGCGTATGAAGGATTGCGGGGCGGGGGGGAGGACACAGAAGGATTTTCTCTCCGCACGATATTTGCGTATTAATTAAAATATATGTATATATACACATATATATATGTACACAATAATATGTAATAATATAAATTTCATTAATAATAAAGTCACTATGTATTATAATATCAAGCTCCCTCGATGAAGGAATAACTGATGTGATTCGTTGTTGCTATTGTGACCACTTCCAAAGCTGACAAAGATAAAGTTTTGCTCTTCGTCGCTCTCCTCTTCCATCGCCGCCGAACGCTGTCCTTTTGAAAGGTTGATGTCTGTTTTGCGATTTACAGTCTCTTCGCACTATTACGATTTTGAAAAAAAAAAAAATGTCCCTTTATTATCCAGCTGACTACAAAAAACTTGCTAAAGTATCGATCTCTATCTTCTCTCTCTCTCTCTCGCTGGCGGTATCTCGCTTAGAAATTTACTATCATATATTCAAGTAAAGCTTTTTAGAGCCCCAAGACCTCGCAGGGTTCGATATGATCGTGATCTATACAGTTGACACGTCGACTATCGGATCGAAACTCATCATCACGTTAAATATAAATTTTTCCAAGATCGATTCTCTCCGAAGCTAATCGACCGATCAACCGTCATTGCTCAATTTCTGCTAAGCGACTCTAATGCGATCGGCCAATTCCAATGGAACAATTAACTTAATCGGAAATGGCGAAATTGATCCAAAGCAAACACCTTTTTCTTTCCCGTTATTCGTCAGAAATCACTCCCGCTGAACGATACACAGATGATAGTCGACGTGACAATGGAAACAACCACGCGCACAAGCAAACTACTTACTAATACATTACACTCTAGATAATTACAGTTACGGCACTTTCCATCGTTTTTAACGTCAGCAAGCTTGGCAATTTCCCTACTTAGGACAATCGCTCGTGACAACAACATGTGTATATGTTGCGTTACCGGTAAATTCGCGGATACTTTAATATTCTAATCTAAAATATTGTTCAAGAACTATGTTTGAGAATATATGAAACATATGTGTATATATATATACTCTATATATATATATATATGCATACAATTTGTACTTGCGATGTAAATGTATAAAGAGCATTCATCTATAGCTTCCCTAGCATTTGTTAACACAATGCACGTGAAAGAGTGCACGAGATGTGTTACACAAAATAATGTCTAGATTTAGAAATCGTGTCCTCGCGTTTTTAACAAACCACAAATACGCCGGTTTTCCTCGATACAATGCAATTAAGTTCTCCGTTCGAGCGCATCACACTGCTTTGTTGTCTGTGTGTGTATGTGTGTGTGTGTGTGTTAAATAATAAAAAATGCAGTGTCTGCGTGAACAAAAATTCTCATTTCGTCGATTCACTATAAAAATGTCTGACCGGTACAAAGTGAAGAGATCCGAATATATTAATAATAATACGTATACGTTACTGCGAATATATATTATTAATATTTTGCGTTATATCACAGGTGTCTTGAATATTTGTTTTTTTTTTGTTTTTTTTTTTTGTAATTGAGAAAAGAAATTCGAGATCGGACGTGTACGAAATAAAAACGTCAAACTGTTACACGATTTTCTGTCGTCAAAAAACAAAACGGAAAACAAAAAGTTTCGAGTGAATTGTTAAATATTTAAACGTATTTTATTTTCTTTTACGTTACTCCTCATAGAATCTTCTCAAAACACACTAACGCTACGTCTTTTTTTTTTTTAACTTAAGATATAACTAATTATCTAGCAATCATCTATCGATCTACTGATTTTCTCGTCTCTTGTGTGC